ATGGCAACTTTCAATAACGCTTTTAACTTATTATTTGTTATTAACAATAACTCAAGCTAATGTACGCTACTGCTGGAACACATTGTAAGTCAGCTGAGCTAGTTGTAAGCTAATGTCCTATAGGTTATCTTTGTAGTGCAGCCTTAAACTTAGACATTCCTCTTTGATAAAGCTTATAGTTAGGGCTGGATCAGGTGAGTCCTGGACCATCCCTTAGTTATGCTGCTATAGGCCTAGACTATCGGGGGATTTCCCATGGTGCACTGAGCTCCTCCCTTCCTCTCTCTTTCTGCACTCATTCATGTCCCATTAATGCATGTTACTAACTTCACTTCTTCCCCGGAGTTCTTGTGCTTTCTCGTCTCGCAGGTTCTTCTCGATCCTGGTGGAGCCTCCTGCCATGGTCCTGCTAGATTGCCATTGCCAATACTGTTGTTGCTGTGCACCTGTCTGTCTGTCTGTCTGTCTGTCTGTCTGTCTGTCTGTCTGTCTGTCTCTCACTCTCTCTCTCTCTGCTTCTCTCTCTCTCTCTCTCTCTCACCCCAACTGGTCGAGACAGATGACCACCCACCTAGAGCCGGAGGATCTGTCCTAGGTTTCTGCCTTTTAACAGGCAGTTTTTCCTTGCCCTTGTCGCAAAGTGCTTGCTCATGGTGGTACTGTTGGGTCTCTGTAATTAATGTTTTAAAGAGTTCGGTCTACACCTGCTCTATTTGAAAAGTGTCCTGAGATAACTTCTGTTATGAATTGGCGCTATACAAATAAAATTGAATTGAATTGAATTGAATTGAATTAAAGTCTTATAAGGAGTACGGTCTAGACCTGCTCTATTTGAAAAGTGTCCTAAGATAACTTTTCTTCGCGCTCTACAAATAAAATTGAATTAAATTGAAGCACTAAATTATGAAGACTGAAGCCTAGACAAACATTTTACATTAGTACATTTGGAATGGGAAAAAATGCCTGCATAAAAAGAAATATAGGATACAATTGCAAATTGACTTGTTAGTGTTGAAATAAATTAAATTATACCCCCAAAAAATTAAATTACTTGTGGGGTCCCTTATAAACAATATCAAACAGTGAACAGTAGGAAAATATCAAAATAATAAAGACAAAAAACCTTCTAAATATTAATGAATCTCTCACATTGGCACATTGTCTTTTCTAATCCAATTTCTACAGTAGATGTTGCGTTGTCAGGTCATATGGGCTTAATAAATGTGGACCCACTTTTGAGAGACGTATACTGGACTGTGTGAGTAGATCACGGCGAAGACTTTTGACTTGAAGTTCCATCAACATAAATAGGCCAAAAGACAAAACTGGAAATTGAACATGTGAAAAAAATGGGCAAGCTAAAATCATTATGACTGAAGATGTTTTGAGCTGATTATGTGTTATTGTCAGTCAGGTAAGATATGATTTTTCACTCATAAGTCATTTTAATCCCTTTTAAATCATGATAAAAAAATAGTTAGCATCACCTGTTGTTCACTGTCCGACAGTGAAAAGTTCAAATCGTCAATGTGAGTGTTGAGATGTTATTAGATATGTGAACTGAAGGTAAGTCTGGAGTTGTTTCCATAATTCCATTCTTCCTCTCTTAGTTACTCTTAAAGGTCTCTTTCTGCCTTTCTTACAGTTTGTCTCACCGTACACAGACAGTTAAGCAGCTTTCCTTGGTGCATGCTGTAGCATGAGTATGCAGGAGCTGTTGTTTATAACGTGAATACGACTCCTGCTGTTATTGATTCTGTCCGAGAGATGAGCCCTCTGGGTTTTTCTGATGTTTATGCAGGAGAATGGTGATGCTTGCTAAGTGGAAAAGAGACAATAAATCAATAGGCAAGGTGAGGGGAGGGGAGTTCCAGGCATTTCTTAGTTCAGGACTAGTTTTCAAATTTCAGTTTTTCTCTTCTTTTGAAGCTCTATGGGACTGAGAGAGTGGGCCAGTGGTCCTTTCCTCACTTTTCCCAGTCCACCTGAGTTCTATCACTACTTAGCTGGAGGTCTTCATTTGTTGAAGACTGTTATATGGAGAGAGCTTGGAGTGAATTTCAATTATACAATAGTCTCAACGTTGCAGAACTCTCCACATATTTAATATTTGATAGAGTTTTCTACTGATTTTAACATCTACCAGACTACCAGTGTGAACAATTGACACCATGAAAATACAAAGCTGATGGTAAAAGAACAATACCATATTTTTACACTTAAGTTTATCGTTAACCTTACATGTAACAAAGTAATATCCACTCATAACCCACATATTAGCTTTTTCTGAGCTTTCAATATAATCTAATGGTACTAATCATCAAACAATTTCAATTTGAATAACTTTTGCCTGTAAAGATGAGGAGATAAAGTTGAAAATTTAGATAAATAGAAATATATATTTTTTTTTTGTCAGACAACATTTTAAATCTCTTAAGACACTAGATGTGAAGGGGCCTTGTTAAAGTACTTTTCTGGGACCTTTTTGTCTAAAGCGATCTTTTTCTGTGAAGTTTGCTTGTTGAGTGTTTGAGTTTCCAAACTATTTTAACTGCACAAAGTTCACTTAAAAAAAATCACTTCTTTCAATCTTTTGAATGTCACCAGTTCATCAGGAATTTATGTGATTGGATCAATTGCATAATCGACATAATCCCCATATAAGGCTGCCTACTCCACTGTGATTTGTGCGAAACTTTAATTCCCAAAAATGTTACCAAATAGTATAAAAAAAGATTTACACCATTGCGCTTCAATTCCTATTGCTGAAAATCAGCAGATGTAAACAAACTAATTTAGTTGTGTCGAGGACCCGAAAACAATACAAAATATTAATACACTGCCAGCTATGTCATCAGAACAGCACTATATTGTGACAATGTAGAAGATAGACACAGCCTGTGGAGAGGATGCCCTTGCTGCCCCTATTAACATTAGCAATTAGATGCTCTGTTAGTTAAAGAAATACCCATTCCTGATCAGTTCAAGTAATCTATGATTTTAACTGCCATCTAATTATTGACTAGCAGGAGTTTCTGGCAATTGCCTGTAATTTGCATCAATTAAAGGCAAAGACTATGGACTATAATTAAATCATATATTTATAATAGCAAAAGGTGAAACAGGTAATTATTATAATTATTACTATCAATAACTTCTCCACAGCTGGTCATTTTGTACTTAGGGAAGTGAAAACATTATTTAGTGCACCCTTCCCAGATTTCTTGGTTACAAGTTAAAAGTAAAAGTACACTCTTAAAAAAGGCTTTCAGGTATGTTTTAAAACAGCATCTAAGTGTGTTTTCTTCCAGATTTGATTCTACAGACAATTTTGTGAATGTATTTGGGGGGTTCAGAAACTAGTGGTGATGGTGCTGCTCTGAGCAGATGCCCTTCAATCACAAAAATCTTCACATATGTTATACTAATTATCTTTTATTTATTACTTTATTAATTTGCATCTCCTGAGATATATATATATATATATATATATATATATATATATATGCATTAATGTAAAGAGGTCAAAGTTGTTGTTGGTTCCTGGAATTTTTTCCAGACTACCATTTAATTTTACATTTTATTATTTAGATTATTTTTCAATTACCCAATATTCCTCAACATACAAACATGGAAGCTTTCAAGATTGTATAACAAATCTATACATTTATGTGACACAGATCATTTTTATTTATTGTTTTTTTTTTTTCATCCATTTCATATGGCTCTGAATACTGTGATAACCATCAGCCTTTTAAGCTGTAGAGAAGACAGGGCTGCTTCAGCACACTAAACACTGGTATTAAATTGCAAAATGTTCCAATGGAGTAGTTCATCTTTTGTACCAAGCTTCATGTTTAATGTCCATTCATTCCATGCAAATGCCACTGACCTAACATTGGTTGTTTCGTGAATTAATTACTTCCAGAGCCCTGAACATCTTCACAACTATATTGAGAAAACAGGACATGGGATTGCACAGTACTACAAAAACGAAAATCCCCCCTTGCCCCCATAGACCACTATTACAAAAATTATGGAGATGAACTTTACAGGATCGTCACATGTTGAAACACAAAAGGATTCCAACAGCACATACAAATCTAACATTTAATTCAATTGAAGTAGTTCACAGCAGTTTTTTTTTTTTTGGCTTAAGTTACAATTGAGTGTTCCACAATACTTCCTTTACCACTCAGCACACTGGCTTGCCTTCATGCAAGAGAAACATGTTCGATTACGTCCATATAGATTGTTCAGTACTTTTAATGGCCTACAAGGCAAATCATTTAAAGACCTGATCATTCACCTTATGTTTGCACCCTTGGTATTTGTATGGATACTAGGATTATCTATTTGTTTTTTGTTCAGTGGAAAATGGGCTTAAAAACTTCCATATGTGTTATCATTGCTTGCAGATCTTGGACTGGCGTCTTGATGGCTGCAAAGGTTTACTGTGGAGGACGATTAAGGAAGCTGGAAACAGAGGCATCTATTTGTACAATCATCAAAATGCAGTGGTCTGGGAGTGCTGGCCGATTCAGCTGATAGCACAGACAGAAGGAAAGAGGACAGGAGTGCTGCTGCCTCCTCAGGTTGCCATGGTAAAGGAGGAGGTGAAGTATGTGGAGAGACAGCCATTGTAAGTAAAAAGAAACTGAATTATCATTCAGCAGGTGGCATTGACGCTGTGTCCCCAACACCAGGTAATGAATGGTCTTGGACTTCCTGCTCACATAGGGAGGGCAATAATCTCCCATCAGCCACCTGCCTCTGCACAGCAGGTAAAAAACCTCATGCTGTTGATTGACTTGTCAGGTCAGTGGCCATGTAAACCACGGAAATATAACAACTCTGCCAGTTTGATCACTGGTTGACTATCGGCTGATGGGACTGCACTCATACCATTCTTTTTATATTGTATACAGTACTATTAAAATGTAGTTTTCTCAACATCTTATGATATTAACTTCTTTGAAGGTTAAGAAAGGGACACAAAGTGGAAATAAGCCCCCTTTATTCAATATCGATTTACATTTTATATAAAAATTACTTACATTTAATACATTTCTTCAAAATACAAGCAGCCAAACAACATACAAATCAAATACAAAATTATAAAATTTCTTATATTTATCATCTTCCTTTCTGAAGTAACAGATGTGTCTTATAATATCTCTTAATAACCTTTTTGTAGCTGTGGTAAATATCTTCCTTGTCTTTATCTTTAATCCATCTGTTGACATATGAGACCTAGAAAAATATGGTATTCAGTATCTGTCTTTTCAGTGTACAGTACAGGATCTGGGAATCTGATCGGACAACATTCAAGGTGGGCTTCAATCTCTTTCACCAAAAGATAAGTTCATGTGGTATATTACTGTCGAAACAAGGTGGGTAGAGCATGACATCCGTGGAAATGGAAAAGACAGAAGACCTATGGAATTACATACTGCGTGAGAAAAGATCATGTTGATATTATGGCCTTCACTGGAAATCCAGTCAGTAGATCCGTTAGGTACCAAGGAGAAAAAAAAGACAAAACCCCAAAAATATCAAGCTTCACTGCTCAGTTGCAAAGCTTTATGGTCCGTAGTCATATGACAAAAAAAAAAGCCTTATAAACAACCCACTCTACTCTTTCCTAGGATACTTACATTTGTTCAGAAAAATTGAGCCAACCTACCTTCATTACCTTCACAAAATGACACACTGTCCATATTCCACTTAAACTAGAAACAAGTATGGGTACAAATTTTAGCACTGCATTTTTTAAGGTTTAAACTGTGCACAAGTGTGGCTTATGGTGTTAATAAAGTTTTTGCAAATCAGCAGCTTTACTTCAGTGTCACACAGTATACAGTGTAGCGCTGTATAACTTATGTTTGACAAACATTAGAAAGCAAACAGTAAATGGAAAATAAAACTCTTCAGCACACCAACAAAGACATTATGCTGATGCTAAACCAGTAAAACCTAAGAGCCTCATAGGAAATAGAAAAAATCTTGTTTCCTCCTTCATATTATACATTGTACACTGTGGTAAAAAAAGAAGTACAAAGTGTAAAGTTAGGCTATGCGGCGGTTTCATGAATTGTCCCCTCTAGTTTCTTTGGGAGTAGCTCTCTCCTCTCGTCAATACTGATAACAGGCTTCCGGCAGTTTTGCCCGTCGATATATATCTTTGCATACACTGGGTTGGAGTAATTCATGGGCTGTATAGGGAGAAGAAGATGGAAAAGAAAATTAATATTTATTTATATAAATTACTTTAATACAGTGGGAGTCTTAAAGCTGCATTCATAGGATTTTTTTGGCCACTTGGGGGCAGTGGAACAAGCTGAGAACACAACATCTGACAGATCATATAACAAAGTTGTTGTGGCAGACATGTTAGCAAATGATTGCCTATTTTAATCAAATCCAGCAGATGTGGGAAAACATTTTCATCTGGAGTTAAGGTTTGTATACCTTATGTATTGAAGTTCTTTACCTCTGTTACCTCTGATACCTCTGTTTTGGTCTTCACAAACTCTTGAGAAAAATATCTGGCTCTTTAGCAGCTAAATGATTCACTGTGGTCACTACTGTAGCTAGTTGCTAACTTTGCCTGTGGAGTGCAGCGTGAAGTCAGTTTATTAGACCTTGTTGGATAAAAACAATCAGTTTAAAGCTAATTACTGTCTATGGACGCAAGGTTGACAAGAGCAAAGTTTGTGGATCAGTTTGCAGAAAACCAAAACAATGAGCTAAAAGAGACTAAAACACTCCGTACAGCTGAGGAAAACTGTAGAATTGGGTTGATAATTATGTTTGCTTTCATCACTGCAAACAACCTCCTGTTTATTACATAGGGTAATTTGAGCTCATGTTAATAAAAGAAGATATTGATTAGTGCAGCTCTAAGGAAAGTCCATTGTGATTGACAAAGTGGGTAAAACATTTAAGTTTAACTCTATCTGAAGCAGTTCAAAGAATAGCACAAGACTCATGACTCACACATTCAGCACTCATGCATACTGTATACGTTGAGTTTTACACTGCAGGCAACAGTACAGTAACAGACAGAAACATGCAGGAAGAAGACAATTTAAACACAAAGCCATGCAAGCACAGCATAGTGGTAGCTTTTTAGAAACTTCAGTATATATGAATACTAATCTAATATATGATGTAGTAAACAGCTATATATGACTGTGGCCAGATGTACATGGTACAGGCAATCTTACAAACTTTTAAAATGTTTGCCAGGTAACTCCACACTGCACACTTCCTAACTATGTGAGGATGATTTGTTTGTTTTTTTCCTGATGGGGCAAACATAAAGTGAAGTTTAGAAAAGTCACCTGTCCAGGGATTACCTCCTTGGGCACAGAATTGATGCCCAAGGTGCGAGGGTCACTGGATTGTACACACCAGCCCTGCAACAACAACAAGCACCACCTCTGTTTACAGTGCAAATTCACTAACATAGCTAACACCAAACAGTTTGACGCATACAATAATGCACGGCCATCTACTGGTTATCTATGTACAAACTTAAGAATTAGTCCAGTTGTAGTAGTAGGAATTGTAAGGGACCAAGAAAGAGTAGTGGAATACAGAAGCTAGTTGAGATTCAAGCCAGTGTGCCTCTGTTGCAGCCAGATTGGACTGACAATAGCAGATGTCAAAGTTGGCAGGGCAAGACGTTGACAGCATTAGGCTTGAAGCTCTAGCAGGTGAGCTAGATAACAACATCAGTGAAGGTGTTATGATTCATTTGATATGCTGAATGTTAGTGTGGGGTTGAGGGGTGTAAACAGAATAAATCACCAGCCAGATGAAGAGTCCTCTTGGTTCATGGCACCTGTGCATTCCTGCACACTAGCCAGCTTTCACAACACCTCTACACAACCTAATGTAATCCTATTTGATTTATCCTGTTGATTTATCCTGATGTTAGATAACCACATTATCACATCTACAGTATTGGAACAGAGACAAAGAACACAAGGCAAAATTGTTTTTATAAAGCTGGACAACAGTTTGGAATTGGTGGTTGGTGTCCTTGCCCCTTTCTGCAATTAAACACAACTTCGGCAAAAATGTGATTATTTTGTCAAGTTGCACAAAGTTTGTCATATACACTCTTGTCCTGGCATTCAAGATGAAGATTTAATGAAGCACAGACAATGTGTGGGTTCAGTTGGGCGTAATTGACAGGTTGTCACTGTTTTCATGACAAGAGATAGTGGTGCAACAAATTTTATAATTAGTAGGTGTTATAAGGATTGGCATCAATCAAGGCCAATCAAATCAGCTCCCCTCCTCTCTTTTTTCAGATGTTACACTATTCATCAAGGATGTATTAGACGAGACAAATGCATATGTTAACTCAAATACGCGAACAGATTCCTTGAAATCTATATACTGCTAAATTTACATTTCTGGAAATAGTTAAACTAGTTCCGAGCACAGATTAACATAATAGTTACATTTTTATTTCAAAAGACATTTGACGAAAAAGGATATTACTAGAATCTTTATGTTGTTGAAATGAGAAAAAGTTCAAGCCAGTGCCTAAAGGTTCTAGAAATATCTTCAATATATTATATCTGTGAGCTGCTTTTGGATTGTTTTGTACACCTATGTGAAAATATTGTGTGTGGATTTAATGACAGAGCATACCAGTGATACTAGTATCACTGGTATGCTCTGTCAACAGTGATGCGTAAGATAAAAGAAATAAAAGAGAAAGATGTGCTGTTATTCAAAGCAAAGGCTCTTGTTGAAACAGAATCAGTTTCATTTTGACAATGAAAACAACTTGAAAAACATCATTATAATGTGAAAAGAATCCAGTTCAGGAAGGAGGGTGAGGCCAGGGTGTTACAGTCAGTAAACTACACATTATAACACGATATATTTATTGTCATGGTTGCAGCAATATGCTGTCATAATGCTGCACTGCATAAAACAACCAAAGAACTAGAACTAAATCATTCAGTTTGCTTTTCAAACAGATGTAAAGCTTCAGTTTGCTGTTGCATTGTGGTTAGTTCAATACTGAGTATTGAATACTGACTAAAATAAGCCAACCTTGTGAGGGTCTAGCGTGAAGTTGGGTCGCAGCAGGCTGCCTGCATCAGCGTGGTTGTCATGGTCCACTTCATACATGTTGTACGACGGGTTCCCAATCTCCACGTTTATCCCTCCGTTTGTCATGGGCTGCCTCTGGACACGTTTTCCCCTGAGGTGTGTGAAGCAAGCCATCATTAACATGGGACGCAACATGCAGGTCAACATGCTGCACAGCTTCGCACGGCTCCACACAACAAATCACACCACACTACCTGGAATACATAACTTTACAGGGCAGACCTAAAAGCTGAATTGTAATCAGAGGCTCAGCGCAGACTTTAGGTATTCTGAACATGTTTAAACAAACACACAAACATTTATAAAGCAAAAAAAATGCTCATTCATCTTCAAAGCTATGCAGTGTTGGATCTCTCATCGGTTGCTGCTTAGAAGCCTCTTTCTTATTTATACTTTATTATTTATTCACTTACCTTTGCTTTCGTCTGCAGATGTAAACACCTGCTACCACCATCACAATCAAGATTACCAGCAGGACCAGAGGCACAATGATAGCTATGCTCCCTGAGAGACAGACAGAAGAGAGATGATGTGGAGATATGAGTAACAACTGAAAGGAGCTGAGATGGGCTTAGATAGTGACACATTGTATGTAACCATGCCTGACTGTGGTTTCAAAAAAGGCCATCTTTAAAAAAAAACTTGGTTGCCTGCGCACTTCACTCCCTTAACAGAACAGCTATCCAGTATATATGGGCTATACAATAACATTTATACAAAGACATAGATTCTACAAAGACGTAAATTGTTTGGAACTGAAAAAAGAGAAGAAAAAGTCACAAAGTTAAGATGGTATGTAGCTCTAAGAATCATAAGTTTCTAGGAATGAATTTGGTGACAGAACAGTTGCATTACTGAAATGCGATTAGCTCCTCTAATTCAAACGAGGTAAATCTGCTGAGTGAAGGCTTTTCTGTTCTAATACTGCAAACTAGCTAGGTTGGATAGAGTTCAGTAATTCTTTAGGAAGGCTGCCAATCAGGACCGAGTTCAATTGTCTGGCCTGGGCCTGTAAAAATGTGTGGATGTATAAAAATGTGATCATTTCAGATGTAAGTAATCATTCGACTGAGATGGAATGGGGGCAGTTTATAAGTGATATATACATTTATTCAAAGGTTTTATAATAAGGCTTCTTAAAATTCCCAGAACTCACCTCCGCTGGTGTTGTCTGATCTGCTGCTTTTAGGGGCGGGTCTCTCACACTGTGTTCCTGCCCAATTGGCTGAACATCTGAAGGAGGTCAAAAGAGAGTAAAAATAAACTTGCATTAGAATACTTTTTCTAGCAGAAAGACTGCTGAGAAAACACCTTCACCAAATGAACTACATAATGATGTGACCGTGGCTTACATATACAACACATTATGATTCAGTCTTGCTATGGAGTGCTTTGATCCAACACAAACAAAACACCACCTGGAGAGAGAGCACTATGTATATACATGTTGTGTCCATACACAGTGTGTGTGAATTTACATGTTGAATATTCAGTGTAGAAAAATCAAAGGATGACAACAGGACAACAAGTCGTCATCTCATTTGTGTTCCAATGGGATCCGATGGGCGTGATGTATGACCCTTGTTAGCGGAGGTGATTTCTAATTTCACACAACTGACGCAGATGGGTCTGTAAAGCATGACTGATCTGGTGGGTGCGACTGGATGATGACAGAATGAAATTACTCTAAATAACATGCACTCTAAGAATCAGAACGTTAGGCTATCAAAAATAAGAATGCAGCCCCATACATACTGGAAATGAATCACGCCCTCGTAGAACGAACTGTCACAGCGACATGAATTTTAATGGGAAACTGGGTGAAAGGGGGAGTTTGATCTCCTTTGGAAAGCGTAAACCATGAAAAGACTAATTCCTTAAGGAATGAAGAAATTCTCTTAACCTCTATTGAAGGTATTGAAGGTAAACCCCAATTACTGATGAGATGTTCAGCCTAGCAGGTTACAGTATAATCATACGTGATGACTGGTCAATAACGAAACATATCCAACTTGCCATCATGCACAGGTTGCAAATGCACAGACTGATGCCCACATCACAAACCAATAGCATTAAGTTTTTGCCCCCCCGATTCCTGTGTGTTGGGTGACGACTGCATGAGATGGGTGAATGGGTGGCAGTGAGGGGCAGCAACGATACAGAGTCATGCAGCAGCTGATAATGTAATAAGTGCCACATCAACTAATATCTGTTCAAATATAATAAAAATTGTTAAAATTGAGCTCTAAGTAAAGAATGTAAGAATTAAAATGTAATATGTGTGAAAAAATTGAAATGTCTGAAACTACTGTGCCTAATTTCTGTTGCTACTATTAAAACTACTACCGATAATAATCCAAATAATAATTAAACTGATATGGAATAGTTTTTTGGAAATATGCTTTTTGCTTTTTTATCAAGAGTTAGATAAGAGGATTGATACATACTATATACATTCACCAGAAAGGTTGGCTTAGCTTAGCACAAAGACTGGAAACAAGGGGAAACAGCTAGCCTGGTTCTGTCCAAAGGTAACAAAATATGCCTGCCAACACTTCTTAAGCTCTCTTATTAACTTGGTAGATCTTATTTGCTTAATCCATACAAAATGCAATGTAAAAACCAAAACGTTGCAGGGGATTAATTGCAGAACTATTTATTTGCCTTGGAGTGTTATAGTCACTATGAGAGACTCCAGCAGAGATGCCAGAAAGTCTTGATTTTGTTACGTTTGGACACAGCTACGCTAGCTGTTTCCCTTTCATGTTTACTGTACAGAAATGTGAGTGGTGTCAAATTTCTCATGTAACTCTCAGCATGAATGCAAGTAAGCATATTTATTAAGCGATGTTGACCTATTCCTTTAAAGGACATTAGGCTACTGCATAATTAGTAATTCATCTAAAGAAGTTGTAACATATCTTTCATGTAATTTTGGAAAACAAAGAAAAAACATTAATAATGCAAATATGATGTACTACAGAAATTCAGTTACTAAATGGCATTTAATAAAGTGATCTTAAGGTAATAAGTAATTTTAGTCAATATTATTACAATATATAAACTCAGTGAGTGAGAAGACATTTTCTCTGCTCTTCAAGTACAAAGTACAGCTGTGAGCAAGAGCTCAAGGGGTGAACAGTGTTTGACAACAACTTAACAAGCTTACCATAGTAATTACAGTTAGTTAGCTAACCTGTCATCCTTTGAGCCAGGGCACTGTGACAAAACGTATTTCAATCGAAATGGAAAGTCACCGGGTGATAATTTACCAAGTACACACACCAGTCACAACCAAATATCTGAAAATAATTTGAATGAAAACACAGACCTGTCCAAAAAGAATTAAAAGTGATCATAATCTGGGAAAATAATAATCTCTGTGCAATGTAACTTCATTACACTATCTTTATCGTTTACTATTATAAATCATTACTTTATTCAGCACTTGTTACATGATAAGTTGCTACAAGGCGGCACTGTGACAAACAGCCCATATAGTGGACTGAGGCTGAAATGGAGCCAGATGGAGTTGGGGTGGGGGTGTAGACAAAGGGCGTGAGTGGGCTCTGAATACAGCTGGAGAGGTGAGAAGGACCTACTTGCAGCGTGGTTTGTTAAGAGCTGTTAATGTGCACATCCCCTCATTCTGACAGAAGTAATCGCAGGGGTTGGCCAGCTCATCACAACGTTGGTTCTTGAACCCTGACGTGCAGCTGCAAAACATTGTGTTGGGAGTGATAAAAGGGCCCAGAGAATGTATATTGTTGAACTGTTGGCTGCTTGATGAATGGAGACTGACACACTAATCCCTTTCAGCAGCTCCAGTCAAAGAAATTGAGTAAGTCAATGTTGTGTCTGCATTGAGCAAATGAACAAAATAATTAATATGAACACAAATCAATTTCACTGCTCACCAAGTGTGGGGAATATCTGCAAGAGAAAAGTCTGTTACAGTATCACTGCTGAGAATTGTATTTTCTTGACATACTGTTTAATGTATATGATAGAAGACTGATAAGATCTGTCATCAACTACCAAAAAACAACACTAAATAAAACGACACAAACAACAAAACGTTACTTAATTCTAAATAGCTGTGGATAGCAAATAAAACCCCAAATATCAAAATGTATAAGATGTTAGAAGCATACATGTACATTGTAGAATAAACTGTATTGCTAATTTCACATTCTGCCACAAACAAAGAAAAACACAATTATATTGTAATGCTATATTGTAACAGTAAGTCAACAGTCTTTTACTGACTTGTACTGAAACAATTCTATTAACACAATCACAAGCAATTGAAAACATAAATAAATGTGTTCATATAGAGAGCTGAAGTGGGACTAGAACTTCCAGGTTCTGTTCAGTCAGAAAAGCTTATTCAAAATCCCATTAACATATGTACGTCACAGTTCGACAAAATAGGCAAGACTGTGGGCTAGTCAACAGCCCGCCGTTGTTCAGTTCAGTCATGTCTGTAATAACAGCAGGACTACATGCTGTAGTTTTTAGATAGCAGAGATGGCTTTAGAAGCTACCAGTGGTGAGTTTTATGGATATGGTTGCGATGTCGTCCTTGTAAATTTTAATGGGAGTTGTAGTTTTTATGTACTCGTATCATAACTATTGTTTAATTGATTAACGAAATCGCAAGATCATGAGAGGATCCATCTTGCCAGGCTTCAAGTTATGTCTAAACACAGCATCGTACGAAGAACTTCTGCTTCCTATGTGTATGTGACGACGTATATGAAAGTGACTGTTTTCTCAAAAATAATTATATAAAATGTTGAACGAGAGATTGCACTTAGTAACAGAAGCTTGTGGAAGAGAGGATAGCCCAGACATGACGTCATGACTTCGGCTCTCTATAATTGTTTTGCAATTTGCAAACCAATATTAATTATTGTTGTGACTTGTTGAATGGATTCAACCCTGTGGAAATATATCCATTTATAAACAGTTCGCAATATTTCAACATAGGGGATTATCAAAAAATGTGTAAGAGGAATATTTGGATCCAAAACTTACTGCTGTATGTTGATTTTGCAGCTAATTAATACATACAGTTAGAATCTGTAAAACCATACTATGTCGTTTAATTTGAGAAGTATTTGGGACCTTTACATGTAGGACCACTGCATACTGTTTTCCAACCCTGCAAAGACATGCTTAAAAAGTACTATCATAGTTGGTCTGATGCATTTTGAAAAAAAAAATGAAAAAAACTCTTTAACCTTTTTTTAGTGTTTAATGCAAGAATTATCATTACAATTGAAGCAGCTCTGCCCTGCAAGGTTTTTGCTCTGGGAAGGCATGATGAAATATACATTTACTCAGAGTATTAAGGTCAAACATTCTGATTTCTTGACACAGACGTATCCATCATCTCATATAATCTCTGTTCTTTGCAGCAAATAATAAACCACATTATCAGGATCTGTTAACCTCATCGAATAAGATGGGGTCATTTGCATAGAAATTGATTCTCTTTCCTGGAATTTGTGAGTGATGACCACAAATTTCAATTTAACTATAGTGGACAATGGGCTGTTAAAAAAATAGAGAGTTGGCTTTTGAAATGGATTTCCAATTTCCTCCTTCGAGATAACATAGCACTGCATGTGATTATAGGTGAGGCGGTATTAATCTATGGGCAACGCTTTGAGTGGTCTTTCACGATCATTTCCTCGTGTCTGCCAGTCAAGCTTTTGTCTGTTTCAGGTTTTTGCTGGTGAATTTCATGGCATGTTCTACCACTGACACATTCCTCAGCTTATTTTTTTTTTTTTGGGAGCAAACTTCTAAAACCTACTGCTGAAGAGTGTCATAGTGGCCTGACATCAGCTCTTAACTGCAAGGAAGAACAGTGTGATATGTTCAGAATGGCAAGCTTTGAAGGGGTTTTGAAACCATTTTTATCTGCCTAAAAACCTTAAGCCACAGTGAGGTATCACACAGCATAAGATGGTGTACTGGCACTCAGTCCCCTGCTGTGCCATGGCCTCCACAAAGGGACATCAAACCGTCCCTCAACTAAAGGATTTTTTTTCCAGAGGAAGACATCTATTTTGTACTGTTCTCCAAGCAGGGAAGAGGTACCCCTTGGTGATCTAGGGGCAGGCTTTCTGGGGCACAGAACCAGCAATTGAATGGTAACAGTAAGAGTGTGAATAATAGTGGAGAACATTCAGTTTTTTTTCCCACTTTCCTTCACCCATTAAGCAGTGACTTACTGACAGAAAGGCAGGTTGGTGTCGGGGTCCAGGTGACAGGTGCCTCCATTGTAGCAATATCCGTCACACAGCTGACAGCTCGGTGCTATTCTGCCATTTGTGCAACTGGAGGGTGAAGAAATAACGGATGCTAGCAACAAGCAGAAAACTATACTTTTACAAGAAGCAAAAATGACTCAGTGGTGGATTTGTCAAACAAATGCATAATGTATATAAAGAAAGCAAGTCCACCTGGCTTGTAATTCATTGACATTAATGGAACTTAATTTGCTGTAGGGTGAGTGGCCCAATACAATTTTCAGATTTAATCAAATCAATTCATTCAGCCAGCAGCCTGTGGATATAGCAACTGAGACTGGAGAATGCACTGAAGAACTATTGCTTTTCCATAAATGAAGAGAACTATAAAGCCTTAGCACTATAGCACATGGATGAGGGACAAGAAGAGTGAGCAGATACCAAGCACTCACTTGCAAACCACATCTCCTGTCTCCTCGTTAATGAGGCATGGAGCTCCATGGCATCGAAGACACTTGTCCACCTCGCACTTGTTTCCCTCAAACCTGGCAGGACATACACACTCCACGTATCCACTACTGGATAGCGTGCAGGCCTTGGAGTTCACACAGTAGTGATGACAGATGTCTGTTCCGCGTTCAGAGAGATAAAGAGAGAGCGGTTAGGGTATAATGAGAAACTGGGAACATACTTTAAGCTGGCTTGATTGGAATTGTACAGGGCTTTAATGGGAGTTAATTATCCACATCAAATGACATCTTAGCCACAGATGAAAACATATCACCCCTTGGGCAAGCAATGGTAAGAAAATACTAATGATGTGCAATTGAAATTGTTTTCTCACAAACAATTATGACAAAACAATGCAAAAGAAAATACATTATCACTTCAGCACAGAAACACCCAAAGGTTGTTTGATTGTTGTACTTTGATTTTGTTTATCTGCAAATAGAGGCAAATGTGGTGTTTGTGGAAAGAAAATACTTTCGGGGGTTGTTTTTGTTCCACACTCTGTGTGAACTTTAAATACTTAGTTCTATAGATTTTATGCAGCATAACTGAATTTAAATCACTGCTTTGTTGTGACTGTTCATGTGGCTAGACTTGAAAGGCTAATGTCAATCATATGAAGACCAAGTGCTTGATATGATCATTTGTTGTATTTGCTGCCACCAAATAATGGCCGCAGGACTCACGGTAAAGACAACGGTCCCCAGTATATTCTGCCATACAGCGACACACTGGCTGGTTCCCCTGAGTGACGTCACATGTTCCCCCATTCAAACAGTAGTTGTCACAAATCCTCCTCTCACAGAAAGGCCCTGAGAAACCAACAGGGCAGCGGCATGTAGGCTTACCTGGACAAAGAGAGACAAGGACAGATTAAGAGAGCATAAAAAGACCAAAACAATGCGTTGATCCAACTTACAAGTATTGTCTGTGTAGCCAAATCTTGATATATCATATTCCTCTATACCATAGACCACCACTGTTGTTTTTCAAAACCTATTAAATGCTTTCAACACATCAATGCACACACTGATGCACTGGGTGACAATGTTCCTTCATTACAGTTAACACGGGTTCTGTAGTATATTTTGTGTCTATTTTGCTTACCTGCTGCTGCAAGTACTTTCGAGTGCTTATGAATGAAAATAGTCCTAACGAATGCACTTTCTGTTTGAGTAATGTTTAGTAAAAGCTACACGGTCTAGCTGTTTCACATAATTCTTCTTTCAGTTCTTTTTTAAAAATTAAACTACATACCTTTGACTCTTAAAAAACAAAAACAAAAAAACAAACAAACAAAAATCCAATTGCTTTTATCTACAGGTAATGCTAGCTTAAATGTTTATGCTCATGTCTGTGCACCAGTGCACACTTAGCCATCAATCTTACATCTTACATCATAGTTAAATTTTTTATGGATATTATATTCCTACAGTCACCAAGAAGGGGCTAAATAGAAGCAGTAAAAACATCCCATACTTTAGTCACAGTAAAGGCAAAGCTCCATCCTTCCATTCATCACTTTTAGACAAATATTCATGTATGGGTCAAGGTGACCGCTGATTGGCACCTATGGAGAGAAGCTAAGGTGCCCTTTTCTCAGTTATGTCCTCCAGGTCCATCTAGGGAATCCCAAATTGTTCCCTGGCCAGACACAATATGCATATAACTCCTGTGTGTTCTGAGTCTGCCCACGGTCTTCTTCCTTGTCAGACATGTCTGGATTATCTCTAACAGGGAGGCGTTTAGAAAGCATTCTAATTAGATGTCCAAACGACCTCAAGTTGCTTCATGATAGAGTGGTGGTTCTATCTACTGTTATATATGTATGTGTATGTATGGTTGAACACAAAATGTAGTTGTTGCTGAAATGTTTTTTCTCCATCTCATTAGATTAGATGAGATGTAAGCTCATGCATAGCTTGTTCCACCAACACACATAAGTGTCTCCCACATATTTTCGCAGTTTTGGTGACCAGTTATAAGCACTATAAGAATTATACTTCCATATAATGTTTGTTCTGTACCCCTTTGCTTTGTTGGCATGGAATGAGTGTGATTCATTGTTAATAAAAGTAACACATCAGGTGGACACGTTTCCATCAAATCAGCTCTTCATATTACCCTCAAAATCAGTGCACTCCCCACCATGATTTACTCACAGTTTTCAAATGGATAGGCAGGGGCATCGAGGCAGATTTAAGGGGTGTTCAGAAAAGGCAACAATTGTCACTGCAAGCTGCTTGCATAGTAGACAACATAAGTTGCCATGGATACAGGTCTCGTCATGTAGGTCACACTACAGTACTTGGTAATTTCACACTCCACAACTCTGTGGTTGGGATAATCTGGGTTTGAAATGTCCAAGAGACAATCATTCTGCCTCCAGTCACTTGTCTGTTAACTCAATGGCTGCTGGGATGGTAAGCTTTCTAAACAGGCAGACCCCGCCAAGCTTTGTGTTTTTACTGTAAAAGTTGAACAATTCCCAGCGCCCCTGAACAACCTATTCTTTGCTTGGCAAGTGAACATGTAGTGCATAATTTGAAAGTTGAAGTAAGCTTCATGTTGTGAAAATAAGAGAGGAGAGAGGTCAGTAACCTATAATGTAGTTAGTGTTACACGCAGTATACTAGTTCATTTTTATTGTTGATGCAAAATTTTAAAGCTCACCACAGCGTTGTATTCAGTAGCATTTCATTAAAAATGCACTATTACATACATTGGGCCTTTTCATGCTGTTTGTCAATATGTAAAGGAATGAATTACATAGCTAAATCCTTGAATGTGAGGCATAGTAAGTTTAGCTTTTACTTGTGTACCTGTGTCAGTCTGTGGAGGTGGGGACTCACAAGTGTGAGATTTAGTAAATGTTATGATATGCAGCCTCAGGCCTTCTTTTTAAAATGCTCTATCAGTTACTCAACAAGTGGTAGGTTTAGAAATTGAAAGTAAAATCCCTGTATATAATTTAAAAACATGGGGGGTTGAGGAACTTTAAGAGCCATGTTATATTGATAGCACCTTGAAAATATTGTATAAAGTAGACCTGCACACAGATATTTCCCTTCTTTTTGGCAACATCACAGTTTTGTTTCACACATTTAATTAAGGCACCCACACTGGACCAAATGTGAAGCCTTTTGGAAATGTGCAGCCCACTTATCAAATCACAGACAGCAGATGGAAAGCATTAGCTGATCTTGGTTAATAATACTGACTTAAACTTTATTATTTGGAAAAGGGATCATCTATTTCTGAATCCGCATATCTTCAGACTATTTCTTTGGCAGAATGTCAGTAGACAGTATGTTTTAATAAATATATATAATTACCTTATGTGCAGAATAAATGCAAATAAATAAAGGTAAATAATAGTAAATATATGATTACTAACGCTATACACACAGGGATATGTTATACTCCCAAAGTAAATGAGGTAAGAGAAACACACACTCTAAAAAACTTGTATGTAATTTTTCAAACGGGCTGATGCCCTGCCTTAGTGTTCATATTTTTGCTTTAGCTTCATCATAAATTTGTAGATGGTTACACTCCAAAGTACATACATGCATAAAACATCACAAAAATATTTCAGGATGGGATTGTGTATTTCACCTGCACTGCACGACACAGTAAGTCATATCTTGGAGACCCACAGATCTGAATTGTAAAACATATCTCATAAAAGCATAGCTAAATGAGAACAGTTGTGAGTATAAGTGGTTTAAGTATGTGTATTGTTGCCAAAAGTTCCATTAGAGTGTAGGTAAACCAGTCAAAGGGACAGAAGAGCAGGAATTCAATGACACCTTGCATTTTAATGGATACAACTGGAAAATCTCCAGCCTCTAATTGATTGTGAGGTTGCCTTGAGTCCCTTTATATCACCAAAGTGAGGACTTGAGGAAACCTGTTGGACTATATTTGCTATATTCTCCATTTAGACCTATAGTCAATATAAACCAAAACAATTGCCAAGTATGAATGAAACAAAAGACACTCGTCCCCAGCAGATAACAAATATCCCAACATTTTCATTTTCCTCCAGGCTGTCCACCATAACCAGGAACACAATTCATCATCCAGCGTAGCATGCTGGACTAGTGAATAAATAAAGAAAATAAGACTGATTGTCACCAGTAGGAGCTCTGCCTTTTCTTACTCAGTGCTGACGCCCTACTGCAGTGATCCCACAGCATGTAACATGATGTTTCTTATGCTATCTCGATAGACAGACTCCATTTTGTTTAATGGGCAGCAGTGATTATCTTGGCTTCTTTTCATGTCGCATAGAGAGGTTTTAAAAATCTAAACAGAAAAAGATGAAAACATTAATTTAATAAAAAAAATTATCAGTTTACTTCCTGTTGGGCAGGCATGTTTCCCAAATGCCAAAGGAAAAAAAAACCCTGATTTTATTTTATGATTTAAAGGTAGAGAGTGAAATATTTAATTTTTTATTTGAATGAATAAACATTTAATCAAAGCAATCACAAATCAAAAGCCCATACTTTTATCTCACCAACTGTTTGGGGTAACTTCTATGACTCACTCGGACCAAAACATACGGCTTGGTTTCTAATTTTATTTACTGAATGTCACTCAATGAATACATTTTTAATAAATACAAACCACTTGAATAGGGCTCTGCCATTATGAAACATTTACTATGTAGGAACACAAGCCATATTTATTATATCAGAGCAATTGCTCTGGTGATTTTTTTTATATAAGAAATGGAAATAGAGATGTTGTGGATAATTGCTATAATGGGAAGATGATGTGCAGCCTTGTAAATCAATGATAGCATTTCTAATAGGGCTGTACATCCTGATTCAATTCCACCACTGACATCTTGGCATATTCAGATACATTCACTAAACTGTGGGGGAGAAGTGACTGTTGCAGACCATGAAAGCATGAAAGAAGACCTGACATAAAAAGTTTGATATTTGAGGCTTGTGGGACAGAAGCATCAATGACAAAAACTGCTCAACTGGCAGATGTAACGTGGCAAATTTTAGCTGAAGTGAGAAAGTTTAAGGGAAGACAAATGTGGTTGAATGCCATCATGCACGGGGTCAGTGTGCAGGAGGAAATGGGCAGGCGACTCTGAATTGAGGCAGTGACAGGTTTTCTCAGCATGGCTGGTCTGCCCAGAACTGAATGTAAAGGACCCTTCAGGAGGATTACAACACATGAACCACCCATTCATAAATACACTACTGGATGCTTAGATCTAAAGTAGACTTACCCAGGGGTGAGCCCATACAAGTGCCTCCATTTAGGCAGTAGTCTGTGCAGTGGTTGACCTCACAGCGCTCCCCTGAAAAGTCAGGCCAGCAGTAGCACCTCCAGTGTCCTTTCTCATTGGCTAAGCAGCGGCCTCCATTCTCGCAGGGGGGGTGGCACAGTTCACCTTCACAACATCAAAGCCTATATCACTTACTGTGCTGAAGTATGTAGCAGTCAATCACATCAAACAGTACTGTGCTGCTAATGTCAGATAGCAACAATAGTAGAGGTGTGAACCTGAATTGTCAAATAGGTGTGTTTGAACAAAAACTGCATGCCGGAGACGGCTTTGTCCAACCTCAACACACACACAATCTTCACAATGCAGTGTGTTTTGTTCCCAGCTATGAACCACTATGGATGTCTGCACAAATTTTAGTTTGGTGCTATATTTCGACGAGTTCCAAGTGTGTTGAGTGTACATCAAAATCTCTATAAAATAGTTTCTGACACCACACGACAAACAAAGCACATTTGCACAAACAAGCCACACTGCACCCATCATCATAGCTAAATCATACATTAACAAGCCATCTTAGCTGTGGCATGACAATGCAAGAGTAGGCATACCTGAGATGAGGACATCACTACAGGTCCCATTGACCAGTACCTTCCCCTCTGGACAGCTACATCTAGCACCCGTTGGGTTGAGTAGACACATGAAATCACAAGACATTCTCAGGCATGGATTTGACGCTGTGGAGAAAGTGAAAAAAAGAGCCAAGATGATAATCTGTCGGTCTGGCATGAGATGAGAAGTATCCATTTGTTAGTGAAAAGAGTGTTTGTTCTATATCAGAGTAAAGCCATTTATTTCAAGTGTTTTAATTTCTGTTTTGAAGAGTCTTATTTTCTTGAAGCCCAGAGAGACATGAGGCTAAAGCATATGAATAACTTCACATCATTCAGACTGAATAATCAACGATTGTGAAAGAAGTGCTAAGAATTTCCAGTCGTCTAATCAATTGGCTGCACTTTGAAGTGTTCGCCCCGCTACTGCCTGCAGTGGCTACACAAAATAATGTCAACATCTGAATTAATCAAAATTATAAAAACTTCCACAGTGGTGGGTTGTATTGATACTGATAATTAGCATGTGTAAGCTATGACAGAGGTCTGATAATCACTACTTTAAAATGAATTCAAAGCAGCACAAGACTTCTAACAGAGAGGCAAAATCAATGTCCAAACTCCAGGTGCATGGGACAAAAAAAAATTGGAAACTGTTTAAAAACTATACAGCTATAATAGATACTTAGGTAAAGTAACTTTTAATAAAATAATACAATTATGTCTACCTACTTTATGTTTCTGTCGAGTCATTAATGGTTACAATGTTGGTACATATGGTATATACTAAAAATAATCAGTGCTCAGACTTCTTACATAATGCATGAGGATGAAAGCCCAGAACAAATCTAAATGGTTGTTAGGGTTTTGCTGAAGATATCAGACCTTCATGTCAAAGCTTTTTGCAGGCTGTGCACATCTTGTGCCCACAGACTACACAAGACACACTACAGGGATGGCCTAATGAGTCTCTGGGGAATGGAACAGCTGCCCTTTAAGTGAAAAACTGACCAAGACTGAGGTGTCTGATGCTCTATAACCATTAACACCAGAGATGTAACAAATAACTGAAGTTGGTCTACTACATGTGGAAAGTGAGAGGAAGAGATAGATTTATTGACTGACTGTGTCTCAGGAAACAGTTGGGTGTTTTTTTATGTTGCACACCTGAAACATGTCTCACAGAGAGCTTCAGTCAAGAGAGCAAATGTTGTTTCCTTGAGTATTATTTAACAAACACGTATTATTTAAATAGATATTATGCATTTCTTATTAATTCAATACCATTTATTTTTTTAATTAAATGTTTAATGTTTTACACATACATTAACCATACTATAATGTATGTGTAAAACATATAGGTATGGGCTTAACTACAGTTCTCTTGGATGCATAGGACTAGTGGTATCTAAAATTTTCACTTTTCAAATGAGAAAAAAAGTACCCACATACAGTATAGATTCTATATTTTCATTCTGTGTTGTTTATATATAAGGGGGTCAAACACACATCCATGATCTCCGTTCAACAAGGACACAGAAACACACAAACTAGAAGCCATTCAGTCTGTGACTCGTTTACAGAACTGATCCTGTATCCGTCCCAGCAACTGGAAATGACCACCTTCAATAAACCTTCTCTACATGAACCTATAAAAATGGCTTCTATCAGGGTGTATAGTACAGAGGAGGTACAGTCAAAGACCATCTACATATAATTATGTAACGCAGATTTATTTGGCTGACACTCAAGTTTGTTACATGACAGTAAGCTATTCTTTATTTTCTTAATTAACTACTGCTGCATTCAATACACTATCTGTGATTTGGGTCACTGTTAATTCAAATTTGTGGTAAGGTTTCAGGGTTAGATGTTGAATGTTACATGTAAGCCTTCCATGCCAATTTTGATAGATCATTTTGCATAGTGTATGTACTTCATTTATAGTCTTATATTTTTCTATCATATTTTGTAATATTTTATTTTGTGATATCTTGTTGTACCTCCACTTCTGTACTCTCTTTTTGCACTACATTGCCCTATACTGCTGTGTCAATTTTGAATTTCTCCTAAGGGGGATCAATAAAGGAACATCTTATTTAATTTGCAGGAACCTTTGACCTTTATCATTATTTTGCACCAAACAAAATACATTTTCAAAAGCAGGATTGTGTTTTTAATTTAATTGTATATGACAGGATAGTTTGAAGTGATAAAATATCCAAAAGATAATAATTTTGCAGGCAAGACTATATGCTATCTTTGACATCATGTTGGGGACCGGAGGGAAAGGAATGTCTTTATAAAAAGAAACACACTTTCATCATTCAAAAAATGACAATGAACACGCACCTAAAACTAAAACAAAATAAAAGTTAACCACAAACAAAAAGTGAAACTGAAAATAAAAAGTAAAACTAAATACTTTTAGAAAATAAACAACAAAAAGCTAAACTGTTGGATCCAGATATTAATATAACTGCAAACAATAAATAAAATAGAATAAACCTGGCAATTCTGATTGTGTAATGTCTATAATTCGTCCTAAAAATAAATATGAATATTGCAATACTTATTTCTTAATTCTTAAAAGAGACTGATTGTCGATAAAACTTACCATCTTGTTGTTTGTAACGGTGGGAAATCAAAACATTAGTGGGCTTCTCCATCCCCAAATTGAGAAATTCCACCGACTGTTTGCCGTACTTGTGAATCTTGAAGACCTCATGTTTTAATCCAGTTCCATAGATGTAGTCTTCAAATATGTCAATTCTGTATGGTTGGGAAATTCCTGTAAATCCAGCAGAAAAAAAAACATTGAGTAACCCTTTCGGAGAACTTGCAGGTTTGGATAATGAAAGTTTGTATCCTGTGGAAAAAGTAGGAATGTGCAGTGTGGGAAGATTGATCTTTTAAACACACATTGTTTAAAAGCTAACCCTTCTCTACCACAAATTATATATAAAAAAAATTAGACTAAAGTGCAGCAAAAACAGTATGTGTTTGACTAAAGATGTCGTGTTTTCCAGTTGGCTTTACCGTGTCTGTCACTGATTGTCACTAGGGGGTCCGAGCCATCCAATCTCATGCTCCCTATCTGTGAGAGCTCAGGATCTGCCCAGTATAATCGTTGGTTGAAATAATCAATGGCCAGCCCTGTGGGAGGATGAAGGAAAGACATTTATTTACCTAGCAAATTTCACAGGGATCATCAAGGAACCCCTCAAGTCAGGAGACCTTGAGGTTAGAATAATTAAACGCATGTAGCAGATCAACAGGATGTGGGGACATTACTTTTGTTTCCCTCTGGCTGTTGGCATTCAACATTTGTTTTGCGTGTGTCAAAATAACACAGTAGATCTACCACCTTGTTGTGCACTGCAACTTCAATGGCAGAGTGTAGGTGTGCTTACATTACAATTTCAAACTGGTGACTCACTTTTACTTTCCCCCAAAAGTCTGACTGGATAACTGAGCACCTGGCTTGGGCGTTTAAATAGGTTTGCGTTTTTCCACAGATGATGAATTCCTCTTTCTGTAACCAAGACAGAGCATGGGTCCTTTGAATTAAAGGAGGCCAAAGCAGCTCTTCAAAACTAGATCAGCACTAAGTGTCTCCCTATAGGCAAACCACCAAATTCCAAGTAGCTGTAAGGTATTCCCTACCTATACATTTCATTGGTGTTATCCTCTATATCTCACGTCATCTCACGCATTGCAACCACAATAGAACTGGACATTACACACCCACTCAATCAATAACTCACCCCACTGCCTTCTGGGCGGAGGTACCGAACACTGGGGTGCAAGAAAGATCGCTATGGAAAAAGCCTGATCCCTGCAGCTATTGCTGCTCTAAACAAAATGGCGCGCTGCGTATGTAACCTGTCATGTATTATTTATTTGATTGTTTGTTTGTTTTTCTTTGTGGATTTGTTAATTGTGGATGGTGTGTTTCTTTGTTGAGTGTATGGTGTTGGTATGGTGCAGTGATGTGGACATGAATTTCCCCCTTGGAGGACAATAAATTGAACTGATTGATATTTTCATAGTGCAGTGGCTTTTCAATATATAATATACAGTGTATATGTAGTATGTGTGCTTTGTATGTATAGTGGCTATGAATTAGAGACCTGCATACATTGCTTCAGTTGTGTCACAGAGGTTATCAGGGTTTCATTTATTCCTGTTCTGTGCTTGTGATGGGATAACATATTTGGTGTTAATAGCAATGTCTGTTCTATTTAATTGATATGGTATGGACACAGATGTGACAGATTAATAATGTCAATACATTATGGCCCTGACACTGTACAATATAGAGGAACCAGTTTTTCAAAAGACAATTCAGCAATATTTAACTTGAAGACTGAAGTACTGATCAAACTAAAAATGGTTATTTATGAAAAAGCATTACATAGCATTACAACATAGCAAAACTAAATTAATGTTATTTTTCCCCCTTTTTTTCATGTGCTTTATATTTAAGGCAGCATTTAATATCTTTGTGTGTTACTCTTATCGCTACTTTATCATTTCCCATTGTCAAAGTTGGGAACCTTTAAGCTCAGTAATTATATGTACAAGCATGTACGATCACTTAAAGGACCAGTGTGTAGGATTTAGTGGCATCCAGCTGTGTATTTGCAGAATACAACGCCCACGCTTCGACCCCTCATTCCACAACTAGTGACAATTTATCTAGAGCCAGTTTTTGGTTTGTCCATTCTGGGCTACTGTACATGGTGGTTCAACATGACCAGCCCCCTCTGTAGATAAAAAAACGCCTCATTCGTTCTGTGAGCATGTTTGTCATGAACTTACACACAAGCATGTGATGACACAATGCATGTTTCCTGCCAATGGTTTCAAACTACTCCACTGACTGACAATTGGTGGCAGTAACACACTAAAAACCCAAAAAGCAATGCACCAGCAAAAGCAGAGTATATAGCATATAAAATCGTATGCAAAAAATTAACGTTTCAAAATTATTATTTTTTTTAAATCTTACATCTGCTGTTTTCCAAAAACTTCAAAACATCAGCATGGTTATACAGACAATGAGTTATAAGAAACATTGAATGCTAATATTACTTTGTTTGTTATCATGTAAACTCCACAGGATACCCTTAAGACATCAAAGTAAAGACAGGAACCAAATTCGCAGCAATGTAAATAATTTATGGGCTTTATAAGAAATACCTACCGGTGGGTCTCCTAAGGTGTTTTTCCAACAGCACTCTGCGTAAGGAGCCATCCATGGCTGATTCCTCAATATGAGAGTGATCACCTATTACACTCCAGTACATCATTCTGGAACAAAGAGAAACATTTTACCATCTACACCATATTTTCTACTTTACACCATCTTTACACCATTTAAATAAGCATTTGTACTATATACAGTAGCCAAATAAATGACCTCACAGCTATTGCAACACATTTGGTGTTCCTCAGTACAGATTCCTATAAATCCTTCTGTCCTTGGTGATGATGCAATATCCAATCGCCTAAATTAACTGCAACTAATGAACATTGCAGACAAATAATATTCTTACATCTTCACTTGCCAACTAATGGCGTATTATATGGTGATGGGGCTGATGAGAACATTTGGAAAGCCTGAAGATTCATTGTAAGAGTGATATATCGGCTTTGTTCTTGTTGGAAGGCACCTTTGATGGAGCTGCTCCGAGTAAAGTGATGTAATAGATAATGTAACTGATTAAGCTACTCACAGTGCAGTGCAATTAATAATGTCCTTACATTTTAATGATCATTAAGCAATGGGTAACTGATTACATTCTCCAAGTAACACTGCTTTCTTAAAGAACTGAAAATCGATACAATGACAAAAAGTGCAGATCTTAATGTTTTTGTCAATTCTTGAGCATCTCATTTAGTGTCTCATAGCTGTCTCGATGGCAAAGGGAGAACCTCCTGTAGCTGTTTCACATTCCAGCGCTTGCGCCTTTCAGCAAGTAAAAGCCTTTTATTGTGCAGCAACAGCAAAGCATGTTTGGTTGATAGGAGTTGAGGATTGTTAGTGTCCCAGAGAAAAAAAAATGAATGTGTTACAAGAATATTTGTCGTATAAGACAAATGTCCACATGGCATGTGTCTTAAGAGATTTTGGTAGGAAGACAGAATATGTGATAATTGTGTGTATGCACAACTTACCCTCTTGCTGGGTTGACAGCAATGGCGTATGGCTCTCCTGCTATGTCAGTAATCAAGCGGGTGCAATTTGGTCCCTTAAGTTGCCCCACATTTATGGAATATCGTAATTTAGTCCAGTGGGCTGTGTAATAACTGAACCAGTGCATCCTAGAATGATCAGTCCAATAAATGTTGCCTGTGATCCAGTCAGCAGAAATGTCTCTGGGTCGACGGAAGTCTGAACACTGCAACCAATAACAGCCACAAATTCAGGTGCTTTATTCAACTTCTGTGCATATATTCACTTAATGTTGAGTCTCATAAAGGATGTAGACATTACACATGTAGTATAGTGCTACTGTATGAAGAAACATTTAAGTAACTGACACACGACATGAGCAATTGACCAGTCATAGAATGTTCTAACTTAATGCTTATAACGTCTATAGTAAGAGGACATAACTAAAAAAAACTGGGGATTACATTAACACATACCAACAGATTTTCTCAGCAAAACAAGACACATGTTTTTCTATTCTTTAAACCCATATTTTCTCAACCCCTGATTGAGAAAATATGGAACATACATTAATAATTTGCTATCATTGAAAAGAAAGTTAGATATACTTACAATGTTTCTGACATTTGATTTAGTTTGACTTCTTTCTAGAGTGTCTTTGTAAAAAATTCCACCAGGGTTAAATTGGGTAGCCCAGATAAACTTTTGGTGGTGAAACAGAGCATCCATCCCGATAATGCGGGCATTGTCCTCAATGTGAGTGAGAAGTTTGTGTCCATGGCTCTGGTTAAATGGATACACAAAACTTCGGATTTCAGTATCATTAGCTATGTAGAGCACTCGATCTTCTGGTCCTGCCCGGTGAGTAATTAATATGTAAAAAAAGAAAACAAAGGAAAATTGTCTAAATTACATTTTGGGTATTAGACAACAGTTTAAGCACAGTACATACCAAAAGAGCTAAACACTGTGCTCAATAATGAGGTCACAAAATTAGCATATATGTAGAGTACACCAAAGTTTGTTTGATATTAAACTACGATCATACCTTTTGCTATGCAGTTGCCATTGATTTCCTTGTAATTTCGGTCACATGTGCACTTAAAAGATCCTTTAGTGTTTGTGCAGTAATGAGGACATGTGTCAAACTGCAGACATTCATTTAGCTCTGGAAAAAGAAGGACTGAATTACAGGTTGCTAGCAGTTAGAAAAGTATTAACATTTTCCATCATTGATGAAACACTGTATATGCATTCAGAGCTGATGGGTATTGAATGACAAATACATTCCAGCACAGAAAGTCAGGCAATGGCCAAAAGTTGCTATGGTCAGGACATGAATGCATTAGCAATAAATACAGTTTGAACCTCATTTCAATTTTCTCCATGAGAAGTGGTGCCCTCAACCCACTAGTAAAGAGGAAATTATATGCATGCAGTAAAGGACAGAGAAGCAATAATATAATAAAGAGTAGTAGGCAATAACTACCGGACACTTTTCCAATCAACTGGGAAACAAGAATGAGGTTGAAGGGTTGATTAAATAATCAAAATGTAAAGGACCTTCGTGTAGGATTTAGTGGTATCTAGATTGCAACCAACAGAATATCACTCAGCTTCCAAGCATGGAAGCAAATTTTGAAAAGAGCCAGTGTTTGGTTTGTCCATTCTGGGCTACTATAGAAACGGTGGTTCATAGATCATCCTAAATGTTACACACTGGACCTTTAAGACTAGAATGAGTGCATGCAATAGTATTCATCTAAACTTTATAAGACCAATAGAAGTAGACATAGCAAGCCAAAATGCGTTAAGGAGACCATGTGGATGTGGGTGGAAGAGGGGTACTTAATTTCATGATTTCATCCATCTTTACCTACAACACAACCATTCTTATTAACAGTAAATTATATTTTTCCTATCAAATATAGTCAACATAATACTATGGGGACTGTCAGTCTGTGTGTCCTGTTATGGGGTTCTCCACATAATGGGGAAGACTGCCAGTTTTAAACTAAGCCTGTCGTGAAACTGGAGCCCTCGGTTTGACATGTTTTGACATGACTTGACACAACTGAGATTATTTGTGTCCATTTAAACCATTTTCATTGACACAAACTGGCTTGTCTGCTCTCAGCAGATGTATTTTACATCTTAATAATAGTTCTAGAAATGAGTTTTTACTTACAATAAAACACTAAGGAATACATTTTCATATGTGACACTTGACAGTATTTGCAACAAATTCCATATCTTAACATGGCTGATCCAAGCAAAAGAAACCGTCTTAGTCGAGTAAAAAAAAATTTTGTAGTTACTGAACTACCTGCCTTACTGTTAATTCTTACAATGGGAAAATAATAATAATAATGACCATACATTACCTTCACATTGGCCTGTCTTTTGGTTCCTCTTAAAGCCAGCTTTGCACTGACAAACAGCATTAACATTTGTCTGGTTGCAAATTGCATCCTCTCCACATGGATTTGTTTTCTTTCCACATACATCTCCGCTGGAAACTACAAATAAAAACAGGACTTTGATTACACTTCTGTCCTCTGCAGCATAGACACCTGCTGTGTTTTTCTTTTGATGTACAAAAGCCAAGAGGGCATCATCGTCTTTCATAAAGTACACAACACAACTCAAACATGGGCATACATATATTACCATATAAATCAATGCATTTAAATGAGGAGATTGCTGAGCTTCCTGATAACATCATTGTGACATTTGGTACTTTTCATCTCTTCCGAAAGCTTCTCTGATCTATTTGCTCAAGTCAACTGGTGCTGCACTTACAGGCCTTGCAGTCTTGCTCGTCCGAGCCGCCATCGCCACAGTCACTGAAAAGGTCGCACTGTAGCTGAATTGGGATGCAGCGCTGGTTACTGCAGGTGAACTCTGTCTTCCCACAAGGCCGAGGTCTTCCGGCCACCACCTCTGCTTCAGTACACACAGTGGCAGTTAAGACAACAAGAACTCATAACATAATTCATGCAGGACTAAATATTCAAATGCAAATATGTTCTTTTTAGTTTCAATAGATACTGCAGTAGAAGATTGAAATGTGCACTAATGGGGACAGAGCTTATTGACAATTATTTACCTATCTTAAAACTTTCACTTTTACTTCACTGCATTTTAAATGAATTAATGTGTGGTTTTAATGTCCCAGATTACCTTGGTCACTTGCTGCAAAACAGATAATTTAGTAAACAATACTGTTTATTTCTGCATGTTTGAACTCTAATAATCAATCTATAACTGTCAGTCAATGTGTAGCTGTTTTCAAAATAAAGGATGAAACCTATCACAGAGAGCAAAAAATCCAAAAATGTTTAGTTACTTTGCAAATTTTTTTGGTCATCAATTTCCTATACAATACATTTTTCATCTTTCCTTGCAAGTTATATGGAAAAAGAATGAGCCCACACCAAGCACAACAGAAAGAAGGAAGGGAAAGAGCAAAACTAAGTGAGAGAGGTGGATGGAGGTAACGGTGGGATTAAGGTGAGATTGAATAATGGATGGAGGGAAGGAGCATACAATGGTGAGAGGTAATGGAGTGAGGTATGAGATGGATGGGTGTATCAATGGAATCAGAGAGGAAGATGAATGGAGGACAGAAGGGATGAAAGAGTGAAAGATGAGAAGAAGAAGTGATTTGTCCCTTCCTTTCCTGTCTGCTCCGTAATCATTCAAGAGGGCCGGCAGCAGTTATGCCTTTGGGCATATGAGAGAATATAAAAGGCAATTTCCGACACAAAAATCAATAAAAAGAAAGCAATGTTAAGTGCACCAAATGTTTTACAATGAAGCTTGTATATATCAAGGGTGATGATTTGCAGCACGTGAAGTGAACTACTGGTATAAAAATATATCCCTAATCTGATTGCAAAATGTGGTTTTCCATAACTACAACTGTACAAGATTGTATGACGACACACACTACACTAAGTACTAGCCCAGAGTACTTTAAGACCCCATATATGTAACATGTCATCAGAAAACTACTGGGAATGCTAACATTTAGCAACCTGGTCAGTGTTTGGTATTATATATCAAAGGAGACCACATCGGCATAAGAAGTCAAAAATGCAATGTTAAAGGCCCAACTTTTGTTGGATGAAATACTGCGCATGCTGTTTCGAACAAAGGTTCCCCATAGAGGCGTCACAAGATCTGAGATGTTGCTTTTTTCTTTTTTTTCTGCCTCCTTAGCCCTCTACAATTACTTGAATTACAATAATTCAAAAGTCCAACTCATAGACAGGCAATATGTGATTAGAAGTCTTAAATAAATACCGATTCAGTTCAGGGGTCATGCGCTAAAATGGTTAGAAGCCATTTGGTTTAGAGAACAGTTTGGAGTTCACAAGTTTTATTATGTAATTTCCTGACTTCTCAACAAAAAAGTCCTCGACCAATAGTGGTCATAGATTGCCAAGTTGTGATCCCAGCCTCAATTAATGTTTTAAGCTTTTCTATAAAAATTTAACAATATCTGCATCTCTGTGGGACAAGGTCTCCTTATGGACAAGCCTATAAGGGGAGCATGGTTATTAAATAATAGAAGTAGACTTCTGCACTAACAAACTGACCATCACTTTAATTGCATTTTCACATAAAGAATTAGCTTAGTGCAGATTTACTATCAGATCTGTATGGATGCATTCTGTGCTCACCACACTCTTCTTCATCCGAGTTGTCACCACAGTCATCTACTTTGTTGCAGATTTGGTCTGTGCGTAGACACACGTGATCATTTCTGCAACGGAATGGCCGTGTAGGAGGACAGGGAAGTTTTGCTGGAAATGAAAAGACACACAAAAAAGCTAATGTATATATCTTTTAAAAAAACTGCTTTAAAACTTGTAATATTTTTGAAATATTCCCTCTTGGTAAATAGAAAAGTAGTGGCTTATAAAATATGTATCAGTTGTCTTCAAAGGAAAGCCTTGTGAGTGACAATTTCAACCCACCACACATGTCTATGTCTTCATCAGAGTTATCTCCACAATCGTCCTTGCCGTCACACACCCACGTGTGGAGTTTGCATAACGTGTTGTTGCAAATGAATTCATCAGCCCGGCAGAAGAAAGCACCTGTAATTACACAGATAAGTTCTTAAGACTCTTAACACTCTAAATTAGTTAGAAAAGTGCATTGAAGGCTGGAGAAGATGTGACTATCAACAAAATTATAATGACAGATCATGGTGCATAATGATCCAAACAGCCCTGGGTCATTTTCCCACTCAAAAGCAGAGTCTATTTGAATATATTTCTGTCTTTATTCTCATCGCAAATTTCTCATTTTCACTCTGGGCTCTCAACTTACCTGTCGCATACAGTATATTATTCAGTTTTTCCGTCCCCTTTATGTTAAATGCTTTGACATGGTTCACATGACCTATCTGTTCAATAACAATATTTGCAATTTAAAGATCTGCGATAGCACAATGCCTCCAGGAATCTAATTCAGTCATAAAAAGCATACCACAACACATTAACATGCTCGAGAGGTCACACTCATGCCTACCCTGGCTGCAGTTTTCCTCGTCACTGTGATCCATGCAGTCCAACACATCATCGCAGCGCCACCGCCGCGGGATACAGTGAGCACGATTCAGACAAAGGAATTCATCTTCTCTGCACTCCTTCACACAGCCAATCTGTCAGCAAAAAATAAACGTAAATCATCAAAATTGTCCCTTTTAGTGATGTTGTCAGCTGCAATCAGAGGAAACCAAAACACTGAATGATTCATGATTTAACCGGGGGTGATCCATGATTGGATAAGCAGGTCATCACTGCTGAACTACTGTACAGTGTGAAACTGCACTACTTGGAAAGAAAAATCTTTTTTCAGTAGCTTTTGTAAACCATGCTGCACTGACCTCATCTGAGCCATCCAGACAGTTGTCATGTCCATCACACCGCAGGCTGGCTGACACACATCCTCCGCTGGCACACACATACTCATTTACGGAACATGAAGGGACTGCTGGAGAAGGGCAAAGTATAGCATATCAACAACCCGCCTTCTCTCAACTAGAAATCACTCAGGTGAGACCTTTGCAGTGTCTTGTTCTATAAACAAGTGGAAAATCCCACATAAAGGTAATGCTGACTGAAAATGTAGCTCTTGGAGATAAATTATCGGAAAGTATCACTACAGTAGTGTAAGTACAGTATGATGTTGATCTGCAGGTCAAAAAGCTCATATTGTGTACTTCCTGCTGCTGAACAAAGTGCTTCACAGTACACTTCTTGGCCAGCAATGAAAGCAGAACTGAGGCTATTTCTACTCCAGAGAATGATCTCATATTGTATTGTAAGTCACTTCATTTTCAAGGTACTTGGGAATATGCAGAGACAAATGAGGATGTTTTTAAATATCTCACATTATCATACTATTTTTCTTCATTCTTTTGTTGTATGTTGTACAGTATCTTAAGGACAGGATGTCATGGATTGCCATCTATTTAATCAATTACTAATGAGTTTATGTGGTATGATAATAAGACCATTGTTAAATGCAGTATGCCCTTGCAATAAGGGCTACTTTCTTTTATACCAAAACTATAATCTTGATAATGGGACATTTTTATATTTCATATGATACTTTACAATGACCTTAGAGAGGCCAAGGCTGAGTTAACAATGACAAGAAAACTTTTTTCTTTCAGAAGAATAAATTGTATGAACCCCACTCTTACAAGAAGGAAATATATATATAATAATCCAGAGTACACAAGGGCTAGAAACAGGCAATGTTCTATGCACCAACTGGTGATCAAAAGTACAATTCAGGAGTACATTCTACGATTCTTTAACAAACTAGAGGACTTTTGTTCTGCACCTGTTCCCTGGCAGTTTCTCTCATCTTCCCCCATCTTGCAGTCTTCTTGGCCATCACACAGCCACTTCAGCGAGATGCAGAGGTTGTTGTGACACCGAAACTGATCATCTGCACAGCGTTCCTCACAGCCTTTCTGTAAACAAATACAGTAAAAGCATAAGATCATATACTGTGCATGTTAACTGTCAAAGGAAAATACTTTAAATCAGTGACACATCCAGGCTGGACTCTGAAACCCAGTGTCTCCACCACTATGAATTATAACAATCTACCCAATGATGGCCACTATGAATAACTGAATAACTAAATGTGATGATCACTGTGTATTATTAATGCTGATTGAAAGACAACTTTTTTTTCTGAAACTATTTGCCTGCTCTGACCCAGAAAGCTGGCACTGGGGAGACACATAATAAAGGGTTAATTAGGGTTGCACTGCTTTGCATGGAGAGGGATTATATATAAAATTGCTGTGCAAATGTTGAACAGAGCAATAAATTAACAAGAATAATGAATCATAATAACACGCCTTTGTCCTTGAATTATGCATTGCATTGCGTCATTACCACTGATGGGGCATTCTTTGTATGAATCCTGCAAAAATCTCTTTACACCATGCAGTGCTACATAAAGGCACATTTAAGTTAATTTCTTCACATTATACAAAAGTCTAAAATTACAATGGCAATTTGAAGCTTTATAAATTAAGATATTCAAGCATATCTATGAACCAAACAAGCAGTCTTTGTTTTGCTGAAAGGCGTGGGGAATTAGGATTTTCGGAAGCAAATAAACATGGAGGTATTTAACTCATCACAGTGTTATTTCCTGTCCAGCATTGTTTTGGAAGGTAGCGACCATGACGAGGAGATTTGGATCGACACAATGAATTATGCCTAGAATGGGATTATTTTCTTGTGGCAATATACCCGTCCAATTTAATATCCTTCTCCAATTGGGATATTTAATGTGTTCTTGGGCTGCAAGCTCAGATACTAACAAACATTTCAATTACAGTCTAAATGTATGTGTAAGTGTAATTTAGCCCATGTGCAGTGTAATCTGCAGCTGTTAAACACATCTTTCTATCGTCTTTACAATATTACTTTTTTTGTGTAAACCAACTTATAATTTTAAAAACAACCAGTATTGACTCACTAATGATATAATAGATTGGTTAACACATGAATATACAAAAAAAGGACTGGACACAATTTCTACTCACATTGACAAATCCAATATGCCAGAAAAGGCACAAAGTACGGTGTTGGTGTTTGCTTTAAAAGGGTTCCTCTTTTGGAGCTATTTTGAAGTGGGCATTATTTTATTCTTACTCAAGTGTCTTGCTAACAATATCTGTGCCTCATTAGCAACGCTAATGTGGGTTTACCTTCCTCTTTTATTTCTAAGAAAGTGGTACACATATGTTAAACACTGGCCTCATCTGAATTATCCAGGCAGTCATAGTCTCCGTCACATCGGAATCTGGAGGAGATGCAGTCTCCATTAGCACAGCCAAAGTCCTTGTGGTTACAGGTGACTGGCTCTAAGTTGAGAAAAAGACAAAAGATACAAAATCATGCCAAACTGATTCTTTTTCCAGCATTGCACAAAACAAACATACATCCCCTGATGAAGTTATGGGCCAAATGTTCTGTGTTTGGAATCACATTATAATGCCTTGGCAAAACTAGCATTTCAGCTAATTAGGGTTATTTTGTTTTATAAGTGGAGAAACTGGCGAAGCTGATCAAGATGTAAATACATTCATTGTTGCTCTCACAATGGAGGGGGCAAGATACTCTCTGAAGCCAAAAATCTTGTATCTGCCATTTAGTGCAAGTCTGTCCCTGAGGACAATATTAGGGTGCAGCTAAACAGCTGCATCAGATCTACTGTCTGGGCCCTCCCCTCGTTATCATGGACTGTTAGCTAACGCAGGGTGTGTGTTATGAGTTGTGCTGCAACAGAGACTCCCAGCAGGCATTGCACCAAAATCTGATTTGCAGCCTCTCCACTGTCTGCTGGTCCACCTGCTTAATTCTTTGCCATCCAACACTTGACTGGCTTTTATTTGCATTTTAAGTGACATTAATAGGTATGGGAAATAAGCATCTAATAAATCACGCAAATGATGCATACGCAGCAAAAACACACAGAAGGCATGCACATACTCATATGATGTACAGGCCAAAAGTTCCACTCACACACACACACACACATGCAAGGACTTGAATGCACAAAAGATATGACATTTAACAAGGTGGGTTATCAGTGTCATTCCATGAGTAAATAAAAGTTTTATTCTAAAAGTGATGGTGAATATCTAAACAAAAGGGAATATGAGCTTGGTAAATTACAAAGAAGAGATGATATCAAGAGCTCAGGAGTCTCAGAGACACAGCACAGATAAAGAGTATGCTTTAAAGAGAGTTGAGCCTGGCTGACTCGATAGTAGGAAACATTACCCAGGGTGTGCAGATACAAGACTCTGTGTGTGTCTGTGAGAGAAGGAGGTGGTAGGGGGGTTATGGTGGTGGGAGGGGTACTCAGGTGTCCAATCCTTCACTGCCTAAGTGTGTGTAGAACGTCAACAGTGTATATAAACGAACAAACTCTGCTGTCAGAAAGTGAAGGAGTCATATACTCACTGCAGTTCTCCTCGTCTGAGTTGTCTCCACAGTCATTCTGGCTGTCACACCTCCAGTGGTCTGGGATGCAGTTGTTATTCTCACAGCGGAATTCATGAGGTCCGCAGGTCTTTTCATCTTTTTCATCAGGAGCAAACAAACACGAAGATGAAAATGGCTTCAAAGAGCATGAATATTAATGGTGTGCTAGCTATCATATTTTCTACGTGTAATCATCGTTTCCTCAGGGTTTCCCTGAGCAACTCTGACACTAAGTTCAAAACACAGTATGCACTCCAGAGGCTAACACACCGTAAGATGAAATACCTGACTGTGCTCCCAATCATTCTCAACAGAATTTGTGACAGGAAGTTGGCAAGATTGAACTTTCTTCAAGAAAACATCCAAGAGAATTTCAGAACACAACAAATGCTGCAGGATTTGATTTTAGCTTTGTTATATATGGAACTCGAACTGTATTTCTGTGTCCCGTCAGTGCTAACAAGTACCAGGGATAGTCATATCTGAACTATAGAACATATAACTGATGTACTGATATTTTAAAATGTCATCTTGCAGTGACAGCAGCTTAGTTACTGGTCCACATATAAGCTCACCTCTTCTGTGTTGTTAATATTATTCATTTGATTATAGTGTTATTTAAAGGACCATATGATTTAGTGTCATCTAAGGGTGAAGTTGCAGATTGCAACTAAATGAACACCGCTCATGTCTGCATTTGGGAATGAAAAAGGGCTGTGAAGTGTGTAGGAGAAACTACGGTAACCACCAATGCCCAATGTACAGCCAGTGTAGAAATGGCGGTACAACATTGAAGACTCCATGGAAGGTGACCTGCAGTGTCTGTAAATAAAAACGGCTCATTCTAAGGTAACAAAAAAACAATATATATAAAAAAATATTCCATTACATTATATACCAACATTAATCATCTTGTACACAAGATCTGAAAATAGTTAACAGCTTTAAGAGTTATGTCAAAACTAAGCTAATGCTTCTTCCTCAAAATGTCAAGCCTGTTGATCAGATTCAGAGATGTGAACAATTGAGATTCAGAGGTCTGGATCCTTACTATAAAATGTCACCCACAATATGCAATAAATGGCATTTGAGAGTCTTATTTTCCCACTCTGTTTATTTACAGTATTTGCTCTTTGAACTGACTGCTTGGAAGTGTGTGTGTATGTGTGTGTGAGTGTGCACACAACAGTGGCTGGCAGTTGTTGTGGGAGGACCTGCATTTCCGTCCTAAATCAGGTATTCCAGCGTTAAACATTAATGGCAAGATTTAGAATCCAAAGTATCTGCATTTGTTTCAAAAGGAACAGATGCTTTGATATTTGCTCTAGCAATACTTCCTCAGAATGGGTTTTCAAAGTCAAACTGAGAGCTTCCTTTTAAAAAGTCATTCCAGTGCAGACATCGTCAGGGATAATGGCCAAGGTAATGCTGTTATCAGTTAGGGAAGAGATGCGTCAAAAGAGGAGGGTGGCAGATTATGCCTGGATCTCTTTCCAACATGACAGCAGGAGGAGAGAATCAGGAGGGAAAGCTGAGTGCAGCCGCGGAGGACACGAGGCAGCAATTCATTAGGAAGCAGCTCAGTCACTTACAGCATATAAAAGATGTGACACAGGAAAAAAAGCAATATTTCCCTGCCAAGTCAGAGCTCATTACGGTGCTAACAAGCAAAACTTCCTTTAACAGTCTGAGGTAATTCAAAGTGAAAATAAAATAGCTATAAAGCAGCATTAGCTCGTTTGTGCGCTCTGGGGTGGTGGGAAGTTTTTAGGTGATGAAGACATTGACGAATACTGCAGATAATACAGTTTGAGGGGCCCAAGTAAAACAACAGTAAACCTGGATAAACATTTACTCAGTATTACATCAGAGTCTTCTTAAGTTAATTGACATTAAAAAGGAGCAAGATATCCACATGAAACCAAGGTAAAATTACAAAGGGATCTATTGAGAAGAGGTGTAAGGCCTCAAACATCAAAGCATGAATATTGTTTTAATAATAATCAAATTGCAATGTTGTGCAAGTTCCCCCAAATGCACACAAACAGAGATCATAAGTTAATAGTACAGTTGATCTGTACTATCAAGCTGCATCCCTGTACAAACTAAATCTCTGAATAAATGTTTTATATTGTGTTAGGTTGCGTTATATATGTTATATACGGTAGATCACTCTCACTAATAATCTATCAAAATGACGAACAGCCTTCGGATTTTTCCGTCATTGTTAAAAAAATTGGCGGTGATGGAGTAGAATACAAACTATCATTTAAAACCTCAATAGCAAATTAAAAGCTTGATGGAAAGAGTAAAATCGTGATATCCAGTCCTCTACTGAATTAGTCCTAGATTGGTGCTTTGGTTTTAGTCATTTCAACATTTGTATTATTATTTTATTTGATTAAGTTTTAGAGAAAAAAGGGTTGAGATAAATAAGAGAGACACAATACATGCACAACATGGCCACACATATAAGCTAACCGCTTGCATCATCTTTCATGATTGAAGATACATTTGATCTCTGAAAACATCAGAGGGAATAGTGGTTTCATCTTGCTTATTTAATTTGAAACAGGACAGTGAAATTGGTCAAACGGCCTATCTCTATGTGGTGAAATCTTACAGAGCTTTGCATGATTGTGGAGTTGACTTTATTGAAATATTCTGTACGTTTCATTAGAAACAATGTCATCGCTGTGGGTAGTGCTAAAACATTCGTAATCCTATTGAGGAGGAAAAAGTTGCCAAGGTTGTTTACCTGCCCTAGCAATAATGGCTTTGACCGAAACCAAAACTTGTGAGAAGAAACTTGATCATATGTGTGTGTTTGTGTATGTGAAGTCAATAAACACTGACAGCTGCTAAAAACGTGAGGCAAACTGATCATAATGCTGAGCTCTTATTGTCGAAAGGGACAGCTGTCCTTCATGGTATTCTCTCTCAGCACAATCAGATAGGCGGTGAGAACAAGTAGAAGGACTCAGTCAGACCAGAGTGAAGCGAAGTGTAAAATTAATTCAGATTAAATCAGATTCTTCCCCTCTAACTGAAAAATAAGTGAAGTGATGTGATTTATCGTTAAGTGGGTTTCCACAACTCACCGCAATTAGCCTCATCTGACCCGTCTGCACAGTCAGGGTCCTCATCACAAACCCAGAGTTTGGAGATGCAGTGCATGGAGGCCTTGCACTGGAACTGGTCTGGGGAGCAGGTGCTTTCAGCTGTAGGCAGAGAGATGGGTAGTGTGTGTGTGTGTGTGTGTGGAAAAGAGGAAGGTTATTTATAATATATCATCATCCTGCCAGAAATCTTGATTTGTAGAAATAACCTGTGTAATCTGAGTAATCATAAACACTATAGTGCAATAAGAACCAGTGAGGAAGCATTTCATTTCTCTAAAACACACATCTCCCTCACATACATCAGTGTTTTATTATAGCAAGGTTGCAGTACTTGCTTGTTATAAAACCTCACATTGTTTCAGATAGCATTTTAATTTCAGTGCTGCAGTGCTCATTACAAAATTGCATTCAAAACCACATCCAATCATTGTGGAAGTCTAAGAAGGGTTGAAGTAATTAGCTTCACTTTAATTAAAGCGTTTTTTTTAAGTCTCTCTTTCTCCTCCTTACTTTCTTGCATCCCCCCCCAACCTCACCCCTCTTGCAATCACATGCAAGACAAATGCAGCAGTCTGAAAGACTTGAATGGGGTGTGATATTCTGATGAGTTACATCATGGCGGAGAAAATCTGTCCTTATCCTCTGTGTGTGATTCAATATCTAATCCCTTTTCACAGGAACAGGGCATAACAAGGGTTGCATTTGGAATACCTAATGAAGAGTATATGATGTTAGTGGCGTCATATAGTCTGTCCAAGCACAGAAATGAATTACAAAATGAAAATTAAGGTGATTCATCTGAATCCAGAGTGTCTTTGAAACAAAAATATCCCAAAAGTTTTTTGCTGTAATGTTTGGACGGACTGATCAAACAGGAATGGAAATACATTCACAATCTACCCAGACTAATAGCTCAGTCAAGACATTTCTAAGACAATGAGCCTGAATGTAATACAGCAGGGCAGTCTTACGGCAGTCTGTCTCATCCTCTCCATCACCACAGTCGTCCTGACCGTTGCAGCGCAGGTTAAGAGGGATGCATTTCTGTTTCCTGGTGCACTTGAACTGGCCTGACAGACAGATGTATGTCTCTGAAAGACAAAAAAACAGACAGAAGCGGAGGGGGGTTGCATCAGTAAACAAAATGCTGGGAGTTCAAACAAAGCAAAGCATCTATACAGCTACTTCTAGTGATTCAACCTACAATGCAGCGTATTTATCAAACGTTTTATATTTACTGTTAAAGATTTTGCAAACACACATTGTCTCTATTGAGGCATTGTACTTTTGTGGTTTGTTTCAAATGAACAGAGGTGGATACACATGAAGAAAACAGGACTAAGGCTGCAGGTAATTATTACTCTTGTTACTGAATAACCTACTTCATCAACTATTTGCTATTTGTTCAGTGAATTGATTGCTTGGACTATGAATTGTGAAAATGTTCTGAGGACTGAAATAGCTTGTTTTGTTTGACAAATAAACCAAATCCCAAAGATTTTCAATTCAAACTGTACATTCTCACATTTGAGGGGCTGGAAGCAACAAATGTTTGACATTTTGCACAAGAAATTATTCAAACAATTAATCAATTATCAAAACTGGTCTTGAATAATTTTCTTTTAATCAACTAATTAATTCATGGACTAACTGTTTTAGAAATAGAAAACAACAGAAAATTAAAAATGTAATTGATTATAATTATTTATAATTGATTCTGGGAAATGCAGAAACAGCACAACAAGAAGCAATAAATTACACCTTTTAAATTTCCAACTTTATACAGTTATAGTTGTTTCATTCTTACCACAGTTAGCTTCATCTGAGTTGTCACCACAGTCGTTCTCTCCATCACAGATGAAAGGAGGAAGCGCACAAAGGCCAGTCCCACACTGAAAACGCCCAGGCTGACATTTAAATTCCGCTGTTGGAAAGGCAATCATAAGTATATCTCAGGGTATATAATTTAAGAGTTCAATCAGAGAATATAGAAATTAGCACAGAACATTGTGTGAAAGACGTAGAAACAGGTTCCATTAAATGCAAAACATGTAAACAACCAAAAAAGTAATTGCAATGAAAATAAATAAACAGCAAAGACAGAAACATAAGCCCCTTCAGTACCATTTCAATTTGAATATCCATAAAAGCTCACCGAAATAGGAAGTGACCTCTTTTGGTATAGTGAAATTTTAAAGCCAACCTTGGATTGACATGGAACTCACGGCAGTCAGCAGGTTCGTCTGATCCATCCCCACAGTCATCCACCGTGTCACACTTCCACCAGAAAGGGATACACTCATCTGTCCCGCAGCGAAACTATTAGTACCCCGGACAAATATAAACGAAAACACAGAATTTCAAGTCAGCATGAATACTTGACTCTAGCTTCAACATTCTTCAAAGCCAAAGTCAAAATCAATACACAACCATTTCCTAGGACCTACAGTACATGTACGAAGAGGAAAGCATGTGAGAGTAAACCAATTTGCCTTTAGGGGAAAAGTACTGATCTGGATGGAAAAGCAACAACATGTTCAAACTAAACTTAGAAGTGGGAGGAAGAAGAAATGTAGCTGACCTGACTGGAGGTACAATTGGAGAGGCAGGTCTTATTGTCGGCAGCCAGGTAAAAATTTGTGGGACAGGCACATCTGTGTTCCCCACCGGGAGATAGAAGACACAGGTGGCTGCATCCTCCGTTTGCGATCTGACACTGGTGTTTGGGTACTGTAAAGAAGGACAGAAGTACAGAACTGAGTTAATACTGTATTACACAAACCACTTCCTTCTTAACACTATAATAGAGATCCATAACAACTGCTCGGCATGGGAGGATAGAATGGACATGAGTGCCAGATGGTCTTCATACCTTCAGGCTGGCGCAGGGAGTGGTAGACCTTGATGGATTTGATGGCTTGCCAGGAGTTGAGGAGCTCCATTCCTTGAGCGCCGGTTGTCTTATGAGCACGCCGTAGTGATTTGGACTTCCCATCCGTCCAATAGACAAAGTCCTCAAACAAAGTCAGGGCCATAACCCCTTGGATGTGATCATAGGACACTGGAGAGAGACAAATGGCAATGGCAAGCTTCAATGAATTCTATTTTATTTAATTTAGCAGCTTGTTGCTGCTAATTGTGTGGCGCTTGCAGTACACATTTCCTTGATAATTTACAGCAACAAGGGTTGAAACTTCCAATCTGTCTCATCGAGAACATCCACAACCGACCGGTCTGGACGAAATGGGAATCAGGTTGGCCAAACAATGCAAAATCAGAGACTCTTGTGCCCACATCTTTGCAGACACCTGCTCCATCAACATCCCAGATCAAGCGCTCAAGTACTGAGTGCAGGACGAGAGGCGGCGGATTTGGTGTTTACATCAATGATGATTGGTGCTCAAACACAGTCGAAGGGGACTGATACTGTCTCTCAAATGCCAGACTTTTTATATGAAGATGAAACCAGATTTTCGACACTATCTTGTTGATGTTGTTTACATTCCCCCAGATGCAAATTCAAAAAATGAACTGCAGAACAATTTCCTGGGTGTACACATGTATGTATTTAAATAACTGTATACATTGTTTTATTATATATTAGATATGTTATTCTATTATAAATTTAATTATCTGTTGTTCTATGTGTTTTCTTTATGCTGTAAAATCTTGTGTTGTATAACAATAAACAACTTTCCTTGATCCCTGATCTTTAATTTCCCAACATTTAATGTCATAAACAGTAGTGATATTGAAATAACCACTCCCACGCATGATTAAGTAATGGTACATTCATTGTCATTCATCCTATAGTCTAAGAGTTTAACAATTACAAAAGTCCGATTTGGAGGAGGTAGAGCTGTTTCTAGCCTTATATTTAACAGACAGTTAAACTGTAGGATATGATCGATCTTCTCATCTAACTTTCAGTAAGAAAATTAGTAAATGTACTTCCCAAATGTGCTTGCCAAAATGTCAAACACCTTAGTCTCACCTTTGCGTCTTTGGGTGCCATCCATGTTGGCAAGCAGGATGTGGTTGTCGTCTGCCCAGTAGATCCTCTTGTTGGTATAATCGATAGTGAGAGCAGTGGGGCTATAGATCTCTGTGTCAATGATAACCCTTTGCCCTCGGCCATCCATGCCAATACGCCCAATGTTAGGAGGTTCACAGCAGTCTACCCAGAACACGTACCTAGGCAGAAGTATAGCAATGTTCAAAGAGCTATATACTACAGCAGACATACATGATAGGAATAACAAATTTCATCCCTCAAATGAGATCTAACAGTTTCCAGGTTAAGCATTTAAAAAGAGTAACTCCTTCCTATCCTTATTCCCCCTCAAGCTGCGACTTAATCCTTATTAAGGAAACACAAAAGCATTATGGTGAATTTTAAGGTCATGATAATATGCTTACCCTGTCTGGGGGTCCAGAGCTAGATCTCTGGGGTTCTTGAGGCCAGAACTGATCAGGATGGTAGGGTAGAGGCCATTGGCTTTGGACACTTCCAGTGTTTTCCTTTCTGCATCACACCAGTACAGATTTTTACCTATCCAATCCACTGCTAAGGCGCTGGGCACTGCTGTTTTGTGGACTATCTAGTAACACAGGGAGAGGAAGAACCTTATCAGTATAGAGGTTAGTCCATTGCACATCTTAGAATTGCTTTGAATTCTTCCATGGATGGATTTATAGAACTATAAAAAAAAAAAACAGATAGCATGTAAAGAAAAAATGCATTTATGCAAAGCTGGCTCTTTCAGTAGTTTACCACTGACAAACACAAGAGTATGTACAAGGAATAGGTCTTCCTCTTTCAAGTAAGAGTGTCTGTAAATGGAAGATCTCAATCAGTCAGAACCCATTTTTAGGTCCTCCAACATCAATTTACATGAGTATGCTTTCAATGAGACATTTTTTTTCAACTTCATCACACACAAGTCCTACATTCTTGTGATGAATGGGATAGATCTGGAATGCTTTTTGAGATCTGGTCTACATGTGTTGCCATAGTAATGGCTGCTGAGCCATTACTTATGTAATGCAAAGCTGCTAAAGGGCACTGCAGGGTGATCATTAATGACCATAACTGCAGCTGAGCTTTTTTTAAAAATAAATGTGTCACATACAGAACATTGTGCGAGATAAGATTATAATGTTACAGCAAAAATTGGCTTGCAAAGACAGATGATGTTTTCTTAAGTTTTGTTAATTGAAGAATTGTATGTATGTGCATAATAGTATACATTTAATTTTTTCCTCAGAATTCAACACTATCTGTAAAATTAGCATTTCTTCAGTAACTAGTTTGACTATAAAATGTGTTTCCATTATTAATGTTTGTTGTGTGTGTTTCTTTTAGTTAATAATATTAATTATAATATTATACGTGCACAGTATTACCACAACCGATAACACTGTGGGGAAAGCAATAGTCTATTTGAACTCCTCACATATTTCATTCATTGACAGCTCTGGTTACATAATCATTTGTTTAGAGAACAGTGTATTTAATTTTGCTAAAAGATAAAAATGCCATGACATCTTTGTTAGACCTCAGGATTCTGGTGACGCCTGCTATAATCCAAACAATTTCAATTTGGCACTATGTGAAAGAGTTTATAGTCTGGTGTGAAGAAAAGCACATTAGTTCATGCACTTATTTAGTCAGATTGAGGAGCTGTTTCTAAAGACTTAACTAATTAATCAAGGTACCAATGTAGTTTGACCCATGCATAATTATGCATAGCACATTTCTCAAATTAGAGACTACAGATGGAGTGCACAAATCATTCCTGCTGCTGTATGACAGCTACAGTTGTGGCTGACATTAGTAAGAATACAATAAATCTAACTCAGTACAGACTTGTAGTGACTGTTAATCACATTTAATTTGTATTTTGATGTGCATTTTCAACTGTAAAAGCTGCTAATATAGATCAGAGTGAAAAAAGCTAAAGTCAATATGCATGAAGTACTTATTTTTACGATTTTGAAGAGGCCTGTGTGCCTCAACCAACTAAAGCTGTGAAATTTGCACTTGTGTTCGCAATACAAGGTGATTTGACCAGGTTAATACGCAGATGCAATTTCATGCAAACATGATTATCAAAACTGCACTGCACCTGATGTGTGAACTTGGCACGTGCCAATGCATGGCAATGAAGAACTCTGTATATACCTTTTGAAACATTAGTTAATTTGCCAAAAAGTACCCTTTGTATGTATTTAACTTTGTACAGGTAAATACTGTGGTCAGGGTGGAGTGCAGCCGAAAAACGCTTTCATTAATGACTTCATCTCACTGTGCTAATCTCAGTGAAAGAGTTAATTAAAATATAAGTGAAGGTATTCAACTGAAATCTAGGAACTATCCAGGAACTCAATAAATATCTCCAAGATAGTCTAGCCTTTTGAGATTGCAAAAGCAGTTGTTCAGAATAAAACATTCTGCCAGCTGGCAGATAAAGCCATTGCCTTTATTATCCCCCTTTTACAAAAAGAAAAAAAAAAATCCCAGCACAATGCAATCTGTGATTAAGGAACACGATGTGCTTTGAGGCCTTTTCTGTCATTATTTGCAAGAAAATATATAGGCTTGGCAAAATAGGCTGTCCCCTACACAGTAATTTGGACCAAACTGAGTTTAAAACAGTCACTAAAGTGTCACTCATTGTGCAGCATTTTCCATAAACACTGCCTCTTCTGGCAAAAAGGAGTTGATACAGCCATTTTAAGTTAAAAGAAAGTGTTTTCACATGAATAAATGTGCATTCACATCACTATAGTAACATGTAACACTGACTGTTTCAACAGTGATAGCTGGCACAAACGAAGGACACATACATTTTCCTTTGGATGTTAAAGGTAAACCCAAGTACATAAGCCAGAAAAATATGAATACATCTCAATTTATGGGATGAAACCATTAATGGCTTTTTTCTTTCAGCTATTAAATGTGAAATACATGCTGTAAAATTACTAATTGCTTTGCATGATGCATCAGTTTCAGCAACAGAGTACAGTAAAATAGCAGTTACCACAAAAGATGAAATAAATAAAAATAAAAAGCCAAAATCTAAAATGAATCTATATTGTTTGAATTAAACATTAATTATTCAATTAATCTCCACTTTGGCCTCATGAAAAGAAAATCCCCAGAAATACTGTCAGCTCCCAAATCTTTTCTTCCTAATATGGCAAGCCTATACCAGTAGTACTGGATATCAGTTGCTCTTTTAATTAACCAAATGTGAGAAGCTCCCCGATCTCTGTCTCAGACAGTTTGTCCTCTTGCTAAGCTGTGGCAGTGGCTCAAACAGAGACTGTGGAAGTAATTGAGCTCAATGAGCCTAATGCCCCCACACACCAATGCTAATGAGATGTGGGATGGGGGCCCAGCAGGTGTTTTGCTGACATCCCAGTGTCCCCGGTGTCTGGGCTCCAATCCCATGACCCAGACAAACCTTGGTGATTACACCAGAGAGCACCATTGTATCATTAAGCTTGTTACATTTATTTGAAAGCCATTTGTGATATTCCTATTATCACGAACACACATTCATTGTTCTTAAGCTAACAAGCCTTTGGCTTCGGACACAAAAAAATCCATTATTACTATGAAATAACTATAACTATAATACCTATGAAAAAGGATAAAGGGTGCCCATTATCAGCAGAGCACTGATAATGAGCCACTTAAGCAACATACTTTTTTCTAAACCCAAACAAGACAACTCTTTTTCACAGTTGGGTTATTGTTGATAATTTAAATTAATTAGTTAAAAAAATACAGATGAACAGAGCAAGGAAAGATACATACAAGTTGGACAGGGAACACGCAAAGTAAAGCCAATGAATCTTGGGTAAAGTGGCACAATGCACCATATGGCATGCAGTCACAGCAACTAAACCCTGTGGTACCTTAAGGTCACTCCCATTGAGGCGCATTCTGTTAATCTTTCGACCACTTGGCCTGGTTGAGTCCACCCAGTAGATAAATTCCTTCTTGTAGTCAAAGTCTATGTGGATAATGTTGTTGAGGCCCTGAGAATACAGAGGAGAGAGAGAGCACAAGTATATAAACATGGCATTTTTAGCTTCAGTGAAAATGAAACAATAGGGCGAGGCTGAAAAAAATATTAGAAAACACTTTCATTGGCAACAATGGTGTACAACAGAGTACAAATTAATGATTTAATCACACATAGAGTTATCTCGAAAGTGAATTTGATATGCAGGTCTATAAAATAAGGGGTTTACAAACCCTTGTTAATTCCTCCTTTACAGCATATCCATGAGATTTGGTTTACATTAACCCTAACAGCTTATATTGACAGGAAGTCTTTCAGCTGCTTTTTTCAGTCGTCCGTCTGACAGACTATTTTAATCAATACAGCTGTTTACACAGGCTTACAGCATTATACAACACAAAACACATTTTTAAACTTTAAGTCTATTTTCTTCTATTTTACCCACATAGCTACAGTGATTGTGTCTTTTGAGAGCTGTCAAAACACAGGTGACCTACACTCAATACTGTGCCTGAACGCATCATGTGTAGGCACTGTCAAAGACTCTTTTGCTTTGTGTCACAGTGAAAACAATTATATCAATCCAGTGAGTTCCGTTTAATGAATTATATGAAATGGCTACAGGTGGAATATCAACAGGACAAGAAAAACATAAAAAAAAACTCAACTTCTACAGTGTATGTGATATTTACAGTACAAGCAATATTGATTTAGTTGTTTTTCACGCAATGCTTTCAGCTATACAGAGCATTTGAAGAGCCAGTGAAATCTCAAATGCTCAGTGAAGTCGAAGTCCTATCAAAGCAGAAGAGTGAGGTACTTCCCTTCTCTGTCATGCTCACAGGACCCCACTGTCAGTCAGACAGAGCTGCTCACCAAACAAGTGCCCCCACCCTGCTGTCTCGCACTGAGGGTGCCGAGAAAAGGTGTCAGATAATCTGACAGGCGAAATGAGACATCTTCATCAGATCATCAACACCCTCACAGACAGGCACCAAAGTGTCCTGGGGGAACCCATCTACACTCAAAAAATCAGCTACAAAGACGAGACCAGTATGCCCCCTTTATCAGTGCCTCTATCCAGAAATACATTCTTCATTAATTTTCCCTGCAGACAGTAGAGAAACCAACCAACTACACAATGAATTACTAGTGTTTAACAATAAATTCAGAAAATGCATATTAAAAAAAAAAGCGTATAGAGTGTTTGCATACAGTTTATTAGAGTGCAAGTGCTCATATTGACATCACTGTCAATATATCATTGATTTTCTGTTCCACATATTCAGCTACTTTTCTTTTTTAAATCAGACATGTCTGACAGAAAAACCTCCAACTTCCAACTGACTTCGCTTTGGCCTTTGGCTACCAAGTTTTACATTGTGGGGATCATTTCTATAGCAACAGCCACCAATCTAATTCGGTTGCTAAAACTTATCGATATTGTTCTTCTTCTATTGTTCTTCTCTGGCATAAAACAATTTCTCAACACTACAGCTCTTATTTTATTTAAGCACATTTTGTAACCTGAATTCACTGCAATATTTTCATGAGCTGTCATTTCCCGAGCTCATTGAAAGCCTAACTTGCTTGATGTAAAAATGCTATCTGAAGTAATTATGTTCCCTAAAAGGCAGAACCTGACTTTTAAGCTGTAATAAACCGCAGTGAAAAATTTAAACTAGGAAGGAGAACATAAACAGAATGAGTTTTAACAATGTGTTATAATGATACAACAACAGTGTGAGTCACTTGTGTTTGTTGTGGGAAGACAAATTTATACTTACAGCAAAAGCAATACATAAACAAAATGATTGGCTCATTTGAAATTTACATAATATCACGAACATATAATCTCAACAGGGTATGTAATGGTGTGGTAAAGTGATATGAGGTCAGTGAAGTATCCAACACCACTTAGCGAAGTCATGTGCATATTTCCCTCTCTAGCTTCCATTAACGCTAACATGCAGTGATTAAAGTGAGTTGTGGCTGATGAGAACTCTGATAGAGACAGCAGAGTACATCGAGTCAAGAGGTTAATATGACTGTGAGAGGAGACTGTGGGATACCCGTAGGTTGATTTACAGTAAATCATAGCCAACCATTTGTGATAATCAACAGTCAGATTTAAGCTTTGCCTGGAGCACCTGTAATGACCTAGGAATAATTGAAATAGCTTTTCCATGGGGTCCTCAATAGTGGGATTTTACTCTCTACCAATCAAAATGACCAGTTTCCCCTGTCCATATGGTGGGAGCTGGGAAATCATGAGGGACAATTGATATCTCATTTAAACAAAACAATATTTTAGAAAGGTTGTGCAACATTTTAATCAGAAAAACCTACTTGTGAAAATAACTACTTCAGGCTGAAGAGTACCTTCACCTATGCAGAGATTGTTTTTTAAGGGACACACATTTAAGAGAAAAGGGGCTTTGAGTGGATCTTTCAACAGACTAGTAACTTTTCAATACTAGTGTGTCTTTATTAAAGTAGATAATAGATAGTTAAATAAGGTATCCAGGGGCAGATCTATAAATATCCATGGGGTGGCAAGGAGACTTTAATGGTTGGTAGAAATATATGCTGATTTAATCACAAACAAATCACACATATCAATATTTGCTTGGGAAAAGAACCCAACTGAAGGTATTTTAACTCAAAAACATTAGATGATTGTGGAACATTAGTAAAGCATTGAATAGAAATAGCTAAAGGTAGCATTAGAAGTCAATATTTTGTTTGATGTATTTCCAAAAATGTATTTTTTTCTTTGAACTTATGTGAATTAGACTATCACTAAAATTAAATTATATGTGTAATTTCCTCCACAGATTTAGCAGGTGAACATAATTACACTGCCTCTAAAATATGTGTTTTCAAGTGTTCAAACAGCAGCCATTTAAACTCTTAATACTTCCTCAGTATATAGTTTATAAACAAGTACAAGAGGCAGGGGAGATTTAAAATTAAAACATAAAAAGAGAACAATATAGTCATTTGACTGACAATCTGTTCAGGCCTCTTTGCAGTATATGAATGTAATAATGATGAACACTTATCTTTTACCCTGTGAAAATGTCACTACATGCACAATGGCGGTGATGCAGATATCACTTACCTGTTTCAAGATGGTGTAATTTGAGCCATCCACACTCAGCTTCCGGATCTCATGGTGGTCCGCCATAATGAGAAAAGGCTCTTCAGCTGAAATGAGGAACATGTAGCATTAGAGGACTGGTGGGACTCAGTTATGAACTGAAATTCTGCAAGTTGAGGGATCAAAAATCCGGCTGACCTGACAGAGCTTTGCATGTGTTAGGGTTGCGCTCCAAGGCTTCATAGCCATCCACGCATAGGCACTTGTAGGAGCCATAAGTGTTGATGCAGCGCTGGCTACAAGGAAGGGTAGTGGAGCATTCATCCACATCTACGCAAGTCTTTCCATCATCCTTCAGGTGGAAACCAGGCCAGCATTTACACTAATTACACAAAAATACAAGAAAAAAACAAAAACATGGTAGAGATTTGATCATAAATGCAGGAAATGTGAGACAGGACCATCAGTTTAGCTCTTTGGTAGCTTAGGCTTGGTTGAAAACACTGACCATTAGAGTTCTTTCTCTATGCAATGCTTCCTTGTGACCAAGTTTTAAAAGCAGTGCACTTAAACAGGTTGTGCTTTTACAGTCATTTTAGATCAATTGATAATAACCGACAATATATTTCAGACTTAAGTTTTTTTTCCACAATGTGATACAGGACAGCAATGAAAACCTTGCAACTAGCATATATGATGACAGCAAAGCTATGATATAGACATACTGTACCAGGGCTCAAAAATTCCATCACACTTCAGTGACCAGGGCCCACCAAAAATAACTCAAAGTGCTTGTATCAGCTGCTCTGGACCCACTGCAAATCCCTTTCTTATCCAAAGTTATAACCTTGAGGGCCTTTCTGCTGATCTCCCTGTTCAGGCCACAAATGGATGAACTAAGGGTCTGCATTGATGTGCTCTCTGTCCAGCTCTGCCCCTGTCACGACAGGGAGTAGAGGTTTTCTGATGCAGTGAGCACTGTCTTACAGAAGAGTAGAAGAGGAAAATCCAGGGACAAAGGCATAGACTACCGCAGTCTTACACCAGTGATGGCCACTGGAGCACTCCAGCGGACATGGCCTTGACCTGGATTCAACCCTTACATCACATGCCACCATTGCCAAACATGGCACAATCGGCGGCACAGTGAGGGAGTGCAGACAGTGGTTGGCATATCATTAAACTCTCCTTACAGCATTCAAGGTTATTAAAAAAGTGAGAGACTTAATGTATGTATGCTCCCACCCATCTTTATCTGTTTAATGATATGCAAAGTTGGGCTTGATTCATTATCGGTCATTAATCATTCATGTCCACACTGTTACTAATATAAGCTCCACATTTTACCTGCTACTAATGATTCTAGTGCTTAGAACTGTAGGTCAGTCAAGTCTATAAATGTTAGACTGTAGTGATATATTTTAAATTTGAATATTACAATGCAAGTCACACATGTCACATAAGTCGAAGTAGGACAAATTATAGCTGTGATATTTACCAATGAACACTCAATGTGTTCAGACCACTCAATGTAACTACCTCACAATTTTTATTAAGGTTATATTGCCATCTGCAATTTTACTGCAGCCTGGTTTAAACTTGTGCTGAATGAATTATACTGAATGAACCAGCTTTAGCCAGGAAGTGATTCTAAGAGGGAATGTATTTCTAAGCTACTGAACTGTGACTAGACCACTGGTCACTTACCTTGTATCCCACAGGAAGATCTTGGCAATCCTGTGTGCACCCACTGACTCGGCGGTTCAAGCATTCGTTCACATTACAGTTCCTCTCATCCGACTGGTCTCCACAATCATCTCTACCATCACAGAGATTCCTCTCAGAGATGCAGCGTCCATTGGAGCACATAAAGAAGGAGCCATTGCACAAGCTTCCTGAAAAGAGCAAGACACGACTGTCACTGGCACGACGCCCTGTAATTTCTCAACAAAGTTGGGGAATGTTTTTGACCTGACAATGGATCTTGACAGATTAATTCCTTTCAAGAAAGCTCTCCTGGTTGTAGCGCCTTTAGTTTCCGCCATATGTCCCCGCCAGTTTCCTGGGAGAGTGGTGCTGCTGGTGACACTGATGAAGAGATTCCAGCTGAGAGCCAAACAGCAGTCTTACCTGCGGCCAGACATTTGAGGTTCAGGGGCAGTTCGTCAGAGTGGTCGGGACAGTCTGCATAGCCATCACACTCCCACTGAGAACTGAGAAGACAGCGTCCGTCCCCGCAGCGAAATTCTTCTGATCTACAGGAGCGATAGACTGAAGAAAGAGAGACAGACACCTTTTCATTAAGTTACATTGGGGCTTGACAGTGACACAGCTTTAGTTTAGCATATGACTTTGGCAAATAAAAAAATAAAGCCTCACAAGGCAAGATTTCTTGAGCCATTGTTCACATTTCAATGAAGCACTTTCTTAGTGTATATAGAATAAAATAAACTACTAAATCAAGTCATCTGGAGGTATAATGGCATTCACGAACTGAATGGTCCAATATTTTAAGTATAAATAGACATTTTACATCAGCCCAAATCATTGAAAATCAAGGCCGTGAATTTCATCTAATGGAGATTATACTGAAATAACACCCAGGTGTCAGTAGGGTTAACATATTATCAAATTCCAATAAAAAATAAAATCCTAAATAACAGAAACTCATACAGAAACTCAAACTCTATATTTGTCTAGAATCAAAAAGCTGTTTTATAGAGAATCATTCCATCATTTAAATTTAATTGTATCTTATAATTTTGCAAAGAAAACTGCCAGGGAATACAGTAAGTTTATAGAACACTCTCCTCCAAAATCATGTTTTTTTAATTTAAATATGCTTTTATTTAGCTGGTGCATTAATTACAATTACAATAAGCACAATAAGTAAAATTTGTTTTCATTTTAGCCCTCCATGTAGGGTCTCTAGCTCAGTATGGCCACATGATTTAAATGACTTTATTCTGGGCTCCAACTGCACGGTGAAATTAATTTTTATTCACTTTAACTTTTTATTCCATTTTAATATCTCTCTACTACTACCACGGACAACCCCAAGGTTGAAACGTGCAGAGTTCACCATGGAAATGTGAGAATACTATTGCCTGGTTCACCTTTCAAGGGCATGAGGGCATGTTCATATACCATTGGTGAATATATAAATATACTTGCCACATTCCACTGACTCATCAGACCCGTCTCCACAGTCGTCATCATGGTCACAGACAAATCGCTGGGGGATGCATGCTTTGTTGCTGCAGCGAAACGAGCTGTCATCACATGTGTTGTTGGGTGCTAATGCATGAAGAGAAGTGGGTTGAAGGACTAATTAATTAATAAACATTTTTGTCTAAACATGGCATGCAATATGCATAAAATGTCAACATTGGTATCTGTGTTTTCTAAGTGTTTTTCTGTTGTTTAGTCTCACATGAATGTTTAAAGCATCAATTTTTGGAAGGCAATCCAGCTTACACCACTTAGAGGGCTGCAATTGTGCAAAAACCTCTATTGTACACTACTTCCCACTATATAGTGGTTTTCTTTTTCTTGTTTGGAATAAAAGTTACACAGGGATTTACAGTAGGTGTTCAGTGGATTACATGCTCTATGGGCTATTGTTTTGAGTCATGTAATCTAAAATTCTACAAGGATAATAATGTGTAAACAAGAAATGATTTACATTAAGTTCATTTTATAATTGTGAGAGGCTATACAATGTGACGAATGAGAATTTACCACATCCAGCTGCAGAAAGTTCATCACTCCCATCAGGGCAGTCCCTTTCACCATCACAGAGCCAGCGTTTCGGAACGCAGGCATACGACCCAGGGCAGCTGAACAGCCCTGGAGCACACGTCACTAAGCCTGAGAGGAAAACAGGACCACATGCTCTACTTTCAAAAGGCAAAGAAAACAATGGGTCAAATGTACCACAGAGAACACTAAGTACAGAGGACACTGAACTAAAGCAGATGTATTTGGTTTAGTTAGGATGGTACCTTCTGTTATCGGTGAACATTTACCAGTAATTCCAGTAAGTCAAAGCACATTTTCTGTCTTTATAGAAGATATCATATGGTTATGGTTTGAAACTTATATCCCTTTATGACATAAACAAATTTGTATTGTGCAGCAGTTCCCCTTATTCAAGCTAACAAATAATAACTACCATTGTGAGTAACAATTATTTACTTGAATTGTGTAAGTCAGCAATACTCTCCTTCATCTTAGGACTGCCCTTTAAGGCAAAAGAGAACAGACGAAAAAATTGGCTGCACTGAGAAACAAAGGTAAATACAGTAGTTCAATTAGGCATGTATAGCTCAAACGCATATCTTCATTTCGACAAGAATTGTTCCTGGGAAACCTTTGGGCCATTTCATTAATATTTCCATGACACCCCATTACAATCCAATTATACAACTAATGTTCACACAGCAATTCTTGTCTCTTTATTGTGGTTGGATTCTTTTTATTTTACTGTAGAATTCATTACACGCACATCGAATTCGCCCATTGAAATAGCCGTGCCTCTTGGGCCTCAGTTATAAAAAATCTCTTTGCCTCAGTTCCCACTCATATCATCAGAAATGCCTGCAGTCTCATTTGTTGTCTCATTAATATTGTTTTGTTTCTGTCCATTCATTTCCAGCTCTTATAGGGGAACACATTGAACTGCCACACGTAATATAGCGGATGTGACCTTTTACCCCAACAGCAGATTCCCCATGACATCTGAAAGGGCACTAACCGCAGATCTGCACACTCTCGTCAAGACCATCCTCACAGTCGTTTTCCCCATCACACAGCCATTGTTTTGCGATGCACTTGTTCTTTGAGCAGGCGAACTGGTTCCACAAGCATGACGAGTCTGTAGAGGGCAGTGGGAAAGGAATTTCAACGCCATAAATCAAAGAAAGTGGGGAAGAAACAACAACAAAAGTGGAATACCCTATAGATGGGGCAGAGTGTTTTTAATCAAAACACAACAAGTGTGTTGGCTTCCATTTGCCCCTTGGCTTGCTTGTTTTTCTCTGTAGTTTTTCTGCTTAGCAGCTCACATGAGTGTGGCTGCCACACAAAATACTTTAAATATATATATTTTTCCTTTTCTCTCACAGGGAAGGACATTTTGATGCATGGTCCCAGTTTTTGGGCAAGGAAATAAAAGCATAAACACAAAACCAGTGTCTACATGAAATATCTTATCAATATCAAAGCACTTAAGTATTAATTATTAAGGTTTCTTTTTTATTTGTACAGAAACTAGGCTGCTACGGGTGACAAGAAACAGTGGGATGTCAAATAAGAGAGCACTCTGCTGATCACTGTGCAAAAGCTATTGTGTAAAATGTGGATATATTCATAATCTGTGCTGAGTTTGTGTCACTGAGCCACCCACTCTCCCTGGGGAGCCGTTCTGTGGTCTCTTTCTCTCAGATGTCAGGACTGGCAAAGTCTGCCAAAGCTTTGATGAGATGTTGAGAGAAGGAAGGGGGGATGTGTGCTCTAGGTCAGACCACAGCACAAGGAATTATGGATCCTACTGAGGGGGGGGCGTGGTCTCTCACACTGCGTTGCTTTCCCTCCTGTCAGACTTTGTACATCACAACCAGCTTTAGGTACCCTGATATAGTGATGTAAGATAAGGATTAGATAAACATTAAATGGCTAAATCTGGAAACTGTGATTATCCAGACTTCCTGTACATGATACTAAATTTGCACTTCAAATGCAAAAAGCTGCTTCAAGTGTATAACAAAATAGCAGGTCTACAGCACATTAAAAGTATCAAAGAAAGTCTTTCATATCTCATTTTCAATAGTGTTCCACATGGTAGAAAAGTGTATAAGGCATTGTGAAGTGACAAATGGCTATTTCATATAAACAGATGTGGAATTTGAAATTTCTGAAACGTAACGACATTTTCCTCAAACCACTTTGCCTTTGCAGTCAGATTATCAGTGGCTGGAGCTTTTTATATGATAATTAACTTAGAGGAATGGGAATATTGTCTATTTGTCCCGAGAAAGCTATTCAGAAAAATGTGGCATAATTCATATCAGTTCTGATATAAGCACATTTGAAGCATGGGATGTTATCATTTCACACAGGCACAAATGACATTTTGAGATAAAGGAATAGAAATGATGTTCATATGTTATGCAACTCTCTAACAACACTCATAACCAATTTACAAAATAAATCAGATAACTTGAAGAGCATTAAATATGAAACTGAATTGTATTGAACTGCCTTTCTCTATCTGTTGCAAATGAAATGTGAACAAAGGTGCTGTTTAATTATACAGGAAGAGCCAAGCAGACAAGTAAGAGATCCGTAATGTCTTTGTCAAACAAAGGCAAAGCATGTAAGATGGTCACCTTTTGTCTGTGTTATTATTCATGAAATTAGTCCCTGATGTTATCAGTTCCAAACTGCTAGGGTCTGGCATGTCAGCATGCTAAAATAATGATCATAACGATAATGATGGTATAGTGTTTAACATGATCACCATCTTATTTAGTATGGTAGCAGGCTAACATTTGCTTATTAGTGAATAAGAATGTCATTAGTTTTATTTGATCACTAACTAAAGTACAAATTTGACCTGACCTGATGATGGTGTTAGATGGATGTGTGTGCCATATTTCATTGCAATCCATTCAATAGTTGTTGATACATTTCACTAAAAACCACAAATGTCAACCTTGTGGTGGCACTAGAGGAAGTCAGGGGATCGCCAAGGCCAGTAGGATACATTGCCTGGGAACCCTGAATGTTGTGCCAATACGTAATGATCCATCAAACTGAAATATTTCACTGGATAAGTGGACATTTTTACCTGCAACGCTAAATGATCAGATCACAAAAGGTATTAGGATTCATCCTTTTGGCACAATGACTATCTGTACTTAATTTCATGGCAGTCCATCCAATAGTTGAAGCCATTAGGGACCGTCCTCTGTGGGCTATCCAATAGTTATAGTTCTAACAGTTAGTGAAAATATCTGAGTCTGGTGAACCAACCGACTGACAGACCGACATTGCCCTCTCTAGAACCATGGCTAGCATAGATAGTATAAACAAAAACTGTTGAAAGACAATGCAACAAAAATCCTTATTGTGTGTGTATGTATGTCTGGAATGGGATGTGTTTTGTGTTTATATAATTGCAAATTGCAACAGTTACAACTCCCTTACGTCACAGAGAATGCAATGCAATACTCCTTCAGGTCTACACACAGATCACAGTGCTACTGCTGACTGCCTCATGACTTCTAACACTTTAATAGGCTAGACCACACAGCCTATGGGCTAGACAATACAATGGGCTGACAGGCAGCCAGTGTTTTGACAGTGTATGGACTTCTCCATCAGATCTAATTACATTTTGCATGAGTGTGATGGTGTTGAAGCTTAAAAGCTACTCTGACCACCAACATTGAAGCACCCAGTCAATTTTGCTTTGATGCCAAAAGCAATGACATGCTGGGAATGTGTGCGAGCTGTTGGTTTTGAGGGCAAATTATATTAATCTATACCATGGCTCAATTATGGTCCTATTGTTTAACTGGAGAGATCTTGACTGTCATTTCATGCATACATTAGCACGGATCAAAGCACAAGTAAGAATGCTCCTGCTGCCTCTGGTAAGGGAAGTAGAGGAGTGGCATTGTAATGTGTAATCCTTTCATATGTCACCGTTTTCCATTGAACACATATTACCATCTTCAGTATAACCGTTTCGGTGACTGATGGCTCATTAATTAATTGTTACACTGGAAGTGCTGTATATTATAATTCAAAGAGAGAAGGGAAAACTTACGTCCTCAAAATCCTCTCTCTGAATTCAGGGTCGGAATTAGACTTTCAAACAAGCAGCAACACCCACTTGAGAAATCTCAAACACACAATGAGGGGGAGCAAAACAAAGTGTAGAGAAATTGCCTCATGGCATGATAAACAATCATCTGTTGTCTTTCTGTCTCCTCCTTATATACTGTATGCAATATTTGTTGCAGGCCTGGATCTATTTAAATGACAAACGTTACAACAAATAGCTTCTTGTTAATGGAAAATAAATATCCTTCCAACCGCCAACAGTGTTAAATACAGCAACCAAATACCTCATCTATTTGTACCCGTAAGAGAACAAAATATCATTTCAGCTCATTGTGTAGAAGCTCTTTCATGAGAGGTAAGATTTGTTAGTTTACCACACTGGAATTCATCTGCACCATCCTCGCAGTCTTTTTGGCCATCACACAGCCACACGCTGGAGATGCAGTTCCCACTTGGACAAGCAAAATGGCCTTCCTCGCACTTCTGCCCATGGGAAACTGGGACGAACAACAAAACCAAGTCAGTCATCTGGGCATTAGCAATGATTGAGGTCATTATCTTTTCCTAAGCTCTCTCTGAATCTCTTATTCCACTGTCATAATCATCTCTGAAAATGAAATCTGTCTTAAGTCTTTTCTAATTGAAGCTGGCTTCCTTAATCTGTCTCTAAATGCACACGCAAAATGTGTGTCTTTGAGTGTGTTTGTGTTGGGTGCTCACCTTGGCAGTTGGCCTCATCAGCATAGTCTCCACAGTCGTTTGCTCCATCACAGATCCATGAGGGGTGGATGCACAGCGAGGTGGAGTTGCAGCTGATGAAATCTTTTTCATTCACCCCCAGCTTGTAAAAGTGAGAGCAGTCGGTGTGGTCTGAATACAAAACACAGAATCACAATAATTGTCTTGTCATAATGGAAGTAGTGGAAGGGGTAAGGCTGAGAGGGGCAGTATTCAATCTGATCCAAGTGATAAACATAGATGTAAGTTACTGGATCCATGTGATCTGATACAGGTAGAGTGTGTTCATTTTCATTTGAACATAACTGTAATGCAAATCGCAAGCCAAAGGACTTACTGCAGCTTTTTTCATCAGAGGCATCAGCACAGTCAATGACCTGGTTACACCAGGCTGAGCTGGGTACACAGCTCCCATCCTTGCACGATGATTCTGATGAGCCACACGTGACATCTGGGGGAGAGAATTAACATTTCAAAAAGATAACATAACAGAAACAGCACTCAGAGACAGTAACAGGTACAGCTCACAACAATACTTAAAACCTCGATCTGGGGGTGGTTAAAATTAGCTTCAGGTTGCAGAGTGCCAGACAGAAAAGGGTTTATGGTAAGTTGCGGCATCTGTGCAGTTGAACTGCCTGTGCTATGAAAATTGCCTAAAATGTCACGACCCTCTTAGTACTGTGAAAGAGCAAATCACACTTAATATGCAAGATGGGCATTTTAGTTTTGTTGTTCATTTACCAAGTACTGCACAATGGCTCGGGTCATTTCATATCTCTGCATTACATTATCAGTATATAACTTGCATAATACTATCATTAAATGTTCTAATGTTAACAGAGAAAGTTATTGTTGATGTGCTATGAAAAAGAAAATGCAAGGCTAAGTGACACACCATAGTGAGATAAACTCCTTCCTACAATCCCAGACTGCTGAGTTGGAAGGTCCACATTAATTATGAGAACACCTCTTTCTCCTTGTGGGCTCAATCAGCTTGGTGCAGTATTAAGAGTTTATATCTTGCTATTTTCCCACTGTAGTCCAATTACAGCATGGAAATAAACACAACTCCTCTTTTTTACTGGATTATTTCACCATCAAGGTCAAAGCAAAATCAGTCTGGCCATATTGAAGGGACACAAAGTATTGTCCAGGCTCTCAAAAGCAGCTTTTGAGGGTGGGGGTTGGAAGCCGCTTTGAATTTGTGCCCACTTTATGATCTTGGGGCTCATTAGACAGTGAAGGCTTAGCACAGCATGTGGCCTAGTGTGCCATATTAATATAAGCATTGGTGTGGCTGTATCCTGCCCTCAGAGGCAGGCGGGAACAGGATATCAAACGGCGGTGACTCACTGTTACAGAAAGCTTCATCAGAGTTATCCCCACAGTCATCGATCCCGTCACAGAAATGACTATTGGCCACACACCGTTGGTTGTAGCAGGGCCTAAAACCTTTCCGACAACTCCTGTTGACTGAACACAGTGAAATTCATAAATATGTTAGAAATGACCAATACTTTCCAATTTTTAGCACCAGAAATGTCAACAGGTTCTTTTAGCAATGATTTCTACAGTAATTCTAAATCAAACCAATAAATAGGGTTGTGAAGTGTTTCTTACCACAGTATTGCATCTTCTCATCTGATTTATCTTTGCAGTGGGCTATTCCGTCGCAAGTTAGCTGGTAGTCAATGCACTCGCCATTCCCACACTCAAATTCAGTGTGAATGTTGCAGGAGGAATTTTCTGCTGCAAAAGAAGACAATGAAGGTAAACTCTGACTGTTCAAATCTCAAATCTCTTTCAAACTAAACAAACGTCAAAACTATATCTGATTGAAGTCAACATTTCAGTGCATACTGTAGTTAACTCTACATTTACACCAGTTGTAAATTTGTATTGTAATAACTGCATTACATAACCCAATACCTTTAAATTCTATTTGAGGGAAATCTGGCTGTGAAATGCCTGCCGTATTCTGATATTCATTTGATATACTAAACTGATTCAATAAAAAAATGTCCACATTGTACTTTTTGTGATTTCAGTCGTCATGTATAATTTCCAACAATCTCCCTTTCTACTCTTCTACTTGCAGCTTCACAATTTAAAAATATGAAACTTCTTGCTCTAGTAATGAGTGGAATCGGGGTGTGGTGTCCTCCTCTACCTTGGTACCCAGGCTACCATCCAGCTCTTCTGAGGCACTTGCCATGTTTAGTCTGGCCAAAGCTTGCTTGTTTGAACAGCTCCTCCTACCTTATGGTCTATCCTCACATTGCATTTCAAATTCAACCAGCAATGTGTCAAATTTAGAGAGCCAGACACCATCAAAATGCTTTTGTTTTGTGACTTTAAGCAGGGAACTGTGACACCCTATGCTTTCTTTGTTTTCTGATGTCTGCATAAACTTAAAGTGGCACAACATTATAGCTTTAGTTTCCAGAGCCGTATTGAAGATGACTTCTGGAATCATTACAAACTTACTGCTTAGTCACAGAGGAAGAGACAGCATTTGTTCCTGCTTTCCTGGTTTTGTATGGTCATGTACAAAGGAATCAATTCAAACATATAAAAGGGTCATGTAAGTGTTAGCTCAAGTAAGTGCCAAGTTCTTGCTCATGGTGGGAAATGTTGGTTCTCTGTAAGTAATTAAGGAGTACGGTCCAGACCTGCTCTTTATGAAAAGTGTCCTGAGATAACTTCTGTTGTGATTTGGCGCTATACAAATAAATTGAATTGAATGTAAACAGTACAGATAAGAGATATGACTATGGACAGAAGGCAGGTTACACTATGCATATAAATGCAGACATTGTAGATATGACTCTTTATAGAATAACTAATCCATAAAGAGTGCCATAACAATCAATATCGGGTACTGAGAATGTTAAAAGGGTTACCATTTTGTGGACTCGGTATAGTTAAATTTAAGGCTCCTTAATGACTTACACACACATCTGTTGTCATCTAACAGCACACGTTCCCCACGGCAAGTGCAATTGACCCTCCCAGAAGGGGTCAGGAGACAAAGGTCGCCGCAGCCTCCGTTCATGTGTCGGCATGGGGACAGCTCACCTTCAATAACAATCAAACAGAACTGATTAAGCGGTCAGAAGCAGTGGAAGGAAAAATCTCACAGGGCGCGCTCTCTCTTTTAGGTGTCATCAGACATCAGATATTCAATACATTCTTAGTCACAGATTTCCACATCTAATGTATTAGGAAGTCGCCCATTCTCTGCTCACAATAAGAAGGATTCCTAAATAGTTGGTAAATCCTGAAAGGAGCTCTTGTTTTTTTAGGGCCTGACAACAAACCTGATCTTTACTTTTAATTGGTGAGAAATAGGATATAGATTTTTCTCTGTAAAATTCCATTACAGTTGGTATTGGAACAGTAACTAATAGGAATACGAGATAAAACACTAAACCAAAAGTAGGCAAAATAATTCTCCAAAATCTATTATTATATTTCTATTTTTTTTCTTTTCTCTAAACAATCATGAGTAGTTAATGTATGAATACAAGGACAGTTATTTTCTTAAAGGCATGTACTAATACTGACTATTATCCTCAATGACAGGTAGCACATGTGTTATAATGCTGCACATTTCTCTGCCTGGGGTGTTATATGAAAAAGCTGTGTGTAGCTCTGTGGGAATCATGTATTGCACTAAATCACATGACCAAACTGCAAACATAACCTGTGAAAAAAAAATCTAAGTGCTGGTCTAGTCCTGAGAGAAAATGTAGAAAAAGGAGCTCAGCAACAACATAAGAAATACTAAGTGCAAGTGTTCTGAAACATGCGTGTCCTTTGGAGCCCCTCTGTTATTACCTGCCTTCCAGCCATGTGTATTTTATTCATGAGAGAAGAAATGTTCCTCTGTTCTGCAGCTCAGGTAAACCATTTGTATGATTATTTATAGTCAGGATGTTCATGACAAGGAAAATGCAATAAGAGGTTGAAACTGTAAAGACCAAAAACGATAAATTGATTAACAGCTCCAACATTTCTGGTCACTGCACATTGTGCTGTAGACTTGCAGCTGTGCCCATGCAGGTCATGGGATGTGATTATTTCCCATGACGAGATAAACTAGGAACAGCATGGCTCTCGGCATCCGAGTCCAACCAGTGGGACACGCTTAAGCCCACTTCCCTTTGTCCTACTTGGAAATTAAACTTTATACGACACTTTGGAGACTCCCTTTACAACAAAGGCTACTTTTTTTATTAATTACCTCTGAAACTTAAGTTTCTAGCCATTCTAAATAAGACCATGTTCATTTATCATTCTTGCTGTTTTTTGTACATCAAAATGAAGAGCCTTTTAAAAATATTTAGCTTTAAGTTAGAGCTGATCTGGTATACTGATGGGCCGATATTATCCACAAACATCGGCAATAACTGACTTATTTTTCTTCATTCAAGTAAAGAATATTTTTTATTATACTTAATTTATTTATAGATAGCCTATTTAATACGATTTCATTACAGATCTTCTCCAGACACGTATTAAGACATGAACAAATGGTCTGCTTGAAAGAATAATGTGTGTCTGATATTTTTCCACAAAAAAAGTAGAACTTTACACAGTAAAATCCTTAAAAAGGTTATCTACTCCTTCTACCTCAATAAAAATTTCACATACAGGACCAAAAAAATCACATACTGGATCCAGACTGACTTCCAAACTATTTGTGTCAAACTCTGCACATACATCATTATGCAGAGTGAAGCTCAAACATCTAACTGTAGGAACAAAAAGAAAAATATATTTTTGAGTGGAGGGGAACTTTTGAACTTTATCTTGAACTTTTAACTGTTAAAAATGTACCTTTTTTATACCTTCTGTACCTTGACTCATCTATACAACAATAAATCCCTTTGTTTAACTGAACATAAATATAACGTAAATATCATTTTTTGTAGTGTATGAGTGGCACAGATGAGTGCAGTTTTCTATATTCTAATTTTCTCATTTTGCCATAGTGAAAAGTGCATACAGCAACATATTTATTTTGGTCCATTGTCCTAAACAACACTAACATAATGAATATGCACACGTATAAACTCCTGCCCAAAAGCACACAGGAACACCCAGGCACCTGCAAACACATAATACACAAATATTTGCAGACACAACACTGCATCCAGTGGTCATTAAATTAAGCTTATCTCCAGGTGTTTAAATACTCACAGTTGTTTGTATCCCTGGCCACAGCTATAATTCCCATTGGTTGATGGGGTATATCTGCTCGAAGTACCTTGGTGTCACCACCCGTGTACTTGTTGGATCGCAGCACAGACCTGCGGGCCCAGTCTGACCAGTAGATGAAATCTGCATAGATGGCGAGCCCATAGAAGTTGCCGGGTCCAGATTTAACTATGACCTAAAAAATGTAAAGCAAAGCTCATGTTAGAATTTCTTTCCATCATGCTTTCCAGATTTAAGGCTTGTGCTGCCACATGTCTCACATCTTACATCACATTTTACAGTATATAAAGCCAGAATAGATGGTACAGCTATAACAAGGGGCATTCATACATTTCCTACTGTCAGTACTTGCACTTTTCATCTACAAACCAATAACTCTTTCTCTTCAAGATCTGTCTGAAGAAAGCATCGACAGAATTGTGAGTGCAATCCTAGGAATAAATCTGGAGAATAATGTTTCGATTCATTAATCAACACATCACCCCCACCGCCCACATGACTGCTTAACCCAGATGTTGGGGGAGTAAATGACAGTGTCATTGGCAGGGAGGCAGGAATCCATCAGATGCCTCCTTGTGGGACTCTCCAGGCTTGTGGGGGGGGGGGGATCAGGGCCTCCAGCAGCTTTGTAGTCTCAGCCATTAAGCGGGACAGGCTTGTAAGCAGCATCACATTAGCCCTGTGCCATACTGGGATTAATAGGACAGGTGTTGATTAAAGGAGCCCAGCGTGTGGAAGCAACAACTGGCCATCAGGCGAGTGAGAGACAGAGACCAACAGAAAAAGAGAGAAAGATTGAACGCCAGATGGGGTAGGATGGAGCATATTGATAGGAAATTAGATTTGGGAGACATTAGATTAACAGCCAGCAACCCATTACTTTTGTGCTGAACTCATGTTTTGGGTAAATGTGAACATATTTCATACATTCTTATCACTCTATCACAATTCTGCGATGTTAAAATAACATACTTAAATTGCCTTGTCAACAAACTCTAAACTGATTACGTCAATAAACCTTGGTTTTATATGGCAACATAAATATGCCCAGAGAGCACACTGCTGACATTGAACCCAAATGACACTAACCATTCCCAGACAGCTCTCAATTTATATTTTCTCTCTTCATGGCATCTTTTCCCTGCTAAACATGCTCACATCTTCCCTCATCATGCACTCTTTTGCTCTTTGTGAAGCAGTGCCTTCATTAACAACATGGGTTTCCACTCTCAAAATGGCACAGGGGAGTGAGCCATGCCACAGCTCCTGCTCTTCTCTGTCACCAACCACACTGTCAGCATGTAATGGCACTCCTGCAGTCAAGAGGGGTAGCTAGGCCCTCGAGCACACTCCACTCCCATCCAAGTCTATATTCATATGACGCAATACAAAATTGGTGTTCTATAATGTGTTTTATTGTATCTATGGTATAACCTAACCCATTTTATAATTCCAAAATATAATCGTGCAGCTTTTTGCAATTTGACTTAATTTTTGTTTCTATTTAAACACCTCAGATCACTGTCAACGGAAATAAAAGAATCAGAACACACTACAGCAACAACGAGACTTAAGCTTCTCTCTCCACAGTAAGCTTCTTGTATAATAATGGATGGGCTGTCTTACATTTCCACAACTGCAGTTTGGGTAAGTGATGAAGTTGACAATCAGCTACCTCTGTTTAATTTACACATTTTAATTGGAATGGAGAATCTGCACCCAGAGCGGTCTCACAGCAAAGCCTTCATTAGCAGGATTAGACTGCAGCAAGGGTTGGTGGGGACCCAAAGGTGAAGACTTTCTGAGCCTTGTGACCCAGCTCAGCAAACATACATATGGGTAACTAATTGAGATGGGCCAAGGAGCAGAGCTGCAGGGGTCATGTCAAGCAAAAACTGAAATCCATGGCAAAAAAGATCATCTTGTACATCTTTTACACACTGGAATACAGAAGATATATATCCAGTTGAGGTGTTATACATTATGACTGCGACTTTTCGTCTGCAAAATAATAACTCCCCTCACTGAAATTCTTTACTTTAACAGGGAATGACATCTGTGATTAAGGAAGCCATCTGTACCCTCAGAGATGAAATATCCAAAAGAACATCACAATGTATTTCAGACCCTATCCCCTGTATAGAGAACTATATTCAATGAGCTCAATAGAGACTGGGAGATTAAATGGAAGAAAAAATTAGTTGTTCATCAGATATTATGAAATGAAACATCTCCATCACTGAGAGCTACATCTTGTATGACAGAAATTAAAATATAAATGTCCATACTCACATATCTGCTAGAGCCATCATAGTCACATCTCTCAATTTTGCCCAGGCTCCCATCTGAAAAGTAGAGCTTCTCTGCTTTGTGGTCAATGGTCAGTCCGTTGGGTGTCAGGATGTCAGAACTGATGATAATCCTCATGTTCTTGCCCGCTAAGGTGGATCTCATGATGCTGGGTCTCTGCTCATTCCAGTTGGTCCAAAACATCAGGCTAAAAAAAAAAAAAATAAGAGAGGGCAACCAAAACCAAACAGTTAATTACGAGTGAGCAGACTAATCTTTTCCTTCAGAATTTAGCAGCTATTCAGTAGCTTCAGCCTAATGTGCAAATGTCATCAGAGACTGGCTCCCTTTTGCAAAAAAAGCACTACTTCACTTTAGTGCTTCTACAAATTCACAGAGCCCAAGCACTACAAAACAAATATGCATAGGCTGAAATTGAATCAGGGAACAGGAATGATGGCTTTTTATAAAAGCTACCATACTAACATGTCAACCAGGGAATTCTCTGCCACACAGGCAAAACAAACACTAATGAAGAGGAACATTTCCCTCCCCTGGATTAAACTGCTGGAGTCTAAGCAGCCATGTCAGTCAGTCATCAACATAATCCCACAGTCACCAAGACCTCCATGGCCTGTCATTGGCTTTTCCTTGTTTCCTTGAACAAACTCATCACTGATAAAGTGTAGCTAAAAAAAGATTAGCATCATGGTTTGTGAGATAGAGGCCATTTATTCATATCCCCCTCTGTGAGGACTTCTAAGAACACAAACAACACAAATAATAGCAACGGAGTAAATAAATGAAAGATCTATATCTTGGTTTATATGGGTTTCCAAAATGGATGTTGTGCATTTTAAATCCACAGCTATGCAGATAAAACAAAGAAGAAAAAAAGGTTGTTTAAAATTATATAAGATACCTTTTCAGCTCCTGGACTCTCTCTTCATACTATGATGAAGTCCACTCTAATAAGGTTTCCGGTCAGAAGTCACAATCAGGGACTGCAAATTAGCCGCTTGAGTTTGAATTCTAATTATCAGACAGTGATTCTGAAGTGGGATGGATATGGTCCCAAATTGCCAACCCAGGATATAGTCTGAGGTCAAGAAATGAATTTAGTACAACAGGAGTAGCAAGTTACTCAGTCTTTTCAGACTGCTCAAAGGAACAAGTGTTAAATCTGAGCTAGATGTGACAATGTGGAATACTGAAGTGTTTTGAACAACAAAAAACATCTTTTCTCTGAGCTTTTTTTATAGCACATAAATGTAACTGTTAAATCAGATACTCATAAAGCTATGGATGCAGCTCAGAAAAGATCAGAACACTTACACCTTAAGTGTAAAAATGCTCACCAAAACAATCTACTTCAGGATATGTCAGATAACACTCTAGACAGCCTAATGCAAAGGCTTGGCAAAAAATGGATCCTAACTAAAAAGTCACCAAAATAATTGTTAAAAGCAATAATAACTTTTGTCTTGTGGAGTGTCTCATATTTTTATGAACAAAACTATAAGAATTAGAACAACTGTAAAGACACTATTGTCACATATACAATAAGTGCAACACATAGGGCCATTAAATAGCTGTTAAATGTTACATATATAGATGCACATACATTAGAATTTAAAGAATTAGGTTACTTGAAGTTCTGCATTTTTATTAGATTATTTATTAAAAACAGCAAAACATATTCATAATAAAATGTCAGTGAAGCAGTATTAGAGGGAAGGCTAGAAAGCAGGCACAGCACACATTTAAAAGCCTGAATTGATGTTGTTCTCAGATCCAGAGGGAGACAACTCCATTTGTCTCCATTTTTGTTACAGTGAGCAGTAGACAATCAGTTGATCTGAGAGCTCTTTCTGGGACATATATTGGCAGTATATCAACAATTTACTCCATGAAAAGATTTATAGACAGAAGAAGAAAAATCTTAAAATATTTCCGAAAACTAATACAAGCCCAGTGCATGCATTTTAGACAAGCAGTAATGTGAGTTGTCTTTTTTCTAGTTAAAACTCTGGCAGCAATCTTCTGTATTACTGTAAATGTCATTTATTTAAAGACGGAGAAAATCTGAGAGCAATGCATTGCAGTAGTCAAACCTACTTGTAACAAAGTATGGACAGGCTCCTCTGTATCTTAGGGAGAAAAAAAGGCCTGATTTTTGTAATGTCCTATAAAAGACAGAATGCTGTTATGCTATTATAAACGTTTCTGTACCATTAAATAGAACTCTTCCTGATTCATTTGATCTAAGAATCTATACATCTATATGCTGTATAGTGTATGGTGTCATCAGCATAATCTATGTAGCTTGTTTGCAGGATGGTGACACCTAGTGGTAATAAGTAGCTGAACATATATCAACATATAAATACAAATGTTGTTAGTGCCAGTAACAATGGCTGACATTTTAGGATTAGCTGTGTGTAAAAACATAGAAGAGCTACTGACTTCTGACACTCATCCAGGGACAGGACATGTGGATGGTCTTCCTCGGAGAGAGTGACCACAGCCTGCCGGTCAAAAGCACCAACTTGTTTCTGGTCCAGAGATTGTCTGGTGATAGTGGAGGTAGTGGAGCTGGTCCAGTATAAGGTATCCCAGGACTGATGGTAGGCCAGGCCCTCCACTGAACCCACATCTAAAAGAACAGACACATAAGACCTCTGCTCAAATTCCAACCAAGTAACATAATTCAGACACTGCATTGAAGCATGGTTTAATGAAAACACAGGCCAGCAGGAAGGACAAATCCACACTTGGCAAGCTCTTTATTTAAGACATACATCTGTCTTATCCATCTACTTTACAAGAAATAAAGTGTAAAACATTAGTAGAATGTATAACCTAAGAGTACGTTTTTTTTTAAATAAATTTAGGCCTGGGGAGCACATATTGATATGTTGTGCGGCCTTTGAGTGGTAAAATCTACCCAAATTACCCCAAAAATATATATATTTCCCTGCCATCTGGGGCCACTAAACTGCAAAGTTTCCTAGTGTAGATTTAGGTAAAAAATATTGACTTTGCTTGTAACAGATGGCAGGCTCCCATTGTGTTAGAATTGGGATTATGTTTCCTTGGTGATTGACAGGGAAATAACTTCATGCCTCACTACACTGGACAGATTTGTTGATGCCACAGTCACTCAGAAAGTGAATTGTTTTCATCCGCGAACCAATATCCTAAACGCAGAATGTGAAAAAGGCCTTTGTAGCCTCTCCCAGTTTTGTGCAAGGATGTGACTGACAGGGAGGGAAGCTCCAGAGGGAGACAGTGATCACAGACAGAAAACCTGGCCATAGGCTTGATTATTTACTGTAGATCTTTTTTTTGGCAGTAGCTTCATAAATGACCTACTGAATATGACCTCCACTGTTTCAAAAGTGTCAATCTAAAGAAGAAGGTCAGAATAATAATATAGTGTTGTTGAGTTGTTATGTCCTCATTTGCAAGAATATGCCTACTGCTCCCTATGGACCACTGTAGGGTATTTGTGGAAGCCTCAGACTAGGGGATTGTTTCCATTATGCTTTTGGAAAAGCAAATGAAAAAAATTTTTTTTTTTAAAGAAAAAGACACACACACAACTGTACACACTGTAGCTGCAAAAAAATGTTGACACCATGCAAAAAGCAATAGAAAATGTCCAACCAGTACAAACAAATAAAAAAATCTTAAATGGTGAGTGTAATGGAACCCTTCAAAAATCATATTGAAAGATCAGGTAATGAAAGCATCAAATGTCCCTGAAAACAAGAAAACGTTTATTTCTTAAAATGATAGAGCCCATTTATTCAAATTCAATAAAGCCAGTGGACCATAAGCTGTCAGATATCACAGTTTGTCAACCAGATAGAAAATCATATTTGTTAGGGCTTTGGAAAGACTACCTGCAAGAAGAGGGGTCTTCTGTGTGTGTGTGTGTGTGTGTGTGTGTGTGTGTGTGTGTGTGTGTGTGTTCATGTATAACTGTTCTGTGTGTAAGTACATTTATTGTCTGACAAAACAAGATATTATCTTTCATAAGACAAAAACACAAGGCCAAAGGAGTGCATTCTCCTCTTTTCTAAACTCAGTGGGAGTAACACCATTGGTAACAATAAGACAAAGACAAGAAGACAAAAAGAAAATTTAACACTGCCTTAGTATTCACATAACATCTGTGGCCACCATTTGGCAAATATCTTGGGACTGATCTCATCTTTTTTGTAATTCTTGCATTTTCAAACAAAATTTCATATGTCAATACAGCCCCTAATTTGTCTTAATGGCGAACATGTGGCCAGTGATAGAGAATGTGGCTGTATCCCCTTATCTAAAGACCTATAAACCATGCTTGAAAATACTTAAGACACTACCTGAGTCAGCCGATCACTAATTAATAGTTTGCAATAAAAGCCGTCTGGCAGCTTGGAGTTTCTCACAAATTGTTGGCGGGGCGAGGGAGTAATTAATGGGGGACATGGAGTTTAATTAGGGAAATATGGATGATTAACATCTTCACCTTTCCTCAATGACGGGATGCAGGCAGAAACTTTTAGAGGAAAATAGCAGATAGTCTAGCTGTTAAATAGTACAGGGTTGGAAGTTGGCTAAAGGAGTATGGACCACATTGACATGATTCTTTCACTCAACACCACATAAGCTAATTGGAAACAAAGAAGATCATAGTACCATATTTTCTGCAGTGGTATGCAATGTATATCCAACAATTTGTTTCCCATGCTTTAAAAAAAGAAAACTAGATGGGCATGTATTATGGATTTAAAAATTTGAATTGTACTCAAATTAATTATTTGCACTGCATTGATTTTGCATTTCGCAAGTGCCAAAGTGTGAAGGGCACTTACAATTCCTGACAGATGGTTCTTAATAATGCTTGTTCATTTCTAGAAGATAAATAAATAAGCAGAAAGTACTCGCAGCAGGGGTGTGGGAGATGGGTCGGGGGGTGGGGTGGGTGCTGAGTGGATCAGTAACACAGCCAGACTCCCAGTGTGAAGAGGGGGATGGGGTGGTGCTGAGCTGTGCTCCCAGAAGAAACTTTGCAGAATGGCAGCGGATGCTAGTCGAGCAGAACAGAGGCTTTTGCTGTTCATCTGACGCCAGCCATGCTTATCAAGACAGGACTGACTGAGATTTTGTGAAGGAATAGAGACGGATTGGTCACATCGTTCAATCTGTGACAGTCAGTAAGCAGAAAGCTTTCAAACACAGGTATTATACCCTTCTGATTTAGTATTAAATGGTCTTTCCATAGGAGTAATGGCAGAAAAAAAATGGAGGAGTGAAGGACGGAATGTCAAAGTAAATACTATTCATGCTATGCTACCTACGTACATGTTATTATGCCATGTGAATATTGTGTTCTTAACAAGGTTGTCCCACTTGATTAAAACTGAAATAAAAATAACACCTTATCTACACCATTCAGGTTATGTGATCAGCAAGTAACCTGTCTTTGGTTAGTGTCTAGACCAAATATTGCCACTGTGCACAAAGCATGTTGGCAGAGCTCACATTCCAATAGACAATTAAAGCAGTTAAGACAAAAGAAAACACTTGGAGTGTAAAAAAGATTACGTAACATGTTTAAAGCACAAGGGCAGTGTCAAACCTTGCCTCCATGACACCAATAACACTGCAGCAAATGTGAAGCTATTGAAATTGGCAGAAGAGGTGTATGTGTATTGGTGTAAGGGCAAGTGTATGTGTGTGGTGGGGACATTGGCTGGCTTTCTTAAATTGCATAACTACATACAAATAAGGTACAATGTTGGAATGTTAAATACACTTACTTTCTGCAATAATAGATCTTTCTGTCCAGTCATCGTTAATCATCTGGATGTTTCCAAAATGGACGTCACTGAAAAAAATGCGGTTTGTCCCAGTTGTCTTCTGGCTGTAGTCAAAGGCCAGGGCTATGACATTCTTGAAAAAAGCAGGATTTTCAAAAGGCTGAACAGGTGAGTTGAGGTCATTTTCATCTGAAAGGTGGATGCTTTTCAGTATGGTCCTCTCAGAGTAGAGTAGATAACCTTCATAGCGCTCACAGGCAAAGCCATCCTCTGCCAAACGGCCATGGGCACAGGAGCAAGTCCGGCGACCACTACCGAGGTGGAAGCACAGCTGCTGGCATCCTCCATTACTCCTGGCACAGGGGTTTGTGCCTTCAAAACCCAACACATGTTCAATTACTGGTTTGCCTCAGTCTCTGCCCCCTTGCAATATTGTTTAAACTGTACATGACTATACATTAGAGATGAAAATCATAGGTGCATTGTAGGAGCAATTAGTATTTGCAATTTTATGAAATCTTGTCAAAACTAACACCAAAGACTTGATAGTCAATTTTTTAACCAAGGAGACTGTTAAGTTAAAACTTTTACCTTTTTCTCTGCCTCTATTAAAGACTGTCACATCCTTCAAATTGACCCCAAGACCACTCCTCATGGTTACGGCTTCACTGGTGTCAGTCTTGAAGCCACGTCGGATTGAACCGTTTGAGTGAGCCCTGAAATACACCAGAAAGAAAGGGGACAAAATAAGTGGTCCAAGTTTCAGAGAAGAAAGCATAATGTATTCTAATATTTCACTGAGACGGGTAAATTAGTTAGAAAGTCAATTTTATTTGACAATAGTAAAGCAAAAATCCAAGCCTGCAGTCACCCAGTCCTGAGTTATTTTAATTTGTTGAGGATAAACACACACTAAAGATAACAGCTTCTTTGCATTGTGTTCCTTGTTATGAAGGGGTGTCATGCAAAACAGGTTAAAAACATGTGAGACAGACAAACAAACAAAAAAGACACATGATTAACAATTCAACAACCATGTATTATATTTTTCTGATATATCTAAAACAAGTCTCAGTTTGTTGTTACTTCAGAATTCCCACAACATTCGTCCAAACAACTGCAGGTGTATAAAGACGCATAGTATTCATGAAAAGAAATAAGGCTTCATTAAATTTAACTCAGTGTATGATTTTACAAAAGGGTGAGGAAGGATTTGCCCTTGCTGATGACACTGGATTCTGCCTAGAGTATTTACAAAAATAGGCAGTGACCCTCACGATGAAGAACTGCTGTTCTGAATATTTTCACATGAGACCTTTGAAGGAAAGGGTTATTGTCAGGTTAGTATTGCAGGCTTTGCAGGCCATTTCTTGTGTGTGCATTTAAGAAAATAATAAATTACCTGTCAGACCAGTAGATGTAAGGCCCAAACACAGCCACTGAGAACAGGTCTACGTTGGCCACTGACAGTACAATCTCCCGGCTCTCACCTGTCTCAAGGTTTATCCTCTCGATCTTATCTGTGCGGGCGTCACACCAGTATAATGTATTTTCCTGAAAGGTAATTTTAAAATGCATATCACAAACCGAACCTCTTAGGCAAAGTCATATTTCAGCCACAAAAGAGATGAGGTAGGAAGTACAGTATATGGGAGTGGAGTGGAGGGGGAAGAGGTTGGTAATAGTGTTTGTGCATCTGTGTGCAACTGTACCTCGTAGTCTATGGAAATTCCATTGGGCCACATGATGCCTGAGTTGACCAAGGTAACCTGGTCCGAACCATCCAGACGGGAGCGGCCAATACAGGGGTTTTGGCCCCATTCAGTCCAGAAGAGATACCTGGCCAGCATATAGTAGCATCACACAAATACACTGATTTCTACACTATAGTCTATACATGAAAAAGAGTTTAATGCAGTAAAGAAATACCTGATCTAGTAGGCCAGTATTTTTGGCAATGATCCCTTTTTGTAACATTGCCTTTAAATTTGGTTTGATCAACAGTGTGACTAAACTTTCTACTGGGTAAGATTATTTAATATATTCATTTAATATGTTACTGCCAATACATTAAAAATAAAACCTATATATGTGTAATATTGGTCAGCATGAACACTCCATTTTCCATCTGAATTTGCTATCAAAGAGCCTTGTGACATCAACAACTATTGCCTGTGGCCATTACCTGGTTTCTTTGTAACAGTTTGACACAGTGTATTTTCTTGTTACCCATCATTGGAGATTCTAAATAAATTGTTTTTTAAATCATTACACCACTGTTAAGGCGCAACTGATGATAGCAAATAGTGCTGTCAAACAGTGAAGAAATGTCATGGCCTACCCTTTCTGTGGATGTACAGCAATGGCTCTTGGCTGATCAAGTCCATCAGATATGACTACTGAGCGGTATGCACCATTCAGACGGGAAATTTCTATTAGACTAAAACCATGGTCTGTCCAATACAGGTTTCCTGTGTAGAAAAACAGACAAACATACTCAGGTGTAAAAACACAACAGGGGTGATGTGTCCATTATCTTCATGGACACAAGGTACATGAGAAGGTCCCATAGTGAACTAACACATATACTAAAACTGAGTTATCATCCAAATGAGTTCATGTGGATGATACCCAACTCTGTTACTAAGGCTTAATGTTTTTTTTTAGCAATTCAAATCAAATCAAACAAATCTACTTAACAATATCAATAACAGCTTGACCAGACTCCAGGGCCCAACTAGTCACGGTACTAACCAGCAATCCAGTCGACAGCAATGCCTTCCACTCGACTGATGCCGGTAGTAATGATGTCCTCCCTCCAGGTCTGATCACGTTTGGCGCGGGATATTCTGTTCAGGCCCATGTCTGTCCAGTACACTGTGTCATTTCCTGCAAAACATAGAATACAGTTAATGATAACAGAAAATGGCATGATGAATGTGTCTGCCACAAAAGTATTTATGCCCTCAAACAAAGCAGCTCATGAAGCACATTTTACTGCAGCACGGCCCATTTGACCAAATGTTGTGTGAGACTATAAACTATGATGGCGAATACCCACACAGCTCTTTGTTGACATACAGTGCCCGAACAGGAAAGGCAATTGTGGGCCAAATTTTACAGGGCAGTATATTGCTTCATGCAAAACATGGTGTTGGTAAAACTGTTATGGACCCTTTCTGGTTTTACAAGCCTATTACATAAGCATATAAAATAATACGTAATTTATTTATGGTGCAGTCTTCAAGTGCATCTCTGTGAGTGCTTGTCAGCCTTCCTCTGTACAGGTTGTTAGGAGGTTAGGTGGCGTTATGTGTTTATTTGCACTTCTTGTTCATGCTGCCTTCACACTCTGTTAACACGTAGCTCACATATGACAGAATACAGCTGCAGGGCTTTCATCTGTTCTGCTCTGGCAGCCGGGCTTCTGTAATGACATGTAAATGATGTGCGTGAGCTATCAGCTGCTGCTTTTGGATGGACTTACTAATGCATTTCATGTTCACCTGCACAAAGTAATAAAGGGGAGGACAATCAGCAATCTTGTTCTGTACTTTGGCCATGTCTGATTTTGGCTTGGGCTCTGCTTATTTCCTCTTTTCCAAAAGCTGTAGTCACACATCAAGATTGCTATCGACCTTTGAAGTCTCTCAGATTCAGAAACAGATTTCATGCTTTCTTGATAGTTATTAAATGACAGAATTCATGGCAATTACTGAAATGACCTACCCAATATGTTCAGTACACCTAAAGACTTATATGTGATTGTATACATAATACCAGCGGGCATGTACACCCCTTGGGGTTAATTTATAGAGACAACTGCAAATTTCCCCCATTTACTAACATTAATTATTTAAAAGAGCGCAGTTGCAGTTGAGATAATTTGAATACTTGCCAACAGATTCTTATATGTGTAAAAGATAATTTCACCCAAACCACATGACTAAAAGTCCGTAGATATAGCAGTGCTCCAAGCTAAATGCTAATGTCAGCATGCTAACATGCTGATGTTAAGTAGGTATTATGTTTACTGCGTTCAACATCTTAGTTTAGCATTTTTGCATGATAACATTTGCTAATTGTACAGCTGAGGCTTGGCAGAGCTTTTCAAAAAGAGATGTAAGTAAATTATTACAGGACATAAACTCACTAGACCTCTGTTGACGCCCCAGTTTCATTTGTGGTGTTCACTGCATTGAAAACCAATATTTAAAAAATCAAAAACAGTGTCTCAGTACCTGAATAAAATCAAGACACTTTGTTGTGGATGCTGTTCTGGTATTGTTTTCTCCCTTCATTAGATAATAGTCTGTAGTAACAAGGGAGGTCTGTTGACCTCTGCTTCTGCCACAGTCAATAGGTTAAGAATATTAAACCAGTTTTAGCAACCTTTTGTATAAATTAACATTTCCTACTCTTATTTCTTGCAAACCTCCAAGAATGAATACATGTTGATTTACCCAAACATGTATTTTATCATCTGGTGCAGCTTTTCTTAAAAGAATTGCCGCAAATCCTTAGTATATCAACCCTTGTGTGTATGTAGTTAGTGTTTTTCAGCTGTGCGTACGCAATTTCCTTTACCCTGCTTTTGTTATCATGCTTCAGTGGCAACCTATTACATATATGGAATTCTATCAGCCTATAGTATATTCATAGCATTTGTTGGTGTAGTAAATGTATCATTTTTATCATATATTTTATGTGGATGGAAGCAGGGACGTAACAAACGACAACACAAGCTATTGGGTTCATGTTTTGCGATGCACATTACGGTACCTTCATTTGATGCAATATCATGGGAATTGCTTTGTATTAGGATTGTTTCAGAGGCTTGTGAGGGAATAGTTTTATGTTATTCATGCTGAGGTTCCCCTGTAATGTGAACTTTCATCTATGCTGCACTACTCCACACGCACAAATATCATTATTCAAAAGGTTAGAGCCCAGTATGATAAAGATCTTTCCCACCCCCTCATTGTTTAAGATTGAGAAGGAAAGGTCCGTACTGTAGGAAATAAAGGAAGGGCAGTTAAGTGTGTTGTGTATATATATATATAGATATTAATGTATGATATATAATAATGAGTGTTTGTGTGTGTGTGTGTGTGTGTGTGTGTGTGTGTGTGTGTTTGTGTATATACACCGATCAGCCATAACATTATGAACCCTGGCAGGTGAAGTGAATAACACTGATTGTCTCGTTATCACCTGTCAGTGGGTGGGATATATTAGGCAGCAAGTAAACATTTTGTCCTCAAGTTGATGTTAGAAGCAGGAAAAATGGGAAAGCGTGAGGATTTGAGCGACTTTGGGACAAAATTGTTATGGCTAGATGACTGGGTCAGAGCATCTCCAAAAGTGAAGCTCTCTTGTGGGGTTTTCCCGGTCTGCAGTGGTCAGTACTTATCAAAAGTTTTCCATGGAAGGAAAAGGAGTGAACCTAAGACAGGGTCATGGGCATGGTCAAGGCTCAGTGATGCACATGGGGAGTGAACGCTGGCCTGTGTGGTCTGATCCAAAAGACGAGCTACTGTAGCTCAAACTGCTGAAAAAGTTCATGCTGATTCTGATAGAAAGGTGTCAGAACACAGTGCATCGTAGTTTGTTGTGGATGAAGCTGCACAATGGCTGATTGGTGTATATATGTATACGTGTGTTTCAAGTAATATTTCAAACTACTTTGTATTTCTAACTATATAAAGTTAAGAATTAAAAAAAGAAGAATTCCATCGAAAAATAATCAGTTTTGCAGCTAATAGCCATTAAAAAAAAACTTTACATTTCTACCTAAAAAAAATAAAAAAAAAAACAGGAACAACATTCAGTATACATTTAACCATATGTCAGACAATACAACTCTTCAAGTTTCAGTGGATCTTTAGCCTATCTGTTGCCTTATACTCCATAGCAAACACTGATTCAACAATAGAAAATCCCTCTGTGTGTTGAATAGTATCCTACCTGCATGAAAGTCAACTCCCACAGCAAACAGTGTTCCTGTGATGGGCATGAGGGCCTCACTGTTGTCATTTGGGTCAAGAGCAATTCCACGGATTCCCTCATGGACGGAATACATCAGAAATGAGTCAACACCTAAAAAAACAACAAATTATTTATTAAACCCTAAATAGGCACATTAAAGCATTGCAAATTATGAATGCCTGGACCTGTATATAAATTAATCCCATGCACTGAACATGAGTATATTGCTTTACATTTAGGTTACTGAATGCAGAATGGTTTCAAGGATGTATATTGTAGTTAAAAAGTAAAATTTAAAATAAATAAAAAAATAAAATTATAAAAATACAATGTTGATAGGAGCTTATTGGCAGCTACGTATTTTGGGAAATGTACCTTCACAAGAAATGCGGTCGCTACGCAAGTTGTAGCCAACAGTGCAGGAGCAGCTCCGGGTGTTCTCGGAAGTGGGGAAGCAGAGCTGTGAGCATCCTCCGTTGTTTATCTGGCATGGGTTTCTTCCTGAATGTTAAGCACAACCAGGAAAGGCAAGCAGTAAGGTATCACAGGTGTATGTTGGTAGTGTGTGTGTTTCTGTGTCTTTATCTGTGTTTGTGCATTAATATGTGTAAGTCTGCTTACCTTTCTGACCCTCCCTGTCATACACCTTCATATGAACCACCCCACTTGTCTTGTTTCTCAGGATCACAAGGTTCCGACCGTCTCTCTTGGTAACTGTTCCTAGCTGTGCCGATTCCTCATCTGCCCACCAGATTTTGCCACCTGTAACCATCAATGTAATTTGCTTAAAAAAAAGGCCCACAGATGTAGTTTCAGTAAAATTGCAATGCAAGGGCAAATTGTAAAATTTTGTCTTCTTAACTAGGAAATGCAATGTGCAAATCACATTGTGATACAAACCAGCCTTCAAAAACACTACAGCACAATAAAATACTCCCCATCATCACCAATTCCAAGTGCAAACAGCGTGCTTGAGCTTTCACTCTAATCCACCAAGGCTGGCACTCTTATGCCGTAAAGCCCCTTAATAATTGAGGCATTCTCTGAGCTGATTTGAGATTAAAGCGTGGCATACCCTGTTTCCTGCTCTGCCCACTTGCTGATGATGACGCATGCATCTTGCAGCCTTGAAACATATTTTGATATCTGGGAAATGTTTTCATACCAACAAAGGCTTTTTTATGTACTTTCTGGGGGAGTTATACGGTGAAATGGGCACAATTGTAATTTTCAGTGCCATGCTTATGCAAAAAGATACACATTACTTATATATTTATGACTACTGCATGCACATATCACTTCTTACCACTGATATTCAGCAGATTGACAGACTGTCCATAGTCAGTGTTAATGAACAGCAATAATAAATGTCAATCTAGTTAGGTAATTTTGGTTTTACAACATGCAAAAACATTTAGCAATTATGAGGCCTCTCCTCATGTTTGAGTTTTTACTTTATAACATTCTGCATGAGGTAAAATTCTCTTTTATAAGCCAATATTTTAGTTTAAAAGCACAACGCTTAAAATAAAGCACCTGTGCCAGGAAAACCTGTACTGTAGTTGTTGTATATCATCATGTTTCACTGTCTACTCCCTCTCAGAGTGGCTGACCTGTCTGCCCCTTTGTGACAGTGAACCTCCAGGCTTTAGTAGTGCTGCCGTCGTGAGCATAAGTGATGAGTGTGTCTCTGTAAAGAGGCACATGCACAATAGGCTCCTGACCCTGACACACCACGGCAGCACCACCACCACACTATCCTCCAACCCCTATCTCTGCAGAAATCAGTGATGCACAATCCAGGCTTTTTGCCACAGACTCTACAGACGTGACAGGAACTCTCAATTTTAAAATCCCACTGAAATGCAGAGTGGAGAAGAGTCAGGTGGTTCCTCTAGCTTCAAAATAGACTCTGTAAATGGGGTGGAGATGGACCTGAGTTTAGTCCTTTGTGAAAGGGCCAAAATTGTCATGCTTTACAAAAGGTAACATAATGTAAAGACAAATTCATATTTATACAGTAACATTAAAATGGTCTATCATAAGGGTTAATCTTCCTCAATGAGTTAAACAAAACATGTGCCCTTTAGGTTTTTCACCATCAATCGCTTGAAGGTGAAACACTGTTTTGTTATCCCACCCTTTTTGATCTATTTAGAATAAAAAACACACACACACAAGCAATTCCCACATGCATTAATAGCTTCAGGCTCAATGTCATCCTTAAAGGGAACGTAAAACTCATTTCTACAAATCAGACAAATTTCCATGAGTGAGAATGACAGTCTACATGCAGTTTACAAAACATTTGACCCTGGAGGCCATGCTAGCCTAGATTAGCTTTGCACCCTGTGTTAATTTGAAGCCGCGGGGATCGTTGGCTACCTGTGATTGCTTGCTTGTGGCACATCATATTCAATTTCCACCTCAAGTGCTAGTTTGATTCCAGGCTGATGGATCACCCACACCTTCTAAATAGAAGCCCTCACCTTTCCCTCAAGCCAATCCAATTATTACAGAGCCCTAGCACCTGAGTGGATCGACCTTGTGTCACTAACAGTGCCTTCATTATATCTTTTCACAACCAGCTTGAGCAATTGCTAACACTAATGCACACCAAGTAAGAGCCAAAAGAAAACACAAATACCCTAACATGTCCTTTTAAACACACTGCTGCATGCTCATCAAATGAATTGTTAGTTCGATCGATTACACTCATCTTGTTCTCTAAGTTGATAGTGAGGATTTTATTTTGCTGGTCAATTGTGGATCTATCATCACAAAACGTTTACAGAAGAAGGTCATATTTTATTCTGCAGCAATCAGAAACAACATTTCCATCTGATTCCTTTCTGAGAATTGCACTCCTCAGATATCACTGCAGTAGAATAACCTTTGCAAAACCCCTCTGCTTCCTGCTGTGAGGGAGCTATATCCTGATTGAACTCAAGCTTTCCTAGTTTACACATGATGCTGACCTGGAGTTACCTTAAACACTTCAAACACAACCAACTGATTGATCAAGCTATCATAGACCAGAAGGGAGAGTAGAAAAATTGTAAGATTATTGCTAATCTAACTTGATTGCCTAAATCACCACAGAGGACTTAAGAGCCCTTAATTACTCATACTCACTTGAGGATACCTAACAAGTTATTCCCCAAGATACAGATTGCACACGCATTTATCAACATATCCATATTGGACCTCTAATACTAGTTATAATTCCAAAGTATTATTCAATAAGATATCTAATCGCAGTTTGCTGAGCTAGTATAACAAAGAACAAGCAGCAAGGAGAAAAACTTTGGGATAAACAAAGTGAATGGTCAGCAAATGCACTTAATTACATCTTTCACCATAGAGACAAAAAAAAAAACATCTGCAGAAGGGACATTTCTCTGTAATGGGCATCACCAATGGTCTATTCACTTGTCAACAACTAAAGGAGCTCAGGAATGGAAAATGACATGTCTGGCTGCTGTCCTGCTTTCCAGCTGACTATGTTTTACAAGTATATACTCAATGGTCTATAGCAAACGAGGAAGGCATATTGGTAGTACATACAACAGACGGTTAGACAATTACACCTATTGCAAAATACTAATCTCAGGCTAAGAGGAAATGTAAATGTGCCTTCTATAGTAAACATAATGTTGTCAAGTTAAATTGGTATCATTTGTTGGAAACATGTACATATAAACACATAGCAAACTGTGCTGTTAACACTCAATGAGGCATCCTAAGTGCTATCACATATTTATGAAAACTGTTCTATTATTGCTGACATACATTCTGGTAAAGGGTGAAAAGGGCATATGAGTTGTTATATGTGTTATTAAACGCTAAGCGTAACATTAAGGATTTAATATCTTAAAATGCAATACTCGAAAGATCAACATCTAGTGGGTGAAGCCTAGACTATATAAAAGACTGTGATATGCAATTAGATTAGGTCTTATGAACATTAACTACATATTCATGCTTGCATGAATCCAAGTATAAATGAACTTACCCACTAGATTGCTATCTTCTATATATAGTCATTCATTTCCAACAAATGTACTGTTTAATCACTGTGAAAATTATCTCTCTTACAAAGTACAATAACAATACAGCTGTTCATTCTACCATTCAAAACAATTTCCTCAACATAACAAAATGTCATTAATTGTGATTGATGGGGACTCGCAGACATCATTTCACTGTTTTGCTGTACCTGCTACCATGCAGGAACCAAGCCATTAGTCTATGTCACCTTGAGTTCTATCTCCCATTTGTGAAATGTGATAATGAAGTCTCCATCGTCAATATAAGAAAAAGTCCTCCATAGTCAAACTCTTTACTATATGCATATGAAAATTAACCAAAAGGATTTGGCTTGCAGTTGCAGAATGCTAAGAGCTAACATAACAGTGGGATTCAATTCTGCTACTGCTGTGTTATTCTGTAACTCTGTAATTAATGCTATCTGCACATGCTGACAGATACCCACCACACAGAAAACTAAAGCCTGTCATGATTAATGGCATGCTTCAAGAACACAAAGTATCGCCCTGACAACACTCTTGATTTTATTTTTTCCTTGAAAAATAAAAAATTACACTTTGGTCCAGACACACACACACACACACACACACACACACACACACACACACACACACACACACATATAACCAACAACTCTCTGTTCAGTATGTTTGCTTCATTCTCATTAACAATCTTGGCAAGAAAAATGCATTCACATAGCTCACTGGGAAGCTTCCCAATTGTCAAGATTGCAGCAGTGTGGAAGTGAGACAATTTAAAATTCTAATTCTGATATGTTTTGCAAAAAAAATATATAGAGAGAGATAAAGTAAATTTTATTTGTTATCTATTGGAAGTATACAGGTACAGCCAAATCCCTGTTCAGTTATTACACCAATAATTAAGGTTGATTTCGCAATGGCAGAACTAGAATGTGTTTTGGTTAACAGGTACATCTGGTGCTAATTGGAATCCTGCATGTATGAAAGAAAAAAGGGAAATGTTAAAAAAGGAAAGATACAATGTGTTATAATGTGAGCTAAAGGTACGGTTATATTTCCCAACATGTTGACTTAGATTTCAGGAGATTTCTAAATGAACCTCTGAGTTGATGGATGGTGTGACACATTGGATTCAGCTCTGATACCAAGAATCAACACATAATGAACATCCTCCTACCTTTTCATTACCAAAGAGGTGAGAAAATCAATCATCAATCACTGCTGCACTGTGTTTTAATTATCTAATGCCCTGCTACTTCACACAAAGTGAAGCACAACTGTTGTAAGGGCTGGCTGCATAGCTCTATTCCGCAGCCACTTAACTGGTTAAACACGTAATCCCTCCACACTCTCTGACTAATCCCCAATGGCAATCTGATGCACTCGTGACAAGCTCCACTCACCCATCACGGCCAGAGCTGTGCCTTTGACTAACTCCCTCTTTAGAGTCTCCAGCACTTCCAGCCCACTGCCATCCAGATTGCACCTGTTGATAGTGCCATTGGCCGAGCTTATCCAGTACAGCTTGTTGGCAGTGTAGTCTATTGAGAGACCTGAGAGGAAGACAAGTGAAGAGAGGACACCATGTTAGTACTCATTGTGCTAGGATTTGCTAGGACACAGAGATTGACATGGCTTAAAACCTGGCTTTTTCAATGCCAGAAAAACCCTCAGAGACATACTTAATAAGTAATAAAAAATCATAAAATAGTAAGCCAGCTGTAAACAAAAATTGATTAGACATGCAACATGTAACCTTTTAACATGACAAGAATATATGATCAAAAATACTGGCATTTTAGGCATTACAATAAACAAAGAATATTATTCCTGAAAAAGTAGCTGCTTCAACCACCAGTAGTATGTATTAAGTTTCATCAGATGGACTATATTTAGTCCTGGGTACATTTAATTTACTACAAAGAGTTTTTAACTGGTTATGAAACAGTCTCAATTTAAATTTGTTCCTTTTTATATGACCATCATAAACAAACAAGCGAAAAGAAATTAGATTCATTAAAGAAATTAGATATTGCTATATAGTTATTCTTATGCATGCCATGGGGTCGGATTTGGTCAGATTCCCCTCAAAATCAAAGACACAAGGTGGTCGAAACACTACGGCTTCTGTCCACAGGGGCCACCAGAATCAACACAAAATGAAAATTCCACCTAGGGGCTTTAAAAATGCAGCACTAACGTGCATAAGACTTATGACTTTCCTCCTGACTATACTTTAACAGTTTTGCAACAGCGCATTTCAGGGCTGCATTACCTTTAATCTTTACATACTATTATGCATTTGGTTGAGTGAGGGCTAATAAAATTGTTTATGCGTTGGCTGGCTCTTGGTAAGAGCTCCAGGTGGCATGAAAAATTAACAAGAGAGTGACTGACTGCTTTCTCCTCTCTAGCCAACGTGAAGGTTTTCCAAAGAATACCACTGTGAATGGTGGGAACTGAAAGCAGTTTCATTTGTGGACCTCTGGACAACTCACTGTTTCCCACCATGTGTTGGATTTATGTTTGGCAGATTCACAGTCACAATGCGTCATTAATTTACGCTTGTCCCCAGGTCTACCCCATAATCATAAATGAAACCAGTGAAATACGGCACACCCTGCTATCTGTATTGCTGACATGCCGAGGAGAATGAAGAAATACAATGAAGACAATGGAGCTGTTTATGTGACAAGGGGGGGGTTTGACCTTGAGCTGCGTGACACCAGCTACTAGAGATGAAGACCATCTGATTGTTTTTGCTAAAACAAGCTGCAATTGCTCACTTAATGGTAAATGGAAAATTGACTTGTATTTATACAGTACTTTCCTGGTCTACCAACCACTCAAAGCGCTTTACAACACTTGTCACATCCACCCATTCATACACATTCATACACTGATGGCAGGCTGCCATGCAAGGTGCCAACCTGCTCATCAGGAGCAATACAATGCAAAGCAAAGCACCCACAAGATCACCATTCACAAACACTCACACACCAAAGGCCCAACCATCGGAACCAATTTAGAGTTCAGCATCTTGCCCAAGAAGACTCTGACTTGACTAGAGTAGCTGGGAATCAAACCAGAAACCCACGAAAGAAATATTAATCTTAAGAATGTGTATATGTTTAAAGTCATGCAGCAGTGTTTAATCAATGTTTTAACTAATCAATGATTTAACTAATCAATGTAGACAATTAATTATAATGAATATTGTTTCAGTAGGAACCAGGGTTGTGCATGCTGGGCCAGATTTCCATGCATACACCTATTATTATATTAGCAAGAAGGACTAAATTATCAAAATAGCCTCATATATCTACAATCTAAGATGCTGCATATTTACCCTGTGTTCCCTTAAATATTGTAAGATAAGGATACTTGTGGAAATTCAGACTACCAAAATTCATTGATACATGAAAAGAAAAATCGATCACTTCCCGTACTGTCAGTGCATCACAGCAGAGGACATCCACATCTGCTGCTCAGTGATTCCTTTCCAGTATTACACTCCCGCAAACTGCCAGTTAGACACCTGTAGGTTGATCCTACTCAACGGATGCTTGAGGAAATTTGTCAGGACAATCATCCTAATCCCTGTCCTTGTTAGGTTTCTTCATCTTTACATAATTTATTTGTTTTATTAATCATCTTTTCCTTTACATTGTTCCTCTTAATTTTCATGAATCCACTATTTGGTTCCTTTTTTCAGTAATAAATCATTCTAAATTGTGCTTTGAGTGAAGGGACAATGTAAAAAGGTGAATTTCTAAAGGTTCAAAATTTTTTTATTTTTTTTATTTACTTTACCAAAAAGTAAATATTTTTTTTATATGTCACTACAAACAGCATAAGCAACCCCATCTCTACATCCATACTTGTGAGTAGCATAAAAGATGACTAAACTGTCAGTGAGAAAGACATTATCTTTGGAATCAAGAGGGCAGGTTTGAACATTGCTATATTCAGTGTTGTAAAGGCAACAATCTCAACAGGGTACAATAGATGAACCGGAGCACAATATCTCATCATGCAATGTGAAAGGCGGCCCTTGTTAGATTGTCATATAAGACACTTGGCTTGAGCAATTTGAAGTCAGTGTAAATCCATTAACATAACCTATAGCAATGGTAGGGTAGAACCACCAATTTTGGACATGTCAATGAGCCATAGTGGATCTTTTTACTCTATACCTGGACATCGATGTCTTGAGAACACATTTTAACCCAATAACAAAGCAGGTTCAACCGTTTATAGCTATCATGTTCCCCTGAAGTGGTGACTTATTTCTGTTATAGCACAATATAGTAGTAAGAGTCATCCAGGACTGGATCAAGGAATATTCAGGTGGAACTGCATAACATATGTAGCCACCATAATCTCATATATCAATCCATGAAATTAACCCCCATGAGATGAACAGCTAGAAAACTGTAAGAACATCCATAGATAAAGAAGTAGCCATCCATCAAACCTGGAAAGCTGCATCTGTCTGAGCACTGATGCCTGTTTTAAGAATACTCTCAGCAGTAAAAAAAAACAACTTTTTAAAGAACTTTTATTTTGGTTATATTTTAATGTAAATTATTTCTTCTTCTATAAAATAGTAAATGTGTCATGTTTTTTTTCCAGTTTAGTCTTGTATTAGTGTTTATCTATGTTTCAAATAAATTTCAGCATTGTTTTCCTTTCCGTGCCTTTTTTGCTCTTAGACACCGACACCTTTAGGAGATTTAAGAATCTGGTGATTTTCTTTCACATTGCTTATTGAGATTATATCACCACTGAGGAGGTGGGTGTTCTTTGTAAATTCTTGCTGACATTGTCGAAACAGGGAAAATGTCAACAGGTACAAACATTACGGATTCTGTTTGTAAAAGTCAGTGCATGCACATGACATAAATTGATTTTAAACAGATTAGGGCAAACTGAGATTATTACAACTTTCATGTTAACACCTTTATCGGGTTATCTTTGTCAAATTAAGGTTCAAATAGGGGAATTACTTCAAATGAATTTGGATTGAAGAGAGCATAGATGCAAAGTGGTGCATGCAGTGGCACAGCTGTTGATGCTGGAAAATTTAATTGAATTAAATTACCATAAATTGAATCCATAACCAAACAATACTGACAAATCCCCTCACTTTTCAGTCCTGTACTGTGGTACAAAGGTATTTGCTACACACCCTTCCAGATGGATAATCAGACAAATCAAGTGCACTAGGATTATTGGACAAACTGAATTATTGCAAACCATGTAACTGCTTTAATCTGGTTGTTTATATTCATATCAAATCATATATTGTTATATTGTGTATTATAGTGCTAACAGTGTGCATGCAAAAACAAAATGAGTTTATGTAAACTGAACAGAGAGAACTTGAACATAAATGTCATTTCACCTATAAAAAAATAAAACACCATTTTCTTGGCTCAGTCATTTTTGAGGTGCAGCTAAACAGGAGGTCTAACTCAGTATGCTATCCAAAGCTCTCATACTGACCTACAGGATCCCTCTGATTCTGGTGGAGGACCTTGCTGTTACTCCCGTCCATGTTGGCCATGTTAATAGTGTTGCCATCTGTCCAATATATTTTTCTGTGTGGAAAAGTGAGGCGAAAAATTAGCGGTCCAATTAGGCACAAGATACAGTATCATAGGGTTTACAACATAGTCAATGAATGTTATGTTGTTATTAAATCAAAATTGAATGTAAGCCAATACATTTGGTTCTACCTAACAACCTTGTAAATATTTAAACACACCTTTCAAGCTTGTTAAACATGATCTCTTTACAACAACACAGCTTTGATCCCGTCTTCGTACAGGTGAGGTCTGTAGTCAGGTTTTCTAATACTATGCATTGAAGGTGAGGTACTGATGAAGTGCACAGTCTGCTCTAATCTACTTACCCCTTGGCTGGGTGCACTACAAGGCACCTTGGCTTATCAATGCCGTGGATGATGGAGGTCTTCAGGGACCCATCAAAGCGAGCCACATTGATTTGCGACTCGTCATTTTCAGAGCTGAGCCAGTATAAGTTCCTAGAAAGCCAGTCTAAAGCCAGACCGCGGCAGTTCACTATGTCTGTCAGGCAGAAAAATGAAAAAACTGTCACGCCTGTGTATTTTACAAAACTATAATGCAAATAAATTCATATATATATATATATAACAAAATAAAGGTATGAATGGTCTAGAACTTTGCAATCATGTTAAAGAGAGGAAATAACAAGAATTAATTACAGCGATTACAGTAATATAATTAATAAGTGCTACTCCATGACCAAGAAAAAAACTCTCTAGGGAGACTGTCAATACAGTACTGCGTTCAGCTCTTGCAACAAGAGTATGTGTGTACAAGCTAATCAATATGAGTTGGTACACTCACGCTGTGGTACACAGCACACACAGCTTTTGATTTGCATTCTCGATGTGTGGAATGCACCCACCTGCAGAAATGATGGTCTCTAGCTGGGTGCCATTGATGAAGGCCCTTTTGATGGTTTGGGTTTTGATGTCAGCCCAGTAGATCCTCTCCTCCTGCGCGTCATAGTCCACCACTGTGACATCATCTATGTCTGGTACCGTTAACGCCGTCATGACATTCATATAAGGGTTGTCAATGTCCACACCTCGGATTTCAGACCGCCGCACATATAGAAGGAACCTTTTCAAAGCTGGTGAGATGAAAAGAAATCCATCATTTCAGAAAGTGCACCTTTGCATACCTTTTTTGTCAGCTCCAGGTGAGAGTGTGGTAATAACAGCCTCATGTAAATTCTGATGTCAGTCAGAAGGGCCAGAATTCACATGTGAAACAAAACATCTCTCCTGTTGTTTGCACAGTATCCTATAATTTTACTCTGATAGGGAGAAAGCATGAAAAATGGGAAGGTGTTGCTTTTTGCTCACCAAAACAGGATTGTTTGTTGGGTGAAAGCTTCATAAGGTGTGGACAGGTGCAGGACGCAGTGCGGTTGTAATTGATGAGACACAGATGTGAGCAGGGACCACGTCCATCATTTTCTTCACATGGGTTAGAGGCTGACAGGAAGGGAGTAAAGAGAAAGACAGGAGGAACATTTCAGTCAGTTAGAAGTTAAGCGGAAAAGGGGAGATGGGTTTGGAAAAGTTATGTTGTGTTTGATGGATCTTCACTCATCCTCTGCCCATGTTTGCGTTTTCAAGTTGGTCCCTTGTTGAATTGGGTCTAAAGAAGTTATGAAACATGGACATAAATGATAAAATATAGAAGATATATTATATTGTTTACTCTTTTTTCACTTCTCAGGAATAAAGAGTGGCGTTATCTGTCATCCTATTACTGTAGGGTAGCACAATTTCCAGTTTAAGCCCCTAACCTGTTTCTATTAGACAAGCAGAACAACCCGATTTTCAATATCTTCAAACTAAACAGTCATCATATAGGAGCAAAACATTTGAAGGAGTCAGATTTCACAAATTTCTTACTATAACCTATTCAGAATAAATCAACTCAGCAAAACTAAAGAAAGTCACCCACAGTTCAATTATTTCCCGTCAAGCTGAAATCACATTTCATGCATCAAACACATCAATTTCTCATCTACTCCGGATGATTCATGTCAAACAAGCTCATTCAAAGTTCATTCCCTGGGATCCTTCAGCAACAGACTGGAGAGACCCATTGCAGCACAAATGTGGCTTATTTAAGGCAAAAAATCCAACTCTCTCTGTGAGCTGGAAACAGCACCCAGCTGACTCAGTATGCTAATAGTGCGACATCTGAACAGCGCTGCATTCACCTGAATCATGCTCTTGAGGGATGACAGGCAGCAACAACAGAGCCAAGGTGTTTGTTTGCTCTAAACTGTCAGATGTATTCGGAACAAATACATTTAAAAATGAGCCCACTGCTATGGTAAGGCAGTGAAAATGCTGGCACTCCCTAAAATAGTCCCTCAATACAAAAGTCATATTCGGAGAATATGTAGTGATGATACATGCCTGAAAGTGCTTTTTTTTCACCAAGATACCTATATTTTATTTGTTGTGCTTATATATTTCAAAGACTATCATATTTGGCATGGTAATTAGAGTGTAGCTTATCTGCCTGTCTTCATAAATATTATATTGTTAATATAGCTTTGCACACATTGAGAATAACAATAATGACTTCAAAGGACCCAACTGAAATATCCTCAGCCACACCTCTTTTTCTCCTTAATTCACTTACGGGAACAGAATAAATAAAAGGACAAAAATTGATGTATACTACTAATAATTATTTTTATGACTCCATAGTGCCAATATGTGTAGTAAAAACACAGTAATTTGACATAGCTAATTTATACACAGGGACCAACCCAGCAGTTGGAAAGAGCCATTAATGACTATTGGAGTATTTGTTATGTTTGAAAGTACACCACTGTGTTCCAAGAATGCATCAATATCAAAATGATTACTTTATCTTACTGGTCAAAAGATCTGAAAAAAAAATCTACTTTTTGCTGCTTATAATGGTGCAATGGATACACCGCACCACAGGTTTCTTTGTGATGCTTTGTCTACCATCTCCCAATTATCTGTTGTAGCTGAGAAGCCTTGAGACTGCCAATGTGCCTCCTAATTTGCAAACACTTGTTACCCATTCTAATGTTAAAACACAGCCTTGCCTTTCAAGTGACACATAATGCAATTGCAGGCTGTTTATGCCTCCGGTAGCGCTTCACTGTGGCACCTGCTGAATAGCTCATAAGCCCAGCTGCATACTGGTGTTCACTGGTCCCTTCTTCATCCATCCCTCCCTTTCTTTTTCTGTGGTCCAGATGTTCAGGGTCTAGTGGAGCTTCACATCTCTAGGCCTTCGTTCTGGCTAGAGTGAATAATAGCCAGCCCTCCCCCCATTGAGCTTTTTTAAATAGGATTAGGCACGCTTACTGTCTTCTTTGGGAAAGCAGTCCTCTTTGCTCACACTTATCTATGATGAGCAGTCATGAGAATGCAGAATACAGGAAGGAAACAAGCAAATTAACTTGTGATTCACTAGAGACGCGGTGGAAACACAGAATAGATGCAAACCCGATTAAGACCATAATATTGCCCATTTAAGGATGGTGGCTTACGTATGAAGAAAGCTGAGGGGGATAAGAAGAAACTTGGCAATGCTGAAAAAGGCAATTGTGATAGCAACTGATCTATCAATCAGGTGGTCTTGGCACACATGACCAAAATGTTCCATAATCCAGTCTTTCATTTTGGGGGTTCTGGTTTAAAAATCAAACAATACTCAATTTAAATCTATTTACTGAAACAAAAAAAAAACAACAAAAAAAAAAAAAAACAGTCAAGACAACTGAAAACTGATTTAATGCTATAAATTTAATCTTGGCAATACATCTTGCAAGCTTATCTGCATATCAAATAAAAATTGGCTTACATATGTAGGCCTTCTGTCAGACAACATACCAGCACTGTGTCTTTTGTGGTCAGAATCTTGGCAGCTTGCTTCTCACAAAATTGATTACCTATTCCTCTGTGACTGATACAGATTCAGAGGCATTCACTTAAAAGCAGTTGCTGGCAATATTAATAAAGTTTTAGAACTATTCCATATATTTCCTGTCACCACAACAAATTATTCACATTACCAATTTAAATGATTATTGGATATGCCACAATTATTCCTTGGCGGCTGTGATGATGATTCTCATTTTGCAGCTCTCTTTATTCAAATTATTTCAAAAGGGGAAAAAAAAGCTTTAATATAGTGGTATAAGCCAATTACAATAATTTGAATGGTGAGAAAAACACATTCAGAGGTACCATTAACTCAAGCTAGCTAATTCTCTGCATGAGTACCTCTTTCGTTCAGACACATGGCTCATTGATTGACAGGCCAAATGAAGGCAGAAGCTGAAATTAATTACATTATGCTGTTTTTTTTATTATTACACATTATGTGGATGGATTCTGTTTTAAAAGATAATTTATCCTCAGTCAATATGCAGTAATACTGGAGCACTATAGTCAAATTCAAACTGATTTATCTTTTTTAACTATAGAGTGTAAGATGATACGATATGATGGATTTGCACTTTAAGCCCATTAACAAGCATCCCCTTTCTGTGCAGGTTGACAGTGACATGCCCAAAATTAAATGGTTACTGTTACTGTTCTTTGTAATTGCAGCTATAGCCTGGTCTCTTTTAAATCGTAATTGAAGAGTTTACAATCTAAAAAAAAAAATAAAAGACTAAATGTACAGAGGCACAAACGAAGCTGTGTGCTTTTAGACAATGTATAGTTTTTAACTCGATGCCATGCTAAATAAAGTAGCTACCCCCCCCCCATTGACATCAGTGCTTAAAGGTGTTGTATACTGTATGACTTTCAGACTAGATGTAACACTAGAGCACCAGCATTTTAGACCAAAACAAAAGAGCACGCAAATTGTGTCTCTCAGATCACAAAACACACTTCAATCAAACTCGAAAAAGTATATTTTAGTCTCTCCACTCTTCTAGCAACAACAACTAATTCTGGTTTGGTCAAAACAAACACTTAATTCACAGTTAGATGAGAAAATAGTCACAAAATGGGCTTCTATGCCTGCCATGTAACATTAGCTAATCCTTGGGGATGAATGTGCTGGTCAAAGTACGTCCACTAAATGTACTTGTTGTGCCGCTGACAGACTCAAATTGGTATTTTAAGTGTGTGACAACATTATGAATCCCTATAGAGTCAGATCCTTTAAAACAGCCTGTATATTTTTACCCCTCACCAGCAGACAAAAACAATAATTTAACTTCCCAGATAATTGTAAAACACACTTAATTACCAGACACAAAATTAAACTTACAAAAGTGATCTTTGTTAGTCTTTCCACTATCCCAGCAACAATCAGCAACTCTGGAATGGTCGAAATAAATCTTTAATTCACCGAGTTAGAAGAGAAAAACAGCTATCCTAAAAGCCAACAGATACACATGGAGAGACTCACGTGCACTAACATATACCGGCGGCTGGACCGGAGTAGTAAACAATGCTTGGGGATCAACACAGGCAGAGGGAATGTGATGTTAGTCTTTGCTCAAGAAGCATTTACTTCACTATTTACATGGCAAATCGTTGTTTGCTGCTATGTTAATGTTCTAAATCTTGTATATAACCTTTAAGGGGTTAAATGTCACTGCTGCAAAACCTAGGAAAGCAAAACTTACAAATTTTATATGGACCTGCTTCCAGCTGTAAAATTTGCCTCTTCTGTAAGTGTCTCATGTCAAACAGAAAAGCCAGAAAAACTGTCCTCACCTTGTGGCTGTCTGCTGGGGTGGAAGATCTGTAAGTCAAAAGGTTGAGCACTCGTCTTCTGGATGACTGTTACATTTTGCCCAGTCCACTTATTGGCTCTCGCTAAAGTGTTTGTCCTCCAGTCCGTCCAGTATACATTGCCTCCAAAGAGAGACACAGCAAAGGGATGGGACAGGTATTCGTGGCCCCTGAGGATCTCAATGACTCCACTTCCATCATAGAGCGCAGAGAAAATGGCGTCCGAGCTGTTCAAAAGAGACCAACACAAAGGGACATATCAAAGTTTAAACTGCACTTCAACTGCATTGAAAGGGAACAGTAAAAGTGGGCAGATCAAAGTGTTACCACCAGTCCACTGATGGAACTATTAAATTGTTCAAGATCCACTCAAAACCAAATATGACTATTGTAGTAAAATCTCTAAATATAACATCTCTTCCATTATTTAATGCCGGCTTCAAGTGACATTTTACTCAGGGAATGGTGAATGCTTCGCAGTATATAATGTCATACATGTATTAAAAATGATAAAAGGTGTGAATGCTAGTGCACACAACATAAAAACTTGAATGGAATACCGTGCATCTGTCCAAACAATCCTCTTTTCCAAATGATCCAGAGTAAGTCCATTAGGCCAGGCACCGATTTCCATATCTTTGAACACAATGTGTCGACCTCCTCCACTCATTGATGCAGCCTCAATTCGGGGGAAAGTAGCATCCCAGTCAGTCCAGAAGAGGATCCTTGGAGCAGAGACCCAAAGGCAACAGTTAGTATTGATGACTAATTGCTTATTTTTATGAGGACAAGCAACAATATACTGCACATTTTTTATTTATTTAAAAAGGCTGTTAGATATTATAACCATCTAAGAGCTGTTGTAACTGTATGCATTAACAAAGACAGTGGCAATGATGACTGTCCAAGAACAGCCCCAGTGATCCAGTGCAACCCTAAACATCTGCGACAGGCCTTGAAATGGGAGGCCATCTGTTTTATTATGACTTTCTTTTCACAGCTCAATGAGGCCTGAAAATGAACACCGTGTCCAGAGTCTTACTCCAACCCAGCAAACATCACTTCTGTCCTGCCTTTGGTCCACAAAGTCAGCTACAACGAAGGAGAAAATGGGTGCTCAAGCTTAAATCACATACTGACGACAACAAAACAGTGTTAGGAAGAAATATCCTTGTCCAGATCAATAGCCTTATTCACTTGATAAGGCCTCCCTGATCAATGACCCACTCCTTTGAGTGGATTCAAGTAATTAGATTAGAATTATTGCCCTGGAATGGAAATGCGCCTTTAGGCACCAAAAGTACCCATTAATCCTACTCTGTACAGCCATGAAATGTAGTCATCCTCCCAAATGTGAAAGAGTACTATAGGAGAGAGTGCATGAGCAGATTACTCATTTCTTAAGAGTGTTAAATTGATTTTAGGAATGTCTGGCTTTTGCTTTAATCTGAAATATTCTGGCCACAGTATACAACCACTGGCTAGTTTTCAGATGTATTTATCCAAAGTAAGTACCAAATGTAAAAAACAGCAATACACTGACAACAGAGAAAATTGATTCAGGTTTTTGTATAATTTGTATTACTGTATATATTCTGTAGATAGTAAGAGCATACAATTTCAAAACCGTGTTTCCAGCACTGCAGTAGACACGCAGAGAAAGAACCTACCTACTTGTTTCAAATAATTCTTTGTCATCACTCTCTGATAAAAGCAACTACACTACTAATTTATTTAATTTGTATCTTTAAAAAATATGCATACAAATATATCAAACTGGAGAGTGCCTGGATGGACCAGAGTTTACCCTCTGAGTGATTTCTTTAAGCAGGCAATACATTCTCTTAATGTGAATAGACAGTGTTATGTTAAGTCACACATGGGGTGATGCAACACACCTGGGAGACATTGTGAGCAGCTGTTGAGATGCTTAGTTATGCCAAGAAGAAGGGTGAACTGTTTGTGTTTTTTTTTCCATATCATAAAATAAAACCTTAACTGCCTACATGACGAGAGGAGCAGGGCAGCCACCAGGGTTACTATAATCACAAGCCTTGCATGAAGATATCACAGGGACGATACAGAATCCAGTCCTGTAGCTACAGGCGAGTCAAACCTCTTTCCCGCAGACCAGGGAAACAAACCACACTTACAGGCAACAAACAGGAACATAAGAGCCAGTTTCTTAGTTTGTGGGCATGTTTTCAAATTGTCTGCAGTTTCAGCAAGAAAAAATAGGAATAAGTCTCAATTATTGCCCCTACATAGAACAAGGCATGTTCACAGTTATAAAACCCGTTGACATCATTACAAAACTATTAAAAAAAAGTCCTCAAACCTTTTTTGAAACAAGATCAGTGGGTTCGACAACACAGTAACTATCACAAGACATCACACAGTGTGAGACACAAAACAAAGACTACAAACTACAGCATCGCTCTTTCGCACTGTTCACAGTTTCTGATCACTCCACTTAATATGAATCTACTACTATACATGTCAAAATCAAGGCATCACATCCTTTTTCAAGGCTGAGTGCAGGGTTAAATGTACAATAACGTTCATACCTTCAGGTGCATAAAGGCTCATGCTATTCCACCCAGATCCTACCCTTCTCAACCCAGGCGCATTGACCAACCAGTAGAGTCACAGTGCAGTGGCATGAACATGATCCTTCTCAGCTTCATCACCTATTTTGACTGAAACACTGACAGTTGTGTTTGATGTGGTGCCTTGCCAAGATAGAAGCATAGCTGCTGGGAAGTGAACCTGGGTCTCAGCAGTGGTGGGTGAGTGCTCAGGGCCCCCTAATTTTTTTAAATCAGTATCTCGCCTTGCAGAACTAATGTCTCTGATTTACAGCAGCTGCTGTTCAGCAATAAATCTTACCTACATGATGTATTAAAACAATATTCAATAGTCGACAAAAGGGATATAATTCAAACCAAAATCAAATTCTATTACCATTTAGACTTTTTCATTTTTTTTAGACTACAAATAAACCCTAAATAAAGTATGTGGACATAGTTGCCCATTACTTGAAATCAACCTCTGGGAAAATGAAATACGAATTAAAAGAAAATGATAATGCAAGTCTCAGAAATTAATGCAGCATGACTTGTGATGGTAGTTAAAACGTGGAGTAAGAGTAAGAGTAAAAAATATTGTGGAACACAATGTAAAATACAATGTGTATCTAAAACGTGTTGTTGAGTGTGTTAAATGCAGTTCATATTACGTGACAGTGCATCTCAGGCAATGTTGCGGAGTAACGCAAAGGTAATGTAACAAGTAGTATGACAAATTACTTTCTACAGGGAGTAAATAAGTACTGTTAAGCAACCTGGTTACCTCAAAAGACATCTAATAATCCATCAGCAAATATTAAATTATAAATTAGAGCTGGCTGGGTACATTATGTTTGCAGTTTGCGTGTTCTCTCTCTGCTTTTGTGTGTTTTCTCCGAGTGCTCCTGTTCCCTCCCAAAGTTCAAAGACATGCAGTTTAGGTTAATTGGTGACTCTAAATTGCCCGTAGTGTGAATTCTCGTCCGTCTCTAAGGTCAGCCCTGTGATTGACTAGCGACCTGTCCTCACCCTCTAAGGATAAGCGGGTACAGCTAATGTATAATGGATGTTTATCTTCAGTTAAATATGATGACAAAATGCTGAACAATTATGACCCATTGTAATGTGCTTCCCACAAGGCTCTATAAAACCTTTGACCACTCAGTAAATCTCATTAACAGTTTAAATAGAAAGAAAAACACAAGTAGTGAAATACACACACAGACACATTAATAAGGACCTCCCAAACACACATGCACAGCACATATACACACAAAAACATGCAATACTTGTAAAAATAAATGTGTTTCATATCGTAAAATGATTGATAAAAAATTTCCATTATAACAAGAAATGTAGTGTTGTAAAAAAGTTGGTTGTCATTATAACCAGAAGCCATTATAAAAGAACAAACATGTTGTGTTAATGGTCCAGTGTCTAATATTTAGAAGGATCTTTTGGCAGAAATGTATGATTTAGTTTTGTATATAATTACCTGGATACAGATGGTCCAGGTTGGCTCCCATGTTTCTACAGTAGCATGTGTTCTGCAAACCACTGTAGATTCTCATTTAGAAGGGAGTTTCAGTCTGCAACTTCACCATTCGATGCCACTAAATCCTACATACTGGACTTTTAACTGTACCTGTAACGTCAGAACCAGGCCTCTGGCTGTGTGAGTTGCGTTGTATCATGTGTTACTGTTGAGATGTTCTTGTTTCATTTCTTTTTTATGTATGTTTTTGTGACGTTTCCCCTTAGATAAGACAGCCGAAGTTAGACAGAAAAGTAAATAGGGTAGAGAGAGAATGACACACAGAAAAGGGCCAGATTCAAACCCACAGCCTTTGTACATGGGGCACCACCTCTACCAGGTAAGCTATTATGGCATCCCTCTTGTTTCATTTCTAAAGGGTGGGTGGCAAAGTTCCAAACTGTTCAACTGTCCGAACCAGCATCTCACATCCTGCAAGGTGTGTTGCATCAGTGGCTAATACCGAGTCAAACCTGGTCGCCCCAGCGTGACTTTGTCAAACAATCTAACAAATTAAAAAGCTTATGATAACACTTGTCATACCAAGGAAACAGAAGTGTAATCAATGCACTGTAATAGGTGCCATTTTAGAGCCACAGATCAATCTACAAACACTCTTCCCATGTCTCTCAGCGGGATAAACAGCTATGATTGTGAAAATTGGCCCCAAGGGGAATGAGGCAAAAATAAAAACAAAGCTTATTTTGGGCTTTTTATTTGAAGGTCTTGCTTAAAAATGTTTTAAAGAAAAACATTACCAGGCAACAAGAGTGACAGGGTAGTAAAACATATAAAGCAGGAGCAATGGTCGGGGTGGTATTAGCTACATCAGTTGTCATTACTGGAATAGAGCACACAGCACTGTTATTGATGTACTCTATATCTGCTGCTATAATGGACCTTAACACAGCAGACATCTTCATACATCAAGGCAGATGCGGAAGTGAGAAATACAAGAAGGTTGTAATTTGACATTATTCCAGTAATCTCGGTGCCTGATGGATAGCCCAGCTTCCAGCAGGTTCTGTATGTGGGATTCAGTGCATATCTTACCCCTGCCCTGGGTCGAGAGCGATGGCCCGTGGATGCTCCATGCCTCCAGCAATCAGTGTAGTGCGCATATCTCCGTTGAGCTTGGCAACCTCGATCTGGTCCAGATTGCTGTCAATCCAGTAGAGTTTCCCTGTAATCCAGTCCACAGCCAGGCCCTCTGGGGTGGCCAGACCGTGCTGCACGACCACCTCAATCCCTGTCACCCCTGAAACAACAAGATCAACAACAATAGCATGTAACTGAGGGGCAGGTTTGGTGGTTGGTATATCTTTACACTGCTGAGGAAAACGTTCTCAAAGCAGAAGAGGAAACTCCGAAAACTCCTGAGAAAATCTCTTCCATATAAAGATTGCTTTCTACAGGGGTCCATTAAGCACAATAAAAGGGTTTTCCCAGAATATTTATAATCTAGCTGTTTACAGATGCTGAGCCTTTTTATGTGTGTCTCACAAAAGGGTGGAATAGGTTACCTCTGAGAGGTGATTTCTATGGCTCCGCAGAGGGAAATAAAGGCAAGAGAACCCAGTGAATGTACTGCCACCCACAAAAATACAGAGCGAAAGAGAACTTCTGATTCATCATTTTAGGAGGAGGAGATACTGTACTACAACAACTGAAGGACTTCTGGTCCTGCAGTATATTTCAACTCTTTTCAACCTGAGATAAATTTTCAGCGAGAGACAATATCAACTCACTATATCAGAGCTGAGTGTGCGTAAAGACAGTACAATAAAACAGAGCGTTATCACAGACAGTGTCTTAGACTTCCATTACAGCTGCTGGAGTACAGATGAGCAAGACATGACTCTCTTTAGCCAATACATCACAGCAGTCTTTAGATATAGCAAATGTTTGTGTACATGTGTACTCATGTGTGCACGTACCGCCAGTCTCAGAGAGCCTTCCCCTGTAGATCTTATCCTCCACCACATCTGTCCAGTAAAGGAGGCTGCGATTAAAGTGGAAGTCTAGTGCAATGGTGTTCCTCAGCCCTGGCACCAGCAGGCTGTAGTCCCGTTTATGAAGGTCTATTCGTCTTATCTCGTGCCGGATTGAAAAAATGATGAAAGCCTCAAAAGGATCTAGGCAAGGAGAGAGACAGGAAACAAACACTGTATTTTTGTAGACATGCCACCTTTGGCTGAGTGATGTTTTTGAGTCAATTGTTCATCAACAATGTGTGACATAATGTACAGTTTTGGCCATTTTAAGAAAGGCTGTTGCACTGGCTAGTGAGCTATGACAGCCCCTATTCTTCTTTAACAGTAGTGCAACTGGAATGTTTCAATGACCACTACACATAAAGATCCAGCACATTTTCTGAGGAATATTACTGTCAAATGCTGAAAACCTGTAGAAAAACATAATAAAAGAATGAACAGTATACCATGAAAACTCCTAAAACTCAATGCTCTGTATATAAATCGTGTTATTGCATTGTTAAATAAGGATTAAAACTGCCATAATGCAATCTGACACACATGCACACTTTTAACCATTCACGTGTATTTATTTCATTGTATTAGTTCAAGCCAGAGCTGCTTTTAGAGAAACATAATCTTCCCTTTAAAATCATTGGTTATCCCTTGTTAGGCTAGGCTATAGTTTATTGTTGGTCAGATCATATCTGACCTCCTCTCTCTCTGTGCCTCCAGGCCCCTTAAATCTTCAGTCACTCCTCTGCATCCTACAGTACCAGCTAACGTTTGAGAGTGCACTCAGACTGAACATGAAGAGAACATTCACATATATTCAGTTTTCACACACGCGCACACATATATATATATATATATATATATATATATATATATATATATATTTAACAGTGCCAATTAGTTTGGTCAGCATATGCTGGTTTTACAGTTTTCCATGTAAATAAATGCACTTTATTGAATTTTTCAAGCTAGAAGCAAGGGATCAAAGAAAATCCCTAATGTTAGTTTACCCTGTATTATTAAAAAGGGATCTTGCTAACCTAGCAAAGATCTAAGGCTGGCCAAATAGTTTGCAAGCTTGCTGCCACGTCATAATTATTAATGCTATTTTATCAAATAAATAACATCAATGTCCTTCACACATTCTTCACTTAAAACCTGATTTTATTCAGTTCCCTCTTTACTTTTAATGTCAAGCCAGTTAGACAACTGTTATCAGCTAGATTCTGATTAAATACTGTAGCTAAAAGATGCAAACTAACTCACTCTATGATGACATAATAGTTGCAGAAAGGCCGGCAAGCACAAGCTTACTTTTCTTCTTGTTTACTAGCTAGTTCCTCAACAAAAAATGGACACATTTGTTGGCTTTCTTTACTATACTTAACAAACAGATTTTACTGCAAAGTTTGACACATCAAAGTAGGAAAAGCATACGGGTCAATAATAGATTAATGAGGGTTGGTATCGTACATGTTTGCTCGCTGTCACACTGTCACACACATATACTTTTTTTATACATATATAAAAAGGTATTTTCTTGACTTTTGTATGTGACACTGTAACTGTCACTAGCTCTACATGTTGCAACATTAGCTCGTATAGTTGCAAAATAAGTGATGTTCCTATCACCAAGGCAGGGTTATACTGAATGACTGTCACTGACATGCAATGTATTTGTTTTAAGTTATTTTGATTGAATTCCATGGAACTATGGTGGAAATGTATTACATTACTTTATTTATATAAAATCTGCAGGGCAATTGAAATAGTTAACCTTAATTGAGTTCCATGTATTAATTCCACTCTCTCTCTTTGTTGATCTGCTGTGTAGAGGACATATTTTCAAACCATCTCATTGGTTTTTACCACCATGTAGTGCAATTGTTTATGCATCAGTTGTAGCCAAACCAATTTGTTGCCAAACGCTTTGGGAATCAACACAATACATTTTTCCATTTCTGAAAAAAAGTAAATACATTTGTTAGAAGTCTCTACTGATAATTTCATTTTGTAGAGGCTCTACGAAGTCACTCTATCTACTGACAAGTTCTAAAGCTGGCAACAGTGCTTGCATACTGAACTTCACTGGCCTCCACCACTGAGGTTTAGCTCAATCAGTAAGATTATTTCTGCTTCTGGGAAATGTTTGTACAGCTAAAACCTGGAATTTGTCACACATGGACACACACATTAAAAAAAACAAAACACACAGAACCCACAGATACACACATGCAATCTTTTAAAATAGCTTTTTGCAGGCCTTATCTTCACAGCATTCTAGACTAAATCATACTATAGGGAACAGAACTGTTTGCAATTAAAATGTCCCTGCTTCAATGATGTATTTCAGTGTTGTAACCAAACTAGCTGAAATGCTACTGGCTAGATTTTATTACTGGGGATGTGCAAAAGAAAAGTAGGAGTGGATGTGCGCTTAGGACTTCACAAAGAATCCAATAACACCTCTCTCAAGATTAAATTGGAATGTTTGTGTTTGTATGTAAAATTTGATTTATGAAGAAGCTGTAGAATTTGGATCAGCTTCCAGAGTGAATTGTGTATTCTCTTCCTGCGTTAATGTAAGATTAGAGCTGCAACTGCCATCAATCTTGAAGTGTAACAGAGAAGCAAGTAATCAAAACGAGGTCCATAAATCTGAATGTGACAAGCCAACAGCATGTGTGTGTAACTATTGTATTTCAAGCGATTACAGTGCTGCCTTGTCAAATAGATTATTCACTAACAGAATAGGGGAAAGTTTGAATTCATAATGTGATACTACACTGGTGAAACATTTGTGTTGGAATGGGATTAGGCCTGGGTCGAACTTCTGCACAGCTTAATGAAGTAACAAAGCTCTGGTGGTTTGAGAAGGGAGAACATGCTTCCTTCACTCAGCATCAGTATGGATAGAAACAGACAGGATTCATCGCCCAGATGCCTCTTTAGATTTGAAACTGATTGAATTTGACCTGGCAGTACCCTAAATCACCATCTATCACTATTCTTCAGACCAATTCTCCACTTTCTCTGCACTCAGAGACAGTTACACAAGAACCATCCTATTCTGTAGTGTGACTTTTATTGTTTTCCTTTCCAGTTTCTCTGTGGTGTGAACCTTTAATCAATAAGAAATACATAAAGCTCATATTTTTAATTAAAGGCACCCCCAACAAGAACAGTGATTCTAACTTAGAATCAAGGATTTTAGAGTTACTAGTATGCCCTAGGATAAAATTTAATATTACAGCAGACACAGACTCAAAGGCACACACCATCACGACAGCCAACAGCATCACTAAAACACACATTAAAAATGCTAGGGTCTGTTACCTATGCTATGACAGCTGTCTCCGTCAGGGTCCAACATCCATCCTGGATAACAGGAGCACTTCACTGTGGTCTTGTACTGCTCACACACCTGGCTGCACTTCAGGTGACGGCTGCAGTAGTCCACCACCTCACAGGTCTTGTTGCTGGAGTCCAGGTGAAGCCCGGGGGGACAAAAACACACAACCCCTTTCCCCGGTGCCACGGTACACTGGTGACTGCAGCCCCCTCTGGCTACAAGACACATATCTGGAGTGAAGAAGGCAAAAAAAACTTAGAAACTGTACAGACACTGGAAGAGTGTGTGAAAGAAAAATACAGTGTGTGTGGTGGCTCTGTAACTATATTACAGACACTCCAAATACCAATAGTTGTACAAAATGTGAAAGGTTTTATGCTTGAACATAATGTTACAAGGATAACATATTTTCAAGAGAGTGTTCGCACTCTAATGAAAATAAAAGTGTTACATAATGAGAAAGCCGTCATACAGCAGTTTCTCTGTGATTTCACCTGAAGGTGAATGGGTTTAATTTCCATCAGCGCTTCAAAAAACAGAACAGGAAACATACCATTATGCACCGCTCCTTTAAAAAGTGAAACAAAGAAAGAAATGCTTAACTCCATGCTCTTTTATCTTATTTTTATACTTGTGATTTTTTTTTTTGGACAAGGTCAAGATCAAAAGGCATATTGATGAAAATAAAACTGGTGTCCCTTTTTCTAAAGTGATTAAGACCGTCTTTTCAAGGTGAGCAAGAACAGCATTATACTTTCTCAAGGGGGGAAATGGAGCATGTGGTCACAGTTGTTAATGGTGGGTGTGAGTCCTGCTGAGCTGGTGCAGATCAGACCCTCAAGATCCCTCTGAACACATAATTGTCTACGAGGAGGTAGAAGCCCTCTTTTCAGCTATAATAAGACAGACACTCAAAAGGTCCTGTAGGGCCCCTGCAAGGCTTGGCTAGTGACGCTCTAGAAAATGAACCTCGATGTTTACACTGCTGACTTTAAGAGATTAGATGGCCGAGGCTAATCACATGAGATCTTTTTCTTCCCTCTGAAGGCTGCTGGACAAACACTTCCACATTTGCCGTCATCAGGAAGCCAGAGTATTACCTCATGTTCTGTCCCTATGGTCTCAGAGACAATACATACCAGTTCCTAAGCTGCTCAATGTGAAGGAGGGGATATAGCACTGGGGGATGTTCTTCAACATCCTGTGATATAACCTTAGATGAAAAAGTGCTGCCAGGTAATTTGACAGTGAATTTTACAAATTTATTGAAACTCTAAGTTAATAAAAGGTAAATTAAGAATAGGAAAAATAAAAATAATAAAGAGCTATATTGAGAGAGTTGTTCAGAAGATTGTGCTGCAGTTTTCATTTGTAATGTAAATGTGGATTATTCATTTGTCACTGTTCTTTGTTTTATTTTCTATTGAACCAATGTCATTAACTCCAGTGTTTCTATCCTTCCAAGGAATGACAATCAAAGACACTCAAACACAGTGGGAGCATTGGAAAGTTGGTCTCTTCACTTTAAAGTTATTCTTCACCCAAAATATAAAGTTATTCTTCTCCCAAAATATGTCTTTTGAGTATCAAACACGCACCCCTGCAGGCTTGAAGCATTGCTATAAAAAGTTCCTTCTGCAGAACAGCAGCTATGGTCAGCGTGATTTTTGTCGGTAACAACGGATTGCAATGTTGACAGGCTTTTATAGCTTAAAGTATCAAACAAATCCATATAAACTTCTCAAAATCTTACTTGTCTGTTTATCATCATCATTGGAAGTCAGAAGTTCAGGCAGCAGTACTATATTTAGCCAAAATAATGACTGGGACATACTGAGCAACATCTGCTGTGTAACAGATCACTATTGTAGAATTGGAATCTATTGTAACTGACACACAAACAAACTACTATAGAAACTTTGAGGTTGTTCAAACCACCAAGGGATAAGTGTTTGATAATCTGTTCACACACGCTAGTGTACTTTTTTGCTCAGGGGTTTGGAAAGCCACTTTGCTCCAATTAAGGAAAACCTTAATTCTTCAAAGTCCTCCAAGACTTCCAAGTTTGTGACAACGCTTTGTGAAAGGCAAAAAGGCCAACATAGAGGGACATATTGTATGGGCTACCTTGCTTAGCCTGCTGCCACCCTGACTCAGACCTGGATAAACAGGTTAAAATTGATGTTTGGATGGAATGCTCAAGCCAGGCCCAAAATAAATGATTTTTAAAGCTTAGTGGGGAAGAACTTGACTGGCCTGCACAGAGCCCTAACCTCAACTCTATCAAACACATTTGTGATGAACTGGAACGCCAACTGTGAGCAAGATCAGGATAAAACCTCCAAAATCTTGTGGAAAGCCTTCCCAAAAGAGTGCCGGCTGTTGTGTGTTGATGTATGTCATGTTCCGATATCCACATACTTTTGGCCATATATATATAGATGCAGATATGACATGCAGTGACAAAACAATCATTACCACAGATGGGTCCTTCATCAGAGCGGTCCGCACAGTCCACCTTGCCATTGCAGATCTTATCGGGTGTGAGGCAGACAGAGGTATCGTTGGCACAAGGGTACTTGGGTGGCTTACAGACAGCCGACTCACAGGACTCTTCATCTGAGCGGTCCTCACAGTCAATGTCCCCATCACACACCCAGCTCTTTGTGATACACTTGCCTGTAGAGAATGGGATGTGGAGATCTCACTTAACAGTTCCAAGTTTCACGGTAGTTCAGATGATGTAATCTCACTGTAGTAAGTATTTGTATGATTTGGTTAACTGGATGATGTTATAAATAGTTGCCTGCCTCAACTAACTGAAATTTAACATTTAGTGGTGGCATTTTTCATGAATGTTTCATTACTCAGTTCCTTAATCATATCTTTTGAATAAACATTAGATAGCAAAAATGCCAAGCTTTTTTCCCAGGGTGCCTCAATCAACAACTAAGTCTTCTCAGTTCTGTGCTAAATGTGCGACTTGATGAAAATATCCACACGATCAATATTCCCTATGCTGATATCTGCACTAGGGAGTAATTTGTAATTCCCTTTGTATGCAGGTAAGAAAGAGGAAGGTAGAACCACAGAGGGGGGAGAGGAAGAAAGCAATATTGGGATGTATCATTTTTGTACTCTCCCTGGTGAAGCTTATCGCAACATATTCCAATTTATAGTTTTTCAATCAAAGCTACATCATAGGGGTTTGAAATCCCACTGGTTTATCCTTGGTGCTGGATCAGTGCAAACCGTCGTGGGAGGCTGAGTGTGCGTAGATTTTGTGTTCAGGTGTGTCTGTGTGTATATCATTCAGCACTTTTGATTTAACCCTTAATTTCCTAAATGCCTTATATAATGCCAGTGCAGTTGTACATATCAAAATGAAAGCTGATGTGCTATTAAAGTACACGCTTCCCCACGCATAAAATATAGATGACACTTGGGGTACATAAATGTTCCATTTTCTGTCTTTGTGGTAATGCACATAGACAAGGCGGTTAATCATACGTTAACTGAGTTAACCAGTCTTGATACTGGCAATTAAATGACAAGAAAGAAAGAAAGAAACTTCAACCTGAGTTTATGTACTGCAAAGGAGGGGACAGGATGTGCATGAAGACAGACATGAAAACATGATTTTATTTATCTGAGTGGGTTTATTAAACGTAACCATTGCTTCTTATTTTAAGTAGGAAATATTTTTTTTCATATTCTCCAAATATAGAAAAGTGGCAACATCTAAAAATGTCTTCTTTAATTAACATAAATGAAGCATATCTACAGAAGGATTTCATACAGAGCTGGAACATTTTTTGTTCATGTTTGTCCCTTCTCTACACATGGCTGAAGATTTATTTATAAATTTGTAAATTTATATTTGCTGTGGTTGTTTTTTTTTGTTTTCTTTTAACCTTGCTCATCATTAAAGTTGCTACATTGATGAAGATTTTAATATTTATTGCCATCAGAAGATTTTTTTGTTTATTTAAGATTATTGAAGTTTCATTCTTTATTTCGAATTTAAATTGAACAAATCAATAAACTCTACAAAAATGTCTATTTCTACATAATGTGCTGTTGGATAAATTATATATTATACATGTTTAGGTTTTCTTTGTTTGAGTTTTCTTGTTGTTTTCTTTCCATATATGTTTTTGTAAATTGGCATGTTAACGAATCTGCGTGTGGGTGGCTTGCTGTATTGTTGCACTGGGCCAATGTCTAATTGAAAATGTGTATCTTTGTTTGACTTTTATCTTTCATGTTGAAATGCATCCATTCCCAAAGGTGAAATGTTAAGGGAAAAAAAATCCATATTCCCAGCATACAAATTAGGCATAGGTTTACAATGAGTCTCATATCTTTGTTTCATCTGGTAAATTAAAAAAAGAAAGAGAATACAGCCATCTCCCTTTAATGCATCAGAAATGTTAAGATGCCCCGTTTCAGAAACCCTTTTGAATAATGTTTGAGAGGGCACTCTGCTCTGGGTAGGACAGAACAAACTGCACCAGTGCACAGGGGTGTGACACTGCAGTATTAGAGTGAATAATAATTGTGTGGTCTAACCAACCCTTCAGCACGCAGCATTGCCTCCATTCTTGATAATACTGTCAAGGGATGAGTGGAAAGCTGTGGCGCTAAAGACAGAAAGCAACTGAATGTTTCTCTGACCTTTTGCTTTCAGCTGCTGAAAGAGAGCGGATGCTGGGTTTGGGTACATGGGGAGTTTAAACAGGCAATTTAAATGGTTTGTCCTATTTGGTCAAACAAGTACATGCAAACTTCACTGCACTGCTCCAAAGTGAAGAATGGTTAAGCCTCTAGAGCCTGTCAGAGAGTGACGCCCTTATGAAAGGGAAGAGAGCAATTTGGCAGCTTAATTTAACTGATACATGCAAAAAAATAAAAATTGTTGAAACTACTGAGATGCTTCCACGCTCTCTTAAGACCCGAGCAAAAGACTGGAGTGAAAAGGATCTTTTATCTAGATTGAGTACTGGAAAAGTCCAAGCAGATAAAATGCCCTTTTTTTAGACCTTTTTCACAGCAGCCATTTTGACATGTTCAAGAAAGTAAAAGATTTAAGATCCAGACTGTCATGCTGAATTTAGAAGATAATCCATAATTGTTTTTGATGGCTTTTTTTGATGAACAAAATAAAGAAAATTGTTTTTGATTTTATATGTCTTCACATAATTTCTGTATAACATTATATATAAAGTTAGCTGATTCTCTTTCTCTGTTGCAGTGTGTTATTGTCCTTCATGCTCAAATTTGTTTAGCCAGGCTGCCATGATCCTAAAACACAAGTAAATGATGCAAGATTTACTTACTGAAGTCAAATGCGAGCTGAATTCACTTTACTGTATTTAGACTTTATCTAAAACTTATCATAGATATTTCAGAGTCACATATTTAGCACCTTGTTTTACATACAAATATCTGTTGTCAATGTAGCTTTCACTTCTGACCTCAGTAGTGTAGTGTACTTTATTCACTACCTGTATCTTTGCAGGTAAATTTGGCCTTTGGGTCGCACATTCTTTTGGTGCCCTCACAGTCTTTCTCGTCACTCCCATCCTCACAGTCCTTGTCTCCGTCACATCTCCAGCGTTCTGGGATGCAGGTCCCATCTGTGACACAGTGGAATTCCTCTCCACTGCACTCGATCACAGATGGCAGCACTGAAACAAAAGTAATTCAACAATTACTGATCTACAGCACACAGTCATGGGCAAAGGCACAACAGTATTGAACTATTATTTTACAAGACATCTTTTACTGTTTACACATATTTATCTTTGCAAGAAGGGCACTTGGCAGCAATAACAAGTCAGTCTGTGGAAGTTATTTCACATCCAGCATTTAAGGTTTACGTCTCTGAGATGTTTCTGTCTTGTTTAATGACTCTGGTCACTATATCTTTCTCCACCAGGGGTGCATCACAAATAAAATAAACTGGTACCACTACACCATTATGTTGTATGTGTTGAACTGCAGGTCTTGGAGTCCTCGGACATATCTTGTGGCAATCATATAAATAGGTTCTAAACAAGATAACACCCAAAGAACTACAATAATACCAAATTTATTAGGATACATTATATCATTTTCAGCAGAACATAATAAACAGCAATATGCATTCATTTATGTCATGCCATTGAGCCTTCAGTATGGTCTGAATCTGATTCACCATTTGCTTAAATCTTATAAGTCAACCCAAAAAACATTTCTTCAACAGCCGAGGCAAAGCTAAGACAGATTTAGTCCCCTGGGGTAGAAGCAGAAGCAGACATGGGGGAGTGGAGAAGCCTGCAGTTCCCATCAGGAAACAGCTTGATGAATAGTCTACACATTCTAGTGACAAGCAAGTGGGCTGTGAGTTTCTAGGAGCTTGCATTAGGTTTCTGTGGTAATTAGATTAAATGATTCAACTCCTGATGGTAAAATTCTCCCAAACGGAGATTAGATAAGATTAGTCACACGTGTGTGTGAAAACAAAGTTATTGGACTCAAGCTGACTAATTGTTAAACATGTAATTACAACGCCTAAATTTAAACATTGATTTGAATTGCAAATAAAATCATTAGCACTCTAAAATAGATATAAGGACATATATACTCTCATAAAGGTGCAACCAGACAACTCTGCTGGAGATTTTTCAATAAATAAAAAAGAGTGAATTGCAGTGATGACTTATAATAGGTTAATTATAAATATACTATTAATATTTTTATGTAAAACATGAATAATGACAAGGGCTATCTTAGCTAAAGAGGATGTGTTATCTGACTTAACACAGCATTTCAAAAGTTAATGCAGACATTCTTACGTGCTGATCCACCTCCGCAGGTTGTGTTCTCATCACTGTAGTCACCACAGTCGTTGTCACCATCACAAGCCCAGTGGTCCGGGATACAGCGGCCACTAGTGCACTGGAACTGGGTGTTGGAGCAGGACCGGATGCAGCCAATTTCATCACTGCCATCTCCGCAGTCATCATCTATGCACATGTACAAACACTCATAAAAGGCTTGACCTTGCAAACACAAGGTTTTTTTATGAGCAAACTTACTTAAAATATTTGTATAAAGAGTATCACTGTAGTCAGTACTCAAATGATTCTTGTTCTCACCTGAATCACATTGCCACTGCACACTGACACATCGCCCATTGGAACAGCTGAACTGGGTGAGTGGCTCACAGGTGGGGAAGGCTGAAAAGGTTTATTTACAGGTACCCATCAAATATAATCTCAGTCCACACTAAACAAATATTTGCACTACAATTCTACACATCAGTGAATTATCAGAGAATAGATTTTTATTTCTAGTGGGAAGTGTCACAAGGCTTTTTCCTAAAAGCTACACTATGTTTTGGTTATAAAACTTTACACACATAACTTTATTATTATTGAAAATGATTGATTCTTGAGATTGTATCAAGGTTGTCTCATTAAAAGAGAATTTGTGAATTGTGCAGCCATTTCTGATGAATAGAGTAGAATCTTTTAAATCTATGGTTTTTGAGCAGGGGATGAAAAGAGATGAAAAGGCTATTTTCACCAGTGCTAGAACCTGGGAACCACGAATGTCTGCATGTCAAATGTTGTGCCAAGTAGATGCTGAGATATTTCACAGAATAAGTAAAAACTGGTGGCACTGAAAAGTCCGGGGATTCATCTTCTTGGCACCATGGATATCTGTACCACATTTCAGAGCAATGCATTCAATACTTTTCAAGATATTTTATTAAGAAACAAAAATGCATCCTCAAGGTGGACCTAGAGAAAAAAAAGTCAGGGGTTCATCAAAGTCATTAAGATTCATCCTCTGGGAACCTCTGGGTCTGAAAGTTTCATGGAAATCCGATTCCCCTTATATCGAGTCACTAAGATGGTTAAAAATATGCATACAGTTACATGTTGTGACTGCATCACTGTAAACTAAAGTTATGAACTCGGACCTGAAGTGTAGCTACATCTTGAGAAATACTTCTCAGAGTTGCTGTTATGTGTGGCCCTGGATGAAAGAGGAAAATAAAATTGAGAATAACATGAAATACCACTTTTGATTGGTTCTTTGTACTAAAAGGGGCCTTGCATGGCCATGTTTTATTCAAAACCTTTGTCTGTTTTCACATGTTCTCTCTTGATCAATGCCTCAAATCATGAAAATATATAAATGTAAAAACAAGTCCACATGGTCTATATGGAGATGACTATAATATGCAGATGACTCGGCTATGAAACGACTATAAGCGGAGTCCATGTTGGCTGTTTATGGTAGAGAAGGAAAGAGAAATAATGCATTGATGCTTGTCTTCGGGTTAGTATGAATATTGTAATTAACTAAATTACTTGGTTTAACAAATTACAGTCACCTTGCAGTGACAGCCACTTTTTCATTTCTGTAAATGTTTGTCTGTTGCACCCCCTTCAATCTCTGAAAGTGGATGCCTCCCAAAGTTTCTCCCACTTTACCTATAAAGATAAAATTCCATGTCTGCTGAGGTGTAATTTAATTAATTTTTTTTTTAACTTAACTTGACAATGCAAGCTTTTGAAAGCAAATAAATTATCACCTCTGTAGTCACTAGCTGATCCAACATCCATCAATGCAATCAAGGAGACCTTGTGAACTAAAATCTACATTATAGCATCAATTCTCTACCAGAGCTGTAGTAAGTAAAGGAATACAGATTCTACTACTTTTTGTGGACTGATGACATTGTCAGCATCAACATCTGTATTCTCATCAGATACTATTCTTGTTTCCAATTTTGAGATACTGTATATACAGTACTTTTCAAATATCCTTCCTGGATGCCTGAAGCTTTATTGACTTCAGTATGAAATGCAAGTCTACATTTGAATTGATTTGTTGGCATCTGCTGCTGCTGCCTGGAATACCTTAGGCGCTGTCAAGGAGACATATTGTATCTTTATCAGACAAGTGTCTTCTATATTTCCCACAAATGTGTTAGGTCTCACTGACAGCGCATGACTGGTTGGAATTTAACATTCATTAAAAATGAAGCACGAACATCCATAAATAATGAGGGTTTCAAGTAAACAGTGAGCCTGGCAAAAAATGGAACATTGGCATCCATAAATAATGATGGCTTCAAGTGAACAGAGAGCCCAATATGAGACACTGTGTGACAACTACTAAACTACTGACAAACAAAATCCAAATTAGCATCAATCTCTAAGGCGGCCACCACTGAGCTTCAGGTGTTCCAAAACCCACAGTAGCTCCACTGAAGCTAAGTGAGCTGCCAGAGCTACACAGTAGAGTGCCTACAGAGAAGTAATGCCTGAGGAAGCTCAGACAACAGTATGGGAGAGAATATGTTTTGCTGCACAGCTTGATTATGATTGAATGAAGCCGAGCATGAACTTTAATTACTGCTTACACCCTGGCTGTTTGTGACTGCGTATTGTAGCAGCTTAGGACACACAAAGGGAGGCTGAGGCGATACAGCACAGTTCAGCGTTTGGCAAACATCAATCACTGTAAAAGGCTGATTTAATACAAATAGTGATTAAAGAGGAATCTTAAAACCTTTACCCCCATCTTTAAAATGTATGCTGGTAATTCATCCAGTTCAACCTTGCTGCTGAAAACACATTTTACAGACTAAAATGCTCTTTTCCCTTGAATAAAAAAAGGTTAAATACATCTTCAAAGAACTCCAAAAAGCTCAGGCCATCATGGCGTGCCTTGTATTTTTCTCATTTATGTTTTCCATGATTAATCCAGAACACGGACTGCAACTTTTACTAACTGAAGCTGACAGTTTGTATAATACCACTGAGACACGACTTAAGAATAGTGAACTACTGTAGAAAAGTATCCAGTATACTCGGCACAACAAGCTTAGCTGATGGCATCAGTCTAGTTCTTGGTCCAAAGAACACAGCATCAATAATTCAACTCCTAAACTTTCACAATTGAATAAAGTAATGCATGTGAAAGAGACTAGCAAAATATTCAAGAAGTCACAAAAAACGATAGCTGCAAGTAGCATTCTTTTCGAAGAACAGTCAGAAGTACTTGAGTGGATAGTGGTGCATCAACCAACAAAGTTGATCACAAGCTCTGTGAAACTGTACAATGGGACAGCGTTGCTTTGAGCTAAATGCTAATGTCAGTATTCTACCACTGAAATGGTAAAATGCAGATGTTTATCTCGTGAAAATGTTGTTCGCCATCTTAGTTTAGCGTATTGGCATGGATAAATGTGCTAATTAGCTCTAAACACAAAATAAGCTGAAGCTGATGGGAATGTAATAAAGTCTGCAAATGTTTACTTTTAAACAAAAGTATTGGACAAATAAAAACTTACCGAGTTACACCTATGGTGTAACTAGAGGAAATTAAAAAATCTATGATAAATCATCCTGAGGGGGACATGTATGTACCAAATCCCATGGCAATCTATCTAATAGTTGTTGAGATATTTTGTCTGGACTAAAGTAACAGCAAGCTGAGTAACTGACAGAAATTGCCAACCTAAAAGCCATGCCGCTATCTGGCTGAAAAGAAAATGATTTCCCTATTCTTCATGTAAAAAGACATATGATACGTTATAGGTGGACAACTGCAACATTTATACAGGCACACTTTTTTTTCAGCTTAGTTTGCAATTGTGTCTTTTTTAGTAGTCTGCTTTTAAGGAAATAATGGGAAAAAGAAACATTTTATCATAATGCTCTTATCAAATTACTTAAAATCATCCATTGTGAGTACTGCTCAGCACATATTCTCTGTCTATCCCTTAGAGGTGAAATCTGAAATTACCTCTATTGGTGGGAACTGCAAAAATGTTGACACGTTTCTGGCACAGTCTACTACATGAATTATAAAGTCAGATTTTGAGAGTTCCCAGTGCAGAAAGGAAAGTGAGATTTGAAATTTCACCATTTAATGACATAACCATTGAGGCATAGTTTAAATTGACAACTCTATCACCCCTCATTGTAGCTATAAATATACCCAGATTGGGCATAACATTATTAACTGTGAGGACTGAACAACTAGAGATTGCCCATAAATGCCCTTATTAAATTCATTCACCAAGCTGACCTATTTTGCACCTTGGCCAAACAAAGCAACACCAATAGCAGTGATTCTTGAATGACGTGATAAATAGCCATGAGTGACTCACTGCATAATATTTCATCAGACATATCCCCGCAGTCATCCTCCCGGTCGCAACTCCAGGCTTGAGGTATACATCGTCCGTTCTGGCAGGAGAACTGGTCGGCCTGACAGGGCTGGGCTGAAAAAAGAAAGAGAGAAGCCACTTAATTCAATCACACGTGCATAAGTCAATGCAGGATGTGCAAAACAACTCTAATGATCACTTCATCACCAGGATGTCAATGTCCGCCCCGTGCAAACTTTTTATCACTCAATCATATAGTCTAGTCAAGGACTGAAGTCCATGGGAACTGTGCTGTTGCTTGACGGGCTGACGGTTACATCCTACACGGCCTTGGTGAACACACATGGACAGCACACAAGTGATGTCTTGCTGATGTGGGATATGCATGTCATTTTGATGATGCAGGAACATTCATCAGCCTCTGACTAATGCTCATTGATTGATCCTCTAAGGATAAAAAGCTCCTGAGAGGCACCATTGAGGAAATGGGAGGCAATGTGATATACTGTAAGTGTTCCTGACATACAGTTGCCTCTCATAGGTGCTACAGCTCTTTGATACTGGAGAGTGCTCTCACACAGTGAGATTGATTGCACTGTACTGAAACTGCTCAAGAGCTGCAAGCTATAATGGTGATGACTGCCTTGACAACACCAGACACCTCTGTCCAAGACTTTGATGAATAAAGAGCATCCAAAGTGAGATAATTTTCTCAAAATGTGCTAGAGAAAATGTTTTTATGTCATGTATAGATGAGAGAGTGGTTTGATCTTGAGTTTACACAGTGTGCATAAGCTTGCTAGAGATATACAACTTAATCAATCACAAAAGTGCATTAACCAACTGAACAACAGTTAATCCTGAAATCTGAAAATCCTGAAAAACATGTTATTTTGATGATGGCTTTGTTGATCAGTTTGCATAGAGAACCAATGATACAGATTTTGCCAAAATGCTGATAATACAGAACATTATATTTTATATGCAGGTGATGTAATTATTGTAAATGTTTAAACTACAGCCAATGCTACACAGAATGGAGGACAGACATTAGTTATAGTACATACCTGAGCATGTAGTGTTGGCCTCATCCTCATTGTTACCACAGTCATTCGTTCCATCGCAAAGCCATCGTTTGGGAATGCAGCGATTGTTGCTGCATTTGAACTGATCAATGGGACAGGTGTGATTATCTGTGAAGTCCAACAGCAAAAAAAATGTCAGTCAAGAACCTTGCAGCTTTTACATGAATAAATTAAAAAGTTAATTAAATGAAACAAATAAAATTAATATTTCACAAAGGATTTCACCAAGTATAAAACATCACATATTCAGTTTCTACAGCCACAGCCAAGGTAGCTGAAATACTGTGCTTTCTTAATATTGAAGCTTTCTTAATTCTCCAGCCTTTTTGATCTTTGTCAGTCGTATTGGGGTAAAAAAGTGTCCATATAGAGTATATTCACAGCTCAACTAATCTTGCACTGATAGACGAGCAAGCCATAAAAGGGAAAGATGTTTAAGAGCAGAGTCTCATGTTTCTCCTTGGTGGTTTGTCCTTTAATGGAGAGTAATGGAGTCTCCATAAGATTTTTACAGTGGTCTTAAGTGTATTTGTTATGTGGTTTTAGTGCCTTGATTTTTAATATATATATATATATATATATATATATATATACATATATATAGCTGCTTTCATTGCTTGGGAAAAAGACAAATCTGCCGAGCTCATGTTTCATTTGTTCTTGCACATGTGTCTAGCCACCATATCATACAAACAGAATTCCACCAGCCTTGGATGCCAATCCTATCAGTTATATAATATGGGGCTGATTTTAATATGCTGATTGCCAGAGGAGCATCACTGAATTAGATTTGAAAAAGTCACACGTAGGTTATCCTCACGAAACTCCTCAAACAATTAAACTAGGCCGTGCTGATCAAATATGAATCAAGATTTTTTGATTCTTTGGTTACTGCATTACCAATTTGTTTCACAAATGTTTACATAAACACATTTTAGTGAACTGTTTAGCTGTAATTTGAGAAAGTTTGTGACCTGTTGCCATTTTATTCCTGCTTGAAAATGGACCAAACATCGCCTCAACTTGCATGTGTTGCTCAGCACTATGTCCCACGTTTCATTGCTCTAACTGGGTAAGGGTCTATCTAACTGTGTCCCAAGGTATTGCATTTTGGTCTGTGCCAGCTAATAATGCCCCTTAGAAATAAAAAACAAACCTAGAGATTCCAGAAATGACAACAACTACTTTCACATAATAACTTACATACTTCACTAGAACTACCAACCAACGTACTTCTTTTTTATTTATTTATTAAATTTTTTTTATTTATTCAGAACAAAACATTGCATTCAAACAGGTGACCTCCACAGTCATCTCTTTTCAAGTAAAATTTTGGTCCGATACATTCTCAGGAAGACTTCATAACCATCAAAATAAACCAAGTTAGTAGACTGTTAAAGTATAATATATCTTAGGCAAGCATATAATTGATTTTTCAATTCTGATCATTCTGGCAGATGATTGGATTAGGGTGCATTGCCTACAGAAAAAAAAAAAAAAAACATCCAAGTAACATGGTGTTTATCTGCCTGATTTGTTAAAAAGCAAAACCACTTCAGCAAGAGCAAAAGAGGAGATAGCAGTGTGGAGGAGGAACACTTGTCACCTCTACTAACCCTTAAAGTGATATTTTGAAACATAGAAGTTGACAGCAAGAGCGGATAAGCTGTAAAAAGCCTGTGCTTTCCTTCCTTGGTGCATGGTTGTGCAAGTGTATTAACATGTACATTACAGCATTGTACTATACTGATCTGTAATGTATTTGAGTGTTGGCCAGCAGGGCAGACTTATTTTAAGGTCCTCACAGCAGCTGTGGCTCTCCTCATCACTTCCATCCAGACAGTCATCATCTCCATCACACTTCCACAAGGCACGTATGCAGCGATGATTATGGCACTGGAACTCATCACTTTTACATCGCTGTGGCTCTAAACCGCTGCTGGAGGCTTCTGGGAAAACAGTGGTGAAACAAAATCAACCAGAGACTTCCTGTGAAGTATGTGTTCAGGAGAAATTATTGGCATAGCTATAATAGCACAGAAAACTGTTAATAATGTCTCATGACCCTACGTGTAACTACTGGGATTTGGCTTATATTTCTGGAAACCCACTGGGATAATTTCCCACCTGTATTTATTTGTTTATTAGCAGATTTGCATGTGAATAGATAAGGTTATTATTTGATGTTTGTCCCATAGGATGAAGCCAGGATTACAGTATACTGGGAGAGGCTGATCTTAGGCCTCTCGCTCTGTCTGATTCATTATGTTCTCCTACCTGTACAAGTGACATTGTTCTTCTCCAGAACCTGGTTGTCAGCGCATGCACACACTCTGCCTCCTGGGATGGCAAGGCAGAGGGTACCGCAGCCCCCATAATTCACACTGCATGCGTTGTCACCTGGAGAAACAGATCCCAAATAAGGTGTCTTGCTCATTTAAAGATACATTTCCCAACGCCCTCCTTAAGCACTATGGGTTTTCTGTTTTTTTTTTTTTTTCTATTTCCCGTTGTAAAGGGAACAGCAATGGTTCAGGAGTCAATTTAAACCCTGCAAAAAATAAATCATCTCATTGATACAAAACTCATCTCCTGTCTTAGAGAGACATGTCAGGTGTATACCATGTGATCTACAACCATATGTCAAGTGAATTATTGGGAACAGTGTGGGTGAGAGACATTTGACATTTTTATCCTTCTTGGAGGAATAATTTGTCTTTCCGGACAAAGCCGACATTCTCCAAAGGAAAAGAAATTCTGTCACATATAAAGTTAAGGCATAAGACACCTTTGTCACTTTCATTTAACACAGAGCCCAAAGGCAGTGCCTGAACCAATGAGATAAAGCTTTTGGTTTTGTAAGAGCCAATCAGTAATACTGAAAGGACTGGACAGCCAATTAATCTATTCAGTGACATGAACAATGGAGAAATGTCCAGCAAAAATTCTCTGTATGGTGTGAACTAGGCTGTGCGTGCAGTAGCCAACCATTCATATGCACCATGTACTTGGCCATGTCTTTAAAGTTGTTGTAAAAAAAAATAATTGTCTTGAGAATAAAGGAAACCACATCAGTGGACTGTGTACAATTATATTTCTCTACATTTAGAGCAATAGCATCAGGCATCAACCTCCTCTGATTGTGCTGTGGGTGTCTGAGTGCTGTTTTTACATGCCTTATTATGGGATAACAAAAACAAAACGCCTGCTGTGAGGGCCAATGCACTTCTCCACTCCACAGCCATATCCGACTCCTCTCCTATCTGTTCTTTTCAGCTTTCTAACAGCATGAATCCATCATCATTTGTTACAGAATTGAACAAACCCCTCCAAACCTTGGTCACTTTATTTAACTTCACAGAGTGGAGCCCCAAGTGATTTTAAAGTCACTGTCAGTGTTGATCAATGCACTGGTTTACACCATGAAATTTGACACCAATAGGCATACAGGCGAAATCTCTGGTGTATATATCATATTAAGTGCCCTCCATTAGAGAAATGTGTTTAGGGGATTCAAATGCCTGGACACACAGCACTGAGAGGTTCTATTTTTGGTGTGCAACAGCCACTTTGTCTGTTAGGGGAAGCTATGGTACAGTGGCACTGGATGAGGAGCACATGAAGGAGAAGCAGCCAACCTTGCTGACTCTGTGCATCATAGACACGCAAGCCAAATAGTGGTGGTCTCTCGCTCCGCAGCAGAGTGACATCACCGGTGGACAAGTCCAGCTGGAAGACCGAAGCATTCATGTACTCGGTCCAAAAGATGAAATTACGGTAATGAGAGATTCCGAACGGATGGTTCAGCTCTTTCCCATTGTACACCACCTGCAACATGAAGCAAACATGGAGTGTAATCAAAAGATTAGGAGAGCTACGGAAAGACACAACCAGCAACAAAAAAATCAATCATCTCAAACAGGGTTCTAGGTGTTTGAATATCGGCTTAGAAATTATTTGATCACAGTATATGATGAATGTGATTCAATTTCTTTGCACAAATTTATTCAGAAGGAGCTGTCTGCTTATAATAATGTTTGCTAGAATCTTGGCATTGATTAAATAGCATTTGCAAATAATTCATTAGCTTAATATGCCAGTACAACTACAGTCGACAGGAGCAGTTGGGGATGAAGGGCTGTCCTGTTGGCAGTTGTTGTGGGAAGAGGAGCAGTTTTCAATCATTTGCAAATTAACATGGTGTCATTGCTAAAATATGGAAATCAGTTTTGGACGCTGAAATCATCATGTAATATTGATCTGAAACTGAAAGTCAAACAGTGATTTAAAAGCAAATAAACATGGCAACAATATGAAATAAATGTATAGCAAGATTCTGTGGTGAAAACACAGTTGAGTTGAGTTGATCATGCTTTGATTAACAATGTATTTGTGTAATACAAAAAAAATAAATTGCGAAAAAAAATTTAAATCAATGATTTGGCTGTTTTCTGTGTTTGGTAAACATTTTTTAGGGTGCAGGAACTGACATAATAAAATTAACAAAATTAAATTAACATGTTTATTCAGTATTATTTATTGAATTGGAGGTGTTAAATTCCTCCCTCTAGCCATCTATTAAAATCTCTCAAGCAGACAAACCCTCAAGTCTACCAGAATAACAGCTAAAATGATCCCTCCAAATACGTTTCTACATCATTTACCCACTCTGCGTGCCCTCTGCACACTGAAACTCACCATTCTTCCAGTCCCATTGAGATGAATCCTCTCAATGTGATCATAGTAGGCATCACACCAATACATGGTACTGGTGCTGTGGTCCAGTGTTAGACCATTGGGCCACAGCATGTTGGAGGTGACAAAAATGCGGCGGTTAGATCCATCCATCCAGGCTTTCTCTATCCGCCCTATGCTGTCATTGACTTCATCCTCTTCCCAGTCTGTCCAGTACATCCAGCTATCATACATAGACAGATACACACAAATGTTGCATCAATAGACAGGCATATTAAGGTTTTAGTTACAAACTACGTGATCACATTTTATATTCAAACTATGGCAGTTCATTTCAGCTGTCTGCTGCTCATCCAACTGCACTCTCACTTTGTGACACTGATGTTAGATGGTTGTGCCTGTTGCTGCCTTCATCAGCCTCCGCCTGCTTTGATTTCTTATCAATCAATACTCCAGGCTTCTCTCAAAATGATTTCTTCCATATCACAGTGATATGTGTCTCCTGGGATCTGTTCTGTACACCCATGGGAAAGCATGACTGTGCTCCCCACTGAATCTTTTACATGCTGCTTTGATTCACACAGTGAACATTATAGAGAACACAACCTGTACTGCCAAATACAACTGCATAACCATTAGTTCAGAAGACTGGTTTTAACATCATGACAAGAGTGTTCCCGACTGAAATGGAAATAAACTGGAATCCAGATTTCCCATATGTAAAACCAAATAATCAAACATCCCTGACAATCAAAAGAGAGTGCATCGTAGCCTAAGAAATTATTCAGGCTTATCAAGTTAAAGTGCTGCTTGACTGCACATCAAGGCAAAGTTAGAAGTCTCAAATTCCCCACCAAAAAAAAAAAAAGAAAAAGTTTTCACTGTATCTTATGCCACGACTGCAACTCTCAGTGGGCCCGTGGTATTTGAAACGTGATTGGGTCAACGATTTGACGTGAACTGTTCTCTAGTAACCATGCCCAGGGGATTTGCTCTGTTTGAGTGTTGCTGACTGAGCCATGTGCCCCCCTGTTTCTCATCAATGATAGACGGTTGGCTAAGGAAAGATGAAACAGAATGGGATATGGAGGTGAATGAAGACTCCCTCTGTCTTGAAGTCATCTTTAAGACCTCATGAATTATTCATAAATTCTTCACACTCACATGCAGACAAACGCGCACACACACACACACCTACATGCACACAAACTACATAGAAAGCATGTCAGATGGACTGATGGACAAAATGCAGTTGCATTGTCATACTAAGTTAAATGGAAAAATGTCCTTCATTCTATTGTGTAAAGAAACAATGTGACAACTGAACATTATTCATGTTCCATGTTTTTATTTAGTTTCATGTAGCTTGATAATAATACGTTTATATGTCTAAGGTATAATCATATATGATTATCATGATAATTAGAATTGCTGTCTTTTTGTTACCTTGGAATGAGTGACCTTTTCTACAAAGGGAGCGGGTCCTCTACGACAGAGGCCAACATCTAAATATTTCATGGTTATCTTACTCTTCTGTGATAGTAATCTTAATATATGTTGGTTTTGGAATGTTAGTTAGAAGAAACAAGACATTACAGACATCACCTTGCACTTGGGTACTTAAGATGAATTGAGAAATATAGTCGGTAGATTAAGATAGTAAAACACATCATTAGTTGCAGCCCTATTTTGATCTAATGCTATTATATCTTAATAGAGCGTATATGTGTATTTTGTAATAAATGTAACATTGGAAAATGGGAATGGTGAAAAGAAGACAAAGAAGAACAAAGAAATCAGCTGTGACAACAGCTATATACACACACACTTATCCATATATCCAAAGCTGACCGAAGATGAGTAAAGCACTACTCAAGCCTAATGTTATTTGTGTGTTGATTTTTATGTGAATACATGTATGAGATCCCTAATGCAGCAAAGATAGAAAGGTATGACGCTGTTAAGTTGACACTACTAGTCCTTATCATGTCAACACAGACTAGAGGTGGCAAACAGAGCAGAAAATAAGGTAGCAAGAATGTAGTCAAGAAATCAGTTGGAGAGGTGCATCATCCACTTTACCTGAAGAGACCCTTCCAGCAGAGCAGATAGAGATCAAAGGACTGTCGGGTTCAGGCTGACTGTTCTCTCAGATACCCAAAACTAGCTTTTCTAATCATCTGTGCTATCAGTGGGAGGGTTGGCGTAAAAGTTATTAATCCTTATACAAAAAAGTGACATGATATTCCACACACCCAGCACTGCTGCTACGTTTAATCTGTCAGGGCTGAAATTCTGAAAAAGGACCAGCATGCAAGTTCCACATTAATCGCAAAACGTTAATGCTACACTCTCACCGCAGTTGTTTAAATTTCTTCGGTCCCTACACAAGGCATAAGCATAGATTTAATGTTTTTATCGATGCAATGTATTTCAGTTTTCTTTGACATACAATGTGGCATGTATGTGGCTCTTATTTTAATGTTTGAATCAGTGTGACTGTCAGGATAGAGAACAACACACAACACAAGAAAGATAGTCGAATAGTAGGCTTAATTGTTTTTTAGGACCAGTACAGTAAGGTATTGATATATGTTAAAGGAAATAAATAATAATGAAATAAAAATTATAAATGAGTAAGCATGAATAAGTTTGGGGTTTTGGTTTGCTGTATGTACCTATAGCAGTGAAACAGCTGTGTATGGCAAAATATTGAGAACAAGTCTCTAGAGGCTGAACTAATCTCTGACTGCTATGGATTTGGTGTGTTAATATGATTTAAGCCTGAAAGTGTTAATCCTTAAGATCCTTAAGACACTCAATGAATTTTGAAATTTCCCAGCATCTCCTCTAAATACCATCTCTGCTGGCGAGGTTCATATATAAATATATACAGTAATGTAATTGACATTTTATGAGGACTACAGAGACACCAGGTACCTGTGGTTTTGGTTCAGGCAACAAAATGTGCTACCATTTTATTGCTCAAAAAACCCACAGCCCTGTACTCATTAAAACAACAGATGTTCTCTCAGTTTAACCACACTGGTTTACTTGAAGGTGGCAGACTATGCCCCCCACATTTGCATGTTTTCTGTTGAACGGCACATGATGTTATTATCAGTCAAAGCAGATGTTTGCTAAAACAGATGATCTTTGGGATTAGCATTTGAAGCAAAGTGATATTTATGTCTCCAAAAAGGCACAGTGGTCTTACTAGAGCCATGTAGTTTATGTATTTACAACAGCAAGACCAAAGGCACATTTTAGTATGTCACTTTTGGCAGCTGTCAGATGCTTTCAGATATCTGGATACCATGAACTATCCCTTGGCACACCACAGAAGTATTCCCCCTTCAAATAACTTTCTTCTACTTCATGGTTCAGTTGTGCTTCAAATCTGGCTGTAAAAAACTGATTAAATCCCTACATTGATACCTGAGGCAAAAAAGATGCCAAAACAAACTGCCATAGAATATATTTTATTTGCTGGATAAAAGTTTGGCCTGTAAAATCTTCCTAATTTAAATTATAGCTGTGAATTATATCAAACCTGCCTATTACGATGTATTTAGAAAAGCAGTCAAACACAGACACATGTAGCTGTAGGCACCACACTAGCCACTTTAATACCAGAACAAAAACATTTTTCCACAATGACCGCTACTCAGAATCACATCGGCTTAGAGCTGGCTAGTGGCATAAGCAGTATGCATGTAGGCAAAATCTACGGTAACAGGGGTACTGTGGGCTCACACAAATTAATTAGTAATTTTAATTTAACTGGGATGTAACTAGATGTAGGATCTGATAGTAATCAACCTTCTATATAACAAACTGGTGACCTCAAGTGGCATTTAACATCATATAGAGCATAGCAACATTTTTACTTTGAAAGAAACTCCAATATTTTTGGAGAGTTGACAAGATAATTGTTTTTTCCCACTGACTGACAGGATTGACTGAAATTACAAAGATAAATATTATAATAAAAAGACAGGGCATTGTTTTTCTTTAAATATTATTCGCCCACAGGACGTCCATAACCAGTTCATTTTACACACCAGTACCTCTCCCCCTACTCATTTATTTTTTTCAAGTTATTTTTTTGCATATGTTATGAGCATTCTTTGCTTAGAAGACCTACCAGCCACTGGCTATGAGATGTGTAGAGTCTCTTTCATGCAACAACGTTCACAGTGTATTTTATTTATTTTCCTGACCTGTTAAGAGGATCGACCACAATGGCCCGAGGGTGTGACATATTCCCTTCCAAAAGAGTCTTCCGGGTCTGGGAGGCTCTTTCCAGTCTGGCGACGCTGATTGTCTTCCTGTAGCCATCGTTGGTCCAATACAAGTTATTCCCAATCCAGTCCACTGAAATTCCTTCAACATTGTCAAGCTCTGCAACAGAATCAACAGCATAGAATTCAACAGAATCACCAAAATACCAATACAATATTATAAATACATTATCTATTTTTACCTTTTATATGGTCTATGTAAAGATACTTTCATGAAGTATTGTGACATAGTCTATTAACAGGAATATCTGTATTTAATTTATATAAAATAAGAGCATTATGAAAATTGACATTCTGATAATTTTATGCCCATAGAGGAACTAAGAGCAAATTATTACTAATGCATTCATCTAGGAATTGATAGTCATAAAATCAGTGTCCAATTATGCAGTACTTTCCATCACTGTTTTGTACAATAATAAAGCATTGTTTAGTAAGAAATTGTGTTGTCACTCAGTGACAGTAAATTATTTGAAATGTATTGGTGCTTTACTATTGGCAAAATGTTGTTTGTATACTAATAAATAGTTGAGTTACTATTAAAACCTGTTTAAAAACCTTTTGAAGTATATTAAGAGTGTATGTGAAATGACTTTAACCTTACATCAATGTCAGAAAATAATTGCTAACATAAAATATACAACATATAGTAAGCTTAATTTATTCTAGGGACATGCTGCATTTAGAATAAAAAAGCACTTAGACTCACCATCTTTGAGTATCGTCTCTCTGCCGTTTCCATCTATTTTTTGTCGCCCAATAAGGAAACTGGTTGTGTCAGCAAAGTAGATGTGTCCCAATTCTGCGTAGTAGTCAATGGCTCGAGGGTTAACCAGATCCTCGATTGGCTCCATGTGCTCATCGCTGGACTTGATATTCATATCTAGGCCTCGGATGACCCCAGGACGCCCTTACCGTAGAACAGGAAGAGATCGTTTTTGGGCTCTAGAAGGCGAGAAAGAACGGACCTTTTTTTACTATTATTGTCAATTAATTGGTCTAATTCATCAGTGCTGATCCCAGCATTAAACCCTCTTACCGGTCACATTGTTCTTATATGTGAGCCAGAGCCAGGGCCATCCATTCACCTTAATGGAGCCAGTAATCAGTGCCAATGACTATACTCTCCCCCTTCAATCACGCTCCTGCTACAAAGCTGCCTTGACAGCAGGAGAAGGAAAATGCTTGAGCAAACAGACAATGGCAATACTTACCTTGGCTGTGAACACAGCTTCTGATCTAAAATAACATGGTGTCTTGGTAGGAAGGCAAACAGGAGGCCTAGAAAGCTGAGGCAACTCCTCGGCGGCCCGCCAGCCGCTCAGGGGGCTGTATGTTCTCGAACCCTTTGGGATCCTCTCGAGATGCAAGCGGAGAAATGAAGGAGGGCTTCCAGTGAGAGAAGCAGACCTCTCCACGCTCTCAGCCCCTACCCAAGAGACTGGGATGCTGGGGGTGAGGACCACACATGCCTCACTTCAATTTATCATTTTGTGAGGGAGAGACCAACTACCCAGGAGACAATTAAGCATTGCAAGAGACCCAGATATCAAACCCCACAGTGACTGCTGTATGAAGAAGCACTACCATTTAGCACCGAATCTCATTATGCTTAGGGAACGGGAAAAAGCGAGCAAGAGAGAGATAGCTTGTGTCATCAGAACATCTATGAAAGGGGAATAAATCAAATATGTCATGCCAAGCCTCCCAATGCTTCGTTACCCCGATCGAAAAGTGGTGGGCTCTCAGATTGTGTCATCAATTTGATCTTCTGCTTTTATTGTCAACTACACAATGTCCAGCAATTGATCAGACCAGCCAACAAATGCAGACAAACTTAAAACCTCATTATGACAATAATCAATCAGGCTTGCGACAGATCGATAGCAGAATGTCACTTTCAAATAGGTCTGTGTCCAGCAGCGCTCATTTTTATCACTGTCACTCTACGGCTGAGGCCTGTGTGGTACACCCTCGGCTCTAGTATGACACATGACCTTTACAGATGCATGACAATATCAAAAACAGCACTAATACAAAACGTCCTGTTCAGGAATAAGTATTCTGGTTCATTAAGAACAGGAAGCACTGCCAATGACAATCCTTTAAAACAGGATATTTATGGAGAAAACTGTTTCAAAGGATATGTACTAAAGTACGCAATGATACACATGTTTACAGCCAAGGCAAAATATGTACTGACTTTTACAGGACTGTCCATCAGAGCCCAGGCTGTAGCCGGTACGACAGCGGCAGGTTCTGGATTTGTAGCTGCCACTCAGAAGGCAGATATGGGAACATCCACCCGGCTTTCCATATGAAACTATTTCACATGCGTGACTCCTGACTGTGGGCAAAATCGGAAAGGACAGAGAAATCATTATGAGCCAATGAAGCATTCTCTTTCTGTACTAACACAGATTCCAGCTTTAGTCACGAGATGGTGGGGATTCTGACACATACTTACATGTTAGCCTATGTAGAAAATGTCCTTTACCTTTTGGCTGAGTGAGTTTGTGGTAAACACGCAGTCTTCTAATATTCCCCAAGCTGGCTACCGTCCTGCTCTCCGCTGTGATGTTGAACCTGTGGATTTGCAGCAGCTCCACAGAGGAACTCCCTTTGGAAGGGTCAGAGTGGGTAGCATAGAGGTAGTCCTCAAACACAGCCAATGCATAAATGTACGACACCTGAAAAACAAGCAGATCCATGGTGTTTTGTTTTTTTACATCATCCCTAAAGCCAAAAACAAGTAACATTACAAGAGGGACACAAAGAAAACAATAACAACAATACATTAACGAGAGGAGTTTTGTCTTTAATCATGCAGCAGGCATGAGGGGGTGGAGAGGGTGGTTGGGCTGCCTCTACATTTGGCACCCCACACAGGGTCAACATCTGGGCTCCACAAGGAGACCAATGGGCCTGACACCACAGCTTCCATGCTACATTTAGCAGGCTGACAGCCACAGAAAGCGACATGGCTGGATGAGCTGTGTTCACAGCAAGTACACCTTAGCTTGCTGGGTCACACTTTAACACCAGGGGCACCAAGAAACATGCATCAGAATAAATAAATAAATAAATAACAAACAAACCACTCAACCATCTCTCTCTATGGAATTTGGCCTCTGCACTATACTTTTATTTATTTACTTTCAAAGCAGTCTCACACATACTAATTAAAAGGGTGTGCATATACTGTACTTGCATTTTTACCAACAGCATGTGTAATGCATGCTATTCTGTACTTTCTGGATTGAATATGATGATAGAATCAACCAGACAGGATCTACCTCATAAGAGGGAAAATAGAAAAGCAGGGTTGTGGAAGTTTATTTAAACTGAAATTATTGGATTATTGCTTTTCCACAACACTGTGCTTAAGCAGTGTGTAGCCATCGTAGAAAAGTGAAGGCCATCTTGTGATACATAATATTATTCCACAGTCTCCCAATCAGAATCTTCTTTTATCCTGACCATAATAGTAAATATACATGGAGGATATTTTGTAAGTAAAATATTTTTTGAGAATATTATTTTTAAAGTGGGGAAATTGAGAAACATTTGGGGCAGCATGGCATTTGTCATGTAGATGCAATGAAGTGAAGCTCCTCTGTCTAACGGGGCCACAGACTAATGGAGGAGGAAGTATTATGCAAAGAACACCTGCATACACAATAAGGTGCTTGAAATCTACGTTTTTTTTCCTCATTAAGAGTGAATATCTAGTCCAAGTTGCTTGAAAGGGTATTTTAATGAATAGTCATAATCTGTGATGAAAGGCCTCAAAAGTGTACTACAGGAAAGAGACTATTGATATGCTCATTTGGAAGACAGCCCCACATGTGCCTCAATTCCTTCAATTTAATAAACCATCTATTCCCCATTCAAAAGACCTTTTATATGAAAATGAAGAGTGAATTATAACAACAAGCAGTGAATATACCACCTGTCTTGCAGTGATAAAGCACAATGCCCTAAATGAGAAAATTAACCAAGAAACCCCCTCTCATGTAACACTTTGGAGTCTCTCAAATGAAGAGGGAGAAACTACTGATAAGAGAAGCCAATTGTGTGTTCAGATTCCCACTGACATTTGTCCACAATGGCTGCTTATGATGTGGAGCCAATGGAAGACAAAAAGCAGTGCTTACAGTGAAATGTGACACTCACTTGGCTCCCATGGATAATGGTGTGCCTGTTCTTGCCATGGTAATCCACCACATCTATGTAATCCAGGTAGGCGTCTGCCCAGTACACCAGCTTCTTGACCAAGTCCAATGCCACAGCAGTGGGTTGCTCAATTTTATAATCCACCAGCCTGGTCCTGTTGGTGCCGTCCATGTTGCAGCGCTCCACCTTGGCCACGTTCCCATAGTCAGTGAAGAAGAGCATTCTGCAGAGAATGGGAGTGTTTAAATGATTAAATGATATAAAGGATGTTGTCTACTTTGTCGGGAGTGTCTCATTCTTTGCTCCAGATTTTAAGACCTTCGAATACCTTTTTTTTTACAGTACACATTTTGTACCCGAAGAGTGATTGTCTAATCATATCTCTGCAACCGTAACAAGGCCTGTCAAACTTTTGATTTGTCAACATGTGCATGTTGTGCAGTGTGGATGTGAGGTGCATTATTTCAGCCTTTACAAAGCCAAAAACACAAGAGCATGAGTGTGAGGAATTATTTAAACATGTCTTTATCTCTTCTAACATAAACTGCAAACGTTAGCATTCTGGCTTATAAGCATACTACATTTAGTAGAAACCCAGTGTTACCACTGAAGCCAAGAGTTAGCATACCATTAGCTAACTACATATTGTATGGTTATGTTACTGGTAATGTTGAACCAAAGTCCCATTAACAACTACCACATTAACTGTGTGCAAGCTGCTCTTGCGTGTTACTATGAACTTGAGTGTTGGTGCATTAGCAGTTCTGCTGTGTTTTTAATGAGTGTTCTGCAAAGCCTGTTTTGTAATGTAATGTATAAACTGAAACATACTGCTGCAAACAATAATATGAACAATAAAGCATAAATATAATGTGTCTTATGCCTGCCCAAGTATCTAAGGTAAGCATCCAAACAGACTTATAAATAAGACTCTAACTTACATTTTTCATCATATTTATACTGTATGCAATGGCTAACTAGCTCTACACTGCAATACAAGAACAATGCTGTTTCTTTCTTTCCATGTCTTCAACAGGGATTATCAACTGGTGAAGATGACATTGTTCTTACCTAGGGCCTGTTTAGCCTCAGTCCTCTAGCGTGATATCATGTAGCCATCTTGTGCATATTTAAGACCCCATTTAAAGGATTCTTTTAAAATGAGTCAGCCGGAGACAGCATATTTAAGCAGCTATGGAGCTATAATGTAAACTTGAGTTGATTTTAGCTAGCTAGCTTATTAATATGCCAAATTTGACATCTACTGGCTGGAAATTAGAGGCATATTGTCTACCCTTGTCTACAATCAAGCACCCATTGTTTTAAACCTTAGAATTTTGAGTGGTAAATCAGCTTCCCTTATTATTGTCAATTGCATATATGTGTAACGAGAGAGATTGACTAGTGTAGCAACAGTAACTAAGGAAGCCAGGCATTAGAAAATGGTCTATTTTATTAAAATGTAACATACATTATGTTACTCATTTACATTAAGGGAGTCATACAGTAATGCAACCATGCAAGATTCTTTGAAACATTTGGTCAGCCTCAGTCTAATCGACATACATTTTTTAAATAAAAAAATCCAAATTTCTGAACAGAATATGATGTTATAAAAGAAATAAAAACTAATTTCTACGTCACTAGGCTGTTAGACTCAAATAATGATCACAGGCTATGTCAGCAAAGTGCCTTCCACAGTCAGTTTCAATCATCTAGTAACAAAGGTTCAAAACCTTTCGTATTTTAAGAGGAAATGAGAGAATAAAACGGCAGCATTCAACTGCTGAAGACTTCTCTCGCAATTGTAGCTATGCACCAGCTGTGCTAGATGTGAAAAAGAATGGCTTCTCAGAGACCCAGCACACATTATTATTTGCGATTAAGCCCCTGTGTGTAGAGTATTTACATGGTATTATTATCTTTCACATTTTTACTGATGGCGTGAGTTTCCATCGGAACGGAAGTTTGTTCTTTCCGTCAATATGTTGCTTAAGCCCATTCAATCTCAGTGCCAGCCGCTAATTTGTCACTGTCCTCACATGAAAAAGATGGCATTGGTTTTTTATTCAAATGCCCCAGAAGACCAATTTACCTCATAAGGGCCTCTTGTGAGGAAGTGAATCATGACTTGCTTGTCAGGAGCAAAGGAAGAAGTAGTGTGATCTTGTTAGAGTAAAAAATCTAAGGGATGGTGTTGAAGTTAACACTTGGGTCAACAAAGCAAGTTACTTTAACTGTAGAAGTATAGGTCGCTGAATGCAACCTATTTCCTACAATTAGTTAACCTTGATTTATGTTAACCCTGAACACAATCTTTTCCAAACCTTAACCAAGTTTCTTTTAACTTCCTTTAATTGCGAAAAGGGCAACAGTTAAAAAAAAACTTATATGAGTCATTTTTGAAAGCAATGACACAAAATAAGTTAGTCATTTAGATCGGAGCCCTGTGTTGCCTTGTGGGTAAAGAACAGAAAAACAAACTACATAAACTTAAATGTTATCAGCAGAAAAACAGAGAAAAAATGTGTCCCAACCCTACACACTGACTGATAGTTAGAGACACAGGGGGATACACACAGCAGTGATGATTACAAATGAATGCAATGTGATGATGTATTTATAAATCATGTTTCATATAATGGTGCAACAATGGTGCCTTGCAAAATAGAAAATAGGCAAAAATAACAAATACATTTTTAAAAATAGATAAACTAGGTGTAGAATTAATGTTAAATCAAAGAGAGAAAAAAAAAGAAAGAAAAAAGAACAGCATCAAAATGCTTTTAAATACCTTCTAAAATGCCCAAGTAATGCCGCCTCTCTGATACAGTAGAAGCACCATAACCTGGAGGCAAATGCAATAAAAGCAGCATTTCCCATTTCCTTTGTGGTAATTTTGGGGACATTTAGAAGGCATGCTGCAGAGGACCTCAGGGTATGTGAGTAGACATAAAACGATAGACAATGTGTGATGCACAAAGGAGCCAAGCCATTTAGTACCTCAAAAACCATGAGGAGGGCTTGAAAATCAATTCTAAAAGACACAGGGAGCCAGTGGAATGTAAGACTGATACTGAGAAAGCAGGTGTTACATGTAGTATAATTTGTTTCTTACAATGGGGACTGAATAACATCCGACAAATGACTGAAATGTCCTTTGACTAAAAGTAAAGATCTCATGGACTGTCACTTTAAGAATACAAAAATGCTCAGGTCTGCACATACACTAATTAACATGGAAGGCTTGCCATGCTGTCTTGCTGTGGCTCTGCGAGGACAGAGCTCCAACAGCCTCCAATGATAACGAGCTACAGCCAGAGAGCGACGGGAAGCCGACTTAATCTGCACAAGTCAAGTCAGGGGAGAGATGGGCTGCCCTTTGAACCCTAGACCAGACTGCACTGAAAAACTGTCAGCGTCAGCAAGGAACATAGCTCCCCAAACAGGTGCACCTCCACGTGGCATACAAATGATAGCTTTCTGGGATTAGGATGGTGCTGATGCTGTAGTTGCACATTCTGCAGCTACAACGTGATCCATGTTGGATTCTGGAAATGAGCACCGCTGATAAAATAAATTGCATATGACCAGTGAAAAATAGTATGTGTCTTACAGTGAAACATAAGACTAGAAACAGTTACAGCTGACAATTAATGCAAGGCATATACTCTCCTACTAAGTTGTTTTCTAATTTTAACATCTTCCACGACAGTCCTTTCTACCCTAAACCCATTTTTTAAATCTTTTTAGGTTTTAAGTTTAGAGTGTAAAATGTCTTAGAACATTATGATAGTCACAAACTTGTCGCACTTTTGTTGTTACACTGGTTTGGTGCAAGATGTAATATTTTAAAATCTTCAAAAATCCCACCAAATACCATATTAATACAACAAGACCTTGAGGAACACTATAGAACAATTGCGTTCTTCAGCGATTGGATGACAAGCACTTCTGTTCTAGAAATTGTATAGAAACAACCTTATTGTCAGTATACTGTACCTAGAAATGCCATCCATCTATATGCCTGAGGTCTCTAGTTGGTGGTCATGAGGCTCTTATTATCCTAGAGGTCACATGTGCACTTTGAACAGCAAGGTTAAGTTTAAAAAAATGGTTAAATTAAATGGCTACTAATGGGGACTAATATCATCACACATTAATGCAATTGATCCACAGGAGTCTCTATTTTTATTATTATTATTGAATTTATACAATTTCAATAATGTTTAGGGACCCCAGCGGGCAGAAATATTCAAATCCACAATTTTTTAAATATGCAGACAACTATATGGTTTTCCCCCAAAACTTCATGGGATTAACACAAAGTGGCCATGTCTGTAAAGATGAAGAACCCATTCCCATTCAGATACATGGAGATTAGAGGGCAAGCCCTTTGTAAATGACCATGCCCAAATGACCCAGGGTTACTTTATCAATTTAACAAGAATCAAAGAAACACTAAATAAGAAACTAGAAAATGGATTAGAAAAGAAAATGACACAAACATACCATGAAGCAGGTCCCAAAGTAACAAAACAACAAGCCAGACGAGTAAGGAAGAAACAGCAACTGAATGCAATCCAAAAAATCAGACATCCTAAAACCAACACACTATAATTTGAACCAGCAAAGATAGATAAGATATTAAGATATTAAAAACTACATTCTCAGCCAGTCCATTAGAAACTCACTAGATCTACCAGCAATAGGAGAAAACAAAATGAGATTATACATTTGCTTAATGCAGTAAAATTATTTGAAGATGCAATAAATCATTTCAAATCTAATAAGGCACCAGGAAGTGATGGTTTCCTATCCAAGTTGGACACAATTTTATGAAGGCCAGTTATTAATGTAATTTAATAAAAAAAAAATTAAAAAAGGCAAACCATGCCTCTCGTCAAAAGGGGCCATAAGTACAGTAATCCCTAAGAAAGATAAGGACAAAGAATTTTGTGAAAACTACAGATCAATATTAATTGTGATGATGATGTATAGAATCCTTTTATCCAAGAGACTCAAGGCATTCATTACTGAATTGACTGATGAGGACCAATTGAGATGCCAAAAACAGGACAACATAAGGACACTACATATAATTGAAGATGATCACAAAAAGGCAGAAAGTGCAGTGTTGGACACAGGAAAAACCCTTCAACAGTGTTTGCTGGAGGTTTTTAAATGTCTGCTTAGAAAATTTGGCAGTAATACAGACTCAAT